CAATTAATAACTTATCTGTAGAATTAAAATTTTCATTGTTTTTTAAAGAAAATAATAGGTAAACTCAATGGATTATCATTATCCCATTGTATCTTAAGATATGTAATTTTTATTTATTAATTCACACTTTATAAATATATAAAAATATACTAAAATAATGTATAACCCCCTTCAACAGGGTTACTTTCCCTTTCTGTTAATAAAGATGATGATGATGATAAAATATACTAAAATAATTAAATATATTTAAAATAAAAATAATAATAAGAAGAAGAATAGATTCTTTGGTTTGAAGAATTTAGTTATAAAGTTAACATTCTTTTTTCGTATTTTTTGATTCAATTAGACTTTGATTCTGGTTTTTTATACAAATAATAGAAACTGATTTTGAATATTTCCTAATATTTGATAGAAATTATATCAAAATAGTAAGAAATGTTTAATATATGTTCATACTTGAAGATGGTCCATTAACTGGGTCAAAAAATTAGCATTCTTTCAACTTCATCTACTGTTACAGGCAGAGTAATTCAGCAGATTAACTATGGTGGCTAGTTCACCCCATAAAATGTATATTTATTACAAAATTCATATAATGTATTCAAAATATATATATAATAAGGATTTATCTGAATTTTAAACTAATTTTCCACAATAAATAATAAATCTAGCATGATATATGTTGCCGTAAAGTCTGAAATCCTTGTCCATCTCAAAATCATTAATAATAATTAAATTTGATATGTAATATTTTTAAAATATATCAAAAATTTTTATAAGCATATATATTAATTTTTAATTATCAATATCTTTGCCTTAATTAGTGAATGTGAATACATTTAAAGTGTAGTCCTGAAAAACAGCAACCCAAATTAAAAAAGTTAATTCTGATGTAATTTTAATATACTTTTCTTATGTCAGAGTTATGTATATTAATTTTTAGTTACTTTTAAATTATTAAATAATCAAAGAAATACATTCATACTTCTATAATAATTGATAATCACAAATATATTTTAATACAAAAGTAAAAGCTAATTTACAACTAAAACATGCAAACAAAATATGCAGTGAGGCCAGAAATACATTTTTTTTAAATTAAATACCTATTTTTTTTTTTTAAATATGAATAATAAATGAATTCAGTAATGAACTGAAGTATAGAGAATTATTATCTATTGGAAATTATAATGCTAGAATCTATTTTTCTATCCATACAGTTCTAGAATCTGAATTTATTTTCATTTCATTTACAGTAATGCATTCTAAATCTGACAAATCAGAAGATTCTTCAGTTAGGAAAGAAAACATTTGAAAACACTTTGTTTTTTTAATTGTTTCTGTTATTACAGAGTCTTTTCTTGTGTCTATTATGGGGTCGGCCGAGCTACTAGAGAAAATTTCTGCAGATGTAACCGCGATTCAAACCCGGGTCCCTCGGAGTGTCGCCCGTCGTGTAAGATAATTTTTAATTGGTAGTGTTTGATATGTATTGTGTATTAAATGTTATACTGATAAGTGTTATAAGATTAGTTAAAAAGTTAAAAGTCAAATATTAGTAAAATTATCAGCTGAAAATTAGTTATAAGTAAATAAGCTTTAAGATTTATTATTAAAAACTTTAATACAGAATTTATTCAATATTAATTGCATTAAGTACTTTAATTAAATTTAAATATTATTAGAAAGTTAATCACCTTTCTAAAATTTTATCATCATTCCAAATTTATATTTTATAATTTTAATATGTAATAATTCTATCAATTTTATTGTTAAGTAAGAACATATTTTCATCATATAATATGAAAAAATTTGCTACTTAATACTTTTTTTTTGTCTTATTGCCATAATAACAAATTAATAGCTATTAAAATTTTACATATACACAAAATATTTCATTAGAAAGGCGATTAATATAATATTAAATTTAAATTAAGCCAGGACATAGCTCCCTAGGAGACGTTACCTAGGGTTATAAACCCGGCTAGATGGAAGGAAGTGAGTCAGCAAACGTCTGAGTGGCTGGGATCTCTCTGGAGTAGAATCTTGATTGATCGCTTTTGCCAAACAGGATACCTTTAGTTCCATTAGCATACAAGGAACTGTAGGAAGGGTACAGCAAAAGAATAGTACAGGGTGCTATCTTGGGAACAGTTGCCAACAAGTGGCAATATAAAACAAAAGATGTGTGTTAAGAAGGACATTATTTCTAAAATGTGCAACTATGTTAAAATATAACATGCAGGTATATTAAAATTATTCAATGCACAATATAAGAAATAAATATTTTAGAGAAGATATAAGCCTAGTTACATAAATTAATACCGATTACATATACAGTAACTGGATGAAAAAATGAATATATTAATACATCCGGTACAAAGATGCATGCTTTAGAATATTAGGCATATAGTAGTTTATAGGAAGTATATCACAAACATTTAAATGATTATTTTAATTATGAGATTCGGTGCAGTCAAGCAGTCGGGCTCATAAATATATGGAGCTGCCAAAAAGATCCCAGACGCCCAGTATTCTTTCTAAAGATTTATTAAAGAAAAGCTTTATTATTACCCATCGGAAGACAGGAATTCTTGAGCCCCCGTCTGACGGCACCGGCCTATAGTACATCGGCCCCAAACCTTTCACCGGTATACATCTCATTAGCATAAAAGGGGCTGAAAGTGAATAAGGATGAAGTGGTAGGTTTAAGGTAAGAATGATGATGCAAAATTTTAAACATAAGAAGGAAGAAGCAAAACTGTCAAAGCATTAGTTTGATTGTTTAAAATGATATTAAGGATTTTAAAAAATTTATATATATCAAATTTTTCATTTATATTTGTTTTTGTGTATTCTGGGTGGTGTTGAAATGAAATTTTATGTTAAAAAATCAAGAAATAAATAATGTGTGCATAAAATAAAACTGTGTACATATCATATTAAAGCATTAAATAAAACAATAATAATAATAATAAAATATGATTGCATTTCTTTCTAGTTTTCTTATCAGAAATAAATTTGAAAATTTCACTGAAATAAAAATATATTAAACAATTTATTAATGATTTAAAGATAAATTAATTAAAAAATTAATAAATTCAATTCAAAAATATTTTGAGATATCAATTAATAAATTAAAAGACAAAATTACAACTGGGTTTATTTTTTTTAAGGACAACACTTTATTAATTAAGGCAAAATTAATTTATATTTTTATATGATTCAAATTAACTTTTTTCAATTAAGATAAAGATAATTTATAATTTAAAGAACTCATTCAAATTTAATAAAAAGAAGTTAAGTATCTTGATTATAGTGTAAAAATTGCTTTTATAATATAACAGATATTTAACTTAAGATAAAATTTTTTAAATTAATTTTTTATTTAGGATAAAGTTTTAGAAATAAAACAATTAATAACTTATCTGTAGAATTAAAATTTTCATTGTTTTTTAAAGAAAATAATAGGTAAACTCAATGGATTATCATTATCCCATTGTATCTTAAGATATGTAATTTTTATTTATTAATTCACACTTTATAAATATATAAAAATATACTAAAATAATGTATAACCCCCTTCAACAGGGTTACTTTCCCTTTCTGTTAATAAAGATGATGATGATGATAAAATATACTAAAATAATTAAATATATTTAAAATAAAAATAATAATAAGAAGAAGAATAGATTCTTTGGTTTGAAGAATTTAGTTATAAAGTTAACATTCTTTTTTCGTATTTTTTGATTCAATTAGACTTTGATTCTGGTTTTTTATACAAATAATAGAAACTGATTTTGAATATTTCCTAATATTTGATAGAAATTATATCAAAATAGTAAGAAATGTTTAATATATGTTCATACTTGAAGATGGTCCATTAACTGGGTCAAAAAATTAGCATTCTTTCAACTTCATCTACTGTTACAGGCAGAGTAATTCAGCAGATTAACTATGGTGGCTAGTTCACCCCATAAAATGTATATTTATTACAAAATTCATATAATGTATTCAAAATATATATATAATAAGGATTTATCTGAATTTTAAACTAATTTTCCACAATAAATAATAAATCTAGCATGATATATGTTGCCGTAAAGTCTGAAATCCTTGTCCATCTCAAAATCATTAATAATAATTAAATTTGATATGTAATATTTTTAAAATATATCAAAAATTTTTATAAGCATATATATTAATTTTTAATTATCAATATCTTNATTTATCGTTTTATGACGAGTAAAATTTTTTCGTCGCGTTCGCAGGTTTTAAGTAATGCATAAACCTTCGAGGCGCGAGGCATAGGCGGTGGCCCACGTCGTCCATGCCTTACGCCGCCCTTGGTCATAGAAATGATGTAATTTCAATATAAATTATTTATAAATACTGTACGTATGTCAAGTTATATTTTTATTACTACGTAAAATATATTTAAGAGTTTACGACCACTGTGCTGGGTGAGACGTTGTTAAAACAAAAAAAGTTATGCATTCCATCACGTACATAAACAGTGTCGTAATTCGCCAAGTGCAAATCAGCAAATTCGTAAAATTTTTGTTTATTTTGAACAGTCCGGATAATCGAAAATCCGGATAATGGAGGTCCGGATAATGGAGGTTTTACTGTATATCTTTCTGCATTATGGGTTTACCCAGTATGCTAAGAAATGAATAAAGCTTTGTTTCAGTAATGACTTATACATCTGTAAAATATAACTTTTAAAGCTTCAAGCACTTGTCTAACTGTTTAATTACAGGTTATCGGTAATTGTATTATAAAATAATTTTCAAAAATAAATGGACAGTAAACAAATTATTTCATTTGTTCTAATAAATTTACAATTAAATTATAATTCAAAATATTCAATGCTGTAAATAAATAGATGTAAAATCTTTATCAATTTTAATCAATAAATATTTAGATGTATAAAACAAAAATTAATTGGTAAATTTTAAAGAAATGAGTTAAAAGTGATACCTATTTATAGCAATATATAGAATGATATCAACGACATTGATATCAAGTTTTGACGATCCCAACATTAATAAAAAATAAGAAATCAATTAATTCACTTAGGATTTGTAATAAATGTATTTGTTCATTTTTATTTTTATTTTAATGTTAACACCTAGGTATGATTTTTGTATACTTGTTCTAATAATTCTATTAGGATCAAAAATGTTTGTCATAACATATTTATATTAAATTATATTTGCTGGTATATTTTAAAGGTTTTGTTGGTGTTATTTACTAGAATGATATCAATCAATTCATTAGAATTTGTCAATGTTTAGTATCAGATTAATATATTCTACATTATGTATATCATCATATGCAATTGTTAAATATACAATTTAAAATATTTACTTGATTTCAAAATGCCTTGAATAAATTCTTCTTTTGTGACTTTTCCAGCATTGTTTTTATCTATTTTCTTAAAAAGATCCATTATCCTGGATTTTTTATTATTCATCCATCCAAGGAACTAAATAAAAATGAAATATTTAATTACAGAACACATGAATAGCATATAATAAATTANGATGTATAAAACAAAAATTAATTGGTAAATTTTAAAGAAATGAGTTAAAAGTGATACCTATTTATAGCAATATATAGAATGATATCAACGACATTGATATCAAGTTTTGACGATCCCAACATTAATAAAAAATAAGAAATCAATTAATTCACTTAGGATTTGTAATAAATGTATTTGTTCATTTTTATTTTTATTTTAATGTTAACACCTAGGTATGATTTTTGTATACTTGTTCTAATAATTCTATTAGGATCAAAAATGTTTGTCATAACATATTTATATTAAATTATATTTGCTGGTATATTTTAAAGGTTTTGTTGGTGTTATTTACTAGAATGATATCAATCAATTCATTAGAATTTGTCAATGTTTAGTATCAGATTAATATATTCTACATTATGTATATCATCATATGCAATTGTTAAATATACAATTTAAAATATTTACTTGATTTCAAAATGCCTTGAATAAATTCTTCTTTTGTGACTTTTCCAGCATTGTTTTTATCTATTTTCTTAAAAAGATCCATTATCCTGGATTTTTTATTATTCATCCATCCAAGGAACTAAATAAAAATGAAATATTTAATTACAGAACACATGAATAGCATATAATAAATTATACAGTAATAATATTTGTATTATTATGAAATTAAAATAAGATTAATTATACATTTCACAGCAAACTAAAGAAATTTAAAATATGTCAAAACTTACTCTTCTTCTCCATTCATTGAAATCAAAGTTTTTAATTCTCTCTAACTGTAATAAAAAAAATTATTTTAGATCAGAATTAATTTTTATATTGGTTAAATTTTATTTTTTTACATAAATTAGGATTAAAATATTTTAACAATAAAAAATAAATATAAAATTAATTTATACTGAACCTCCTTCAAGTAATTGTATTTGTCTTGGAGTCTGCGTTGTCGTTCCATAGCTAACAGCCATACGTTACGCCATTTTTCAACTAATTCTCTGGCTCTTGGGTGTTTGATATGTGGTTCAACAAGTTGTTTTCTATTTTTAAATACGTTAAAAATAAATATATATTAATTTATACATGTATATATAGATTAGTAAACAAAATTTATTTACTAAAGTCTTAATTTTAACATTAAAACTGCATTAATTAAGTGAGTCTGTTTCAAAAAGAATAAAATCATATCACTGCATATATGTCACAAAGGTATGTATGTAGGCTGTTTTTTTAACCTCCGATTGTCCATAAAAAAAAACAAGTGTAAATAACAAAATGAATTTATTACCAAAAGTTAGGTACAAACATGGTTCCTTTTCGACATAATCACCGTGAAGATTGAGACATTTGTCATTTCTGTGGATGAGCTTTTCCATCCCTTTGTCATAGAATGTTGCCGCCAATGACTTGAGATGGGCCCACCAACTCTGACCATAACAGTGCTTCGTAGTATACGAACTAATCTCAATTTTTGTGAATCACCAAACTAAAATATTTGAAAAATATTTTATTACTAGAAATGCCATTTTAATAATGAAAATTAAAAAAAAAATTAATTTTTTTTATATTAAAGGATAATAAAATATATTCAAAATACATACCCTATATTTTCCTTCTCCAACCTGATAAACTTTGAACCTATGTACACATGTACATTTGGCAACTTGTCTCTGTACTTCATCTTGAATCTTTTCCGCTTCTGTCTTTGGTCGTCCCTAATTGTAATTTTTAAATTATATAAATATTCTTAATCAAATTACCTAATATTTCAATAATACTGTTCAGATTCAAACAATGATGTGATGAAACTTGTTTCATCCAACTTACACAAATGTTATTACTTTTTGAATAAAAAAAATTTATAAAAATAATTAATACATTTCAAGTCTATATGTGTAAATTTTATATCATACCTCTCTTTCTGGCCTTAACGTTTCAATATATTCATTGTGATCAACGTAGCCATCTCCATTGCGATCAAATATATCTGCAACTCTTTCCATTTCTAGACGACTAGTAGGAAATTCTAAAAAGTAATAATTCTTAATAAGTGACTCAGATTAATAGCAGTTAGTGATTATTGTATACTTTAGAAATAGATATAAATTTTTGTTTTATGTAAATTGTAAACTTTGTTTATCGTAATTTCTAATTTATGTTACAGTAGAACCTCGATTATCCGGACTAATTGGGGATGAAGGTAGTCCGGATAAGGAAAAATCNGAGTTAAAAGTGATACCTATTTATAGCAATATATAGAATGATATCAACGACATTGATATCAAGTTTTGACGATCCCAACATTAATAAAAAATAAGAAATCAATTAATTCACTTAGGATTTGTAATAAATGTATTTGTTCATTTTTATTTTTATTTTAATGTTAACACCTAGGTATGATTTTTGTATACTTGTTCTAATAATTCTATTAGGATCAAAAATGTTTGTCATAACATATTTATATTAAATTATATTTGCTGGTATATTTTAAAGGTTTTGTTGGTGTTATTTACTAGAATGATATCAATCAATTCATTAGAATTTGTCAATGTTTAGTATCAGATTAATATATTCTACATTATGTATATCATCATATGCAATTGTTAAATATACAATTTAAAATATTTACTTGATTTCAAAATGCCTTGAATAAATTCTTCTTTTGTGACTTTTCCAGCATTGTTTTTATCTATTTTCTTAAAAAGATCCATTATCCTGGATTTTTTATTATTCATCCATCCAAGGAACTAAATAAAAATGAAATATTTAATTACAGAACACATGAATAGCATATAATAAATTATACAGTAATAATATTTGTATTATTATGAAATTAAAATAAGATTAATTATACATTTCACAGCAAACTAAAGAAATTTAAAATATGTCAAAACTTACTCTTCTTCTCCATTCATTGAAATCAAAGTTTTTAATTCTCTCTAACTGTAATAAAAAAAATTATTTTAGATCAGAATTAATTTTTATATTGGTTAAATTTTATTTTTTTACATAAATTAGGATTAAAATATTTTAACAATAAAAAATAAATATAAAATTAATTTATACTGAACCTCCTTCAAGTAATTGTATTTGTCTTGGAGTCTGCGTTGTCGTTCCATAGCTAACAGCCATACGTTACGCCATTTTTCAACTAATTCTCTGGCTCTTGGGTGTTTGATATGTGGTTCAACAAGTTGTTTTCTATTTTTAAATACGTTAAAAATAAATATATATTAATTTATACATGTATATATAGATTAGTAAACAAAATTTATTTACTAAAGTCTTAATTTTAACATTAAAACTGCATTAATTAAGTGAGTCTGTTTCAAAAAGAATAAAATCATATCACTGCATATATATCACAAAGGTATGTATGTAGGCTGTTTTTTTAACCTCCGATTGTCCATAAAAAAAAACAAGTGTAAATAACAAAATGAATTTATTACCAAAAGTTAGGTACAAACATGGTTCCTTTTCGACATAATCACCGTGAAGATTGAGACATTTGTCATTTCTGTGGATGAGCTTTTCCATCCCTTTGTCATAGAATGTTGCCGCCAATGACTTGAGATGGGCCCAAACGTTGCTTTGAAGATCGTCATTAATCTCGAACCTCTTCCCTCCTAGCCACTTTTTCTATTCAGGAAAGAGGTGGAAGTCACTCGGCGCTAAATCCAGGCTATATAGGGTGTTTAAACGTGGTGAAAACTTCCAGTTTTCAGACTTCCACCTCTTTCCTGAACTGAAAACGTGGCTAGGAGGGCAGAGGTTTGAGACTAATGACGATCTTCAAAACAACATTGTTAAGGCTATCTCAATTCACTAGCAGCAACATTCTATCAAGAGGAGATGGAAAAGCTCATCCACAGATACAACAAATGCCTCATTCTTCATGGTGATTATGTCAAAAAGTAACCATGTTTGTACCTAACTTTTGGTAATAAATTCATTTTGTTATTTATGCTTGTCTTTTTTTATGGACAATCAGAGGATGAAAAAAAATTTAAGAAAGCATGTTATAATATATTGATGGTAAAATAAATTCAATATCTGTATGAATATAAAACTATAAGCATTTAAATCCACTAATGATGGTGAAAACGGCAAAAAGAAGGACAGACACAAAATTTTAACTTTGTAAAAAAAGTCATATTTATATTTTTATGTATTAAATCCACATATTTTGAAAGAAAAATAATAATTTCTACATTTTTTAACATGTAATTAATAAAAGACTGTTAGTCAAATAGCTAACCTGACCACATAACTAATAAAAGGATATTTTAAAATTTAATTTCAAAATTGTATAATCTAATATACTGTACTACATATCATATTCCAAAAGAATTTTAGTATGTTAATTGTAATGGTAAATAAAAATATTCAAAACATATGAATTGAAAACTAACAATTCTTTAACTGTTTATATTCAACATAAAACCATGAAAAACTTTGCATTATCTATACATAGTCAATGCAATAGATAGTACATTAATTCAAATATATTAATAATAAACTTACGATGGAGTGGAAGTTTTCAGAACTGCCGGAGAAGGTATTTTATGAGCTCGATCTCGAGCAATTCTATCTCGTGTAGGTATTTGAGTTTGTTGAGAGGGTTGTCGCTTACTTGAAAATGCTTTTGTAACTTTTTCTACGTCTGACTGTTTTTTCGTCATATCATCCATAAAAATCTAAACACAGAAATTTGTTTAATAATTTTTAATTGATTGAATCAATGTACAAATTTATTGTGAAAGATATAAAATATCATTAGCTACTTAATAAAATTGAAACACCTTAATTTTCACATAACAAAAATAATCCAAACTCCAAAAGAATTATAAAATTCACACTGATATTAAGATGATTTTTTTTTACCTTATGATCCTTTATAAGTTGTTCTATAATTGTGAGATCATCTGGCAAAGGTTCAGCTTCCAATGCTATTAGATTATTTTCTGCTAATATTAGCCAGGCTAGTAAGTCTTCTAAAAGTTGCATAATGTTTTTCAGTGAATGTAAATGATCTTGTAATCTTTGATCTCTCTGTTTAGCCCATACAACCACCTGAATATAAAGAGATTTCAATGTTAAATTTTCATCATCTAGACTTTCAAATAAATTATAATTTCTCATTTTTTGTCAAATCAATATAGTATGTTTTTACCTCTTCCCAACGTGACTGAATAATTGTTATCCAATGCCTTATAACTGAAATACCATTAGGATGACATTTCTTTAAAATAGTTTGAGCTAAGTCTAACGTGTCATCTTTTATGATTTCATAATCATTCATTTCTTGCAAAAATTTCTGATGTTCAGCAATCTGCCTGAGAGTTGTTTCTTCATCTTCCGGTAAGGGGCCGATGAAGCGTAATTTCATCTCAGCTTCAGAAAGCCATTCCAATAAAATGTGAACAGCTTTATATAATTTTTCTGCCTATAAAAATTTTGATAATATTTTAGGTATAAGAATGTTATATGTAAAAATATTAAAGTATTTATAAAATTACAGTGTCATTATTTCTTATTTTTAACAATGAAAATACTTTAAAGTAAAATTTATTAGTGCAGAAATTATTATTTACTTGTGCCAAAGCTTCTTGTAAAATCTTATTCTTTTGATCATTAAGGTCTTTAACAAGTATCCATTTTTTCTGTAGAATATCAAGTTGATAATTAATATTCTCTTTGTCTTCTGCATTTGCAGTTTTCATTAAATCTGAAGCTGTCTTTTGTACTGATTCAACACTATTGTTTCTACTCTTTAATTCTTCTTGAAAGCTCTAAACAAATTACAGTTTAAAAATAAAAATAAGATAAAATGAAAGATCAAACAAAATATTCATAAATAATTTTTTGAAATAATACCTTGTGCTGGTCCATTAGACTAGTAACTGTATCCAAATCACCATATAAAGATTTATCTTCAGATAATATATTTTGTGCCTTATCTAACCAATCAATTAGAGCTTGAACTGCTTCTTTAAATTGGCCCGAGAACAAAAGAGCTTCTTCTAACTTCCTTTGCCTAATATTTATGTAAAATAAAAAAATTTTCTATTCTGTATATGAAAAATTTATATTTCAAATATATAAAACAAATCAATTATAAGTCTTTAAGACAAACTCCAAATTTATTCAGACTGTTTTATTATTATTGATATGAATTATTTTACACCATTAAAGAATCTATTCATATTTCATATCAAGTAGTCCTCAATATGTATGTATCAAACTTCTCTTAAATTATTTATTAAATTATTTAAATTAATATATAATAAATTAAAAATATCATACCTATCAACAGATTTTGTGCATATTTTATTCCATCTTTTCTTCAGTTCATCCATCATATCTTGTAAAATTGGCACATCAGTTTTAGGGCATTTCTCTTTTAGAGTACGACCAATTTTCATAGTATTATCGTACAATCCTTGTTTAGATCCAAGTATTCTTTGGAATTCTTTATGTTTTGATAACTGCTGTTTGATTTTTTGAGGGTCATTTCCAATATGCATTGCAGAATCTAATGTACTTTCAGCCTCATCCAACCATTTTACGATTTCAGTCCAAGCATCATGAAACTAAAATAAATATACTTTATTAATTAAAGTACAATAAATGTTATACTAGATTAATCTGTGAAAATATTCAGAAACTTAAGTACGAATCTGAAATTAAAGCTATATGTTCTAGAAATAAAAAGTAGATAAAACTACTAACTTCTTTTGCCTCTTTGTAACCATGATCTAGGGCACGCGTTCGTTCCGCTGCTTTAGAAACTACACGTTCCCATCGATGCTGGACACTAATGAGCAAATTTTTTATTAAAATTACATCTTGCTTTTGACTGAAATATTTTAGATGAGTTCCTTTCTTGTCAAGATTCACCATTATTTCTCTATGAGATCCTACATCTTTTTGGAATGTCTGAAATTTATAAAAGTAAAATTACAGAAAATTTTTTAAAGAAATAATAAATAAAATTTCTTGTTTAAATAAACAACTATCATCAATTTTGAAATATTCGAGATTTCAAATTCAGTACATAAAAAGGATGAAACTCGTTATTTATGTAAATATTCTTGGAAATGATGCTATTCGGGCTATCAAAAATGTAGAAATTGAGAAAAAACAATATAAATCACACAAATATTTCAATTTTCATTCTTAATAAAATAACAGATAAAATGACTGAAAGTTTTAGTTTTAAGTCTCATATTTTTAATATAATTTTTAATTTTTTTTTCATATTTAATCATATTTCATCAAAAATTTAAAACAAATATTTTGTTTGTATTATTGATATAATACATTTTTAATAAATTAAATAAAAATTTAATTCAAAATGTATATAAAAAGTGGAAAGCATATAGATTACACATTAAGAATGAAAGAAGCATTGACATCAATAGCATTAGTACATCTTATTTTGTTAAAATCTTACAATAATCATTGAATATAAGTATTAATTTTTACTACCAAATTTAATGAAATAATTCTGAGAATACAATTCTTTCTATCAAAATTCACAGAGAAATTTCTGATAGAAAAGTATTTTTTTAATGCCTAAAGCATACTTAGAAACTTTAAAAATATATTTGTATTTTTATTAATGAGTTTTAAATGATTATCTTAATTATCTCAATAAATCAGATGTAAACTCAAATTTTGATTTGTTCCATTAAAATAATTAATTAACTTACTTTGTGATCTTCAATTTGTTCCATTACCGCTTTCATAATGCGACTAACAGGTTTTAAATTTGTTAAATATTTTTCAGCATTGGTTAACCAATCAACAAATGATTGAAGTGATTCGTGGAATTCGAGAGCTTCTCTAAGAGCTATTTCTAATTTGATCTAAAATTATAATAAATTTTACAATTACTATGATGATTATAAAACTCTTGTATATAAAAATATAAAGTAAAATATCTAAAAGTACTCCAAAACAATAGAAGTACTCTTACTTTTCTATCATTGGCTTTATTAAGAACACTATCAGATCGTTGTTTTAATATTTTGAGATTATTTCTCAAATTATTTGTTGAACCTTCACTTAATTGATCTAAATATCTCTGTCCTTGTTGTAAAACAGAATCAACCTTATGACGATTGCTATCGAGGTCATTGTAGAGTTCCTATAAAAATCATTTCTAACATTATCAACAATTCTAAATAAACAGCACATATAAAATATTATAAATAATATAATATATATATGATATATTTCATTCATTCAAGATAATTTCAAGTTTCATACTTTTCAAATAAGAAAACAATTTATTGTAAAGAAACTATCGTTATAATGGCTTGAATATCATATATTCAACAATTTTCCTGGTCATATATTTTATAGTATTGTTATATTTTAATATTATTTAAAAATATATATATTTTACCATAAAACGATTTAATTGTTCCTTAGCTGTTTCTGGTAAACCACCAACAGGTTTAGAAGTAGCTAACTGGCTGTCAATTTCACTTAACCATAGCAAGAGGTCTTGTATTTCTTGATTAAATGCCTGAGCCTTTCAAAAATAAATTAATTATAAAATTATAAATACATATATCATAATATATTGTACATGAGACATTTTGTGTGATATATATTTTATTAATGACTCAATAATTTATTAATAATACTATGAGATTATTTGAATTTTTACCTCTTTTAAAGCATCCTCCAATTCGCGTTGTCGGATTGATGCTCTATCTTGTAGATTTTTCCATCTTGTATTCAGATCACCTAACTTATTTTGAGTTATATTAGCGTCTTCACTTCCCTTATTTGTTTCAATAAGTTGACGACCTGCATGGTTAAGAGTATTGACACTTGATTGATGTGCTTGAATGTCATTTGTAAGTACCTACAAAATATAATATTTATAATTTATACAATATAGGTAAAATTAGATGTTAACATTTAATCAAATTTACAAACCTTAAGTTTAGCTAACACCACTTCAATTACTTGTGGATCACCAAATACAGGTTGAAGTTCATCTAAAGTTTTTTCTGTTTTACTCATCCAAATCAATAACTCATCTAATGCATGTTGGAATTGTCCCAAATGCAATAATGCTTTTTCTAGCCCTCGCTACATTTGAAAAGAAAATAATTATTGTGTTAATGCAATAAGTTAATTTATTTAAAACTTCAAGATTTCATAAACATACCTGTCGATTTACAATTCCTTTCAGAAGATCATCCCATCGACGATTTATATCAGCTAATGGTTCACGAATGGCAGTCGCTTGATCGGGCGATGTACGTTCCATTAATTCTTGGGCTTGACGATTCAGCGATTCTATTTCCACCATATGCGGATCCACTTCCATTTTAAAATCCTAAAATATTCCAATTTTTAATTTTTAAAAATTGAAATAATAGATTAATACAATATACCTATGATGAAGTAAGTTATAAATAAAAACTTTTATGATTAGTAATGATACATACTTTTAAATAGTCGATTTGTCCCTTCACTGCATCAATATCTGATCCAACAGGACCTAAGTTGGAAAACTTATCTTCCACTGTATCCAAGAATTCCAACAGATTCTAAATCGATTGATAACAACAATTTTAATGTTAACTAATAAATTAACAATAACTTATTGGTTATTTCTAATTTCTAATAGTAAGTTTACTAACTTGAAGTGTATCATGGAAATTCATTGCTTTTTCCATTGCATCAATTAGATTTTGTTCTCTCTTAGCATATAAGGTTGTTACATTTTCCCAAGCTGAATCTAAGTCTTCAATGTGTTTTTTCACTTCTGGTTTATCTGGTTCTCCACATAATTGCATCAAATCTTGTCCAGCTTGACGGCAATGGTCAACTTCTGGTTTTGTTTGACCAATTTCTTGTTTTATTTCCTAAATTAATTAAAAATTGAATTGATTTAATGTAAGAAATCACGTTAATGGTTGAGTAATGATTTCTTTTACTTACTTGAAGTACTTCTTGTTGTTGTTGTATGGCACTTGGTTCTACTGCAGGAGGTTCTTGTGCATTCAAACTTTCTTGCAGTTCTTTCAAAGCTTTCATAACAGCATTCAATTCTTCCCAAAACCTTTCAGCAGCAGCTAAAGCATCTTCTAAGGATTTACCACGATGCCTTGCTGCTTTCTGAATTGTTTCCCACAAACCATTCAGTCGATCTAATTTCTGCCTTATGTCTATTTAAAAATAAAAATTATATATTTTCTTCTGGTTTTAATTTTAAAAATTTTATTATTTATGGGATTATAATTTTATAACTAATAATGCTAATGAAAACATTAATATTACAAACTGAAATTAAAGTACCTCGGACGGCTGGTTCATCTGTATTACCAGCTTTTACAATTACATCATCAGCTGCTTTTTTAACTGCTTCTAATGCAGTGGATCGCTTATCAAGATCTTGTAGAACTGCTTTATTATCATTTATTTGCTCTTGAATCCTATCTGGTATTGCAGAAATTGGTTCAGCATTATACAATTGATCTGCTGTAGAGCTAAGGGCATTTAACATTCCCTCCAGTTTATCTGAAAACTTATTAGAAAAAATTCATGTTATTATGGTACTATTGCAAAAACAAAAAAAAAAAAAAACATTAGTAACAACAATAATAATGTTTTTAAATCTATGAATACAAGAATTTATTAATTTTCATTATATATTTAAAATATATCAATAAATTTACTTGTGATGTTGCTTGTAGGGCTTCTTCAAGAGTATTTTGATGATTACGTAAAATGTTTTTCAGTGCATTGTAGCGACTGTTATCTGAATCCAGTATTTCTGTTAATTTAGCATTATCTTCTTCTTTACATAATTTCATTAATGTGGTCCCTGTCTTATTCAGTTTGTCTACAAGTGGTTTATGCTCATTTATTGATTGTAATAATACCTGGAATCATATAATTTTAGTAAAAATGTAACAAAAAATGTAAAAGTAGCTATTTAAATTTAACTAAATTGATGGCATTACTTTATTTCTTTCTTGCTGTCGTTTTATTTGATTAGAATTCATTATGGGAGCTTCTAATAATTCAGCTTCTGCTTCTATTTCATCCATCCATTGAGATAATTCTGCATGCGTTTCAAAGAAATGTTCAGCCAAAGGAACTGCTTGTTCTAATGCACTGAGCCTTTCTGAACATAGAGTTGATACAACACCACATGTTTCTTTTAAGTTATCTGCCTTATCTCTTATAATTGTTAGATCATCTGTAGACGATTCTCTCATCAGTTTCTTTGCTGTTGCAAGGATATCTTTCACTCTTCCTTTCTGGCTGCTTACTTCTTCATTCAAATTCTATTAAATAATATATAAATATTTTTAAGAAACATATTTTATTATTAAATATCAATGTTACAATAAAAATATATATATTTAGTTTAACATAAAAATTTCATATACTTTCTTTGGAAAAATTATTCAAAACATACCTTCTGTTCTTGGGCTTGAGCTTTAACAACTTTATAATCAGCTGAAGGTGCTTTCTGATTACAAACCATTTCTTCTGTATCATGGATCCACTTTTGAACTCCATCAAGTGCTTCTTGGAATTTTCCTGATTGTATCAAAGCAACATCTAATCGACGTTCTCTCTCATTCAACTGTAATAGAAATTTTATACATCATTTTTCATATTCCAGACATACAAGGCAAGATAAAAGTATTTTATTTCATAATGAATTTTTGCTATTAATAATGAATAATCTAAGACCCTAATCACTAAGAATTTAAACTTTTAATTTTACTGATGTAATTTAAAAATTTGCATGAAAAAAAATGAGATAAGATATGAATTATCATTTAAATTTTGCTTGTAAATAAAAACATATAAAGAATCAATTAGACAGAATTAAATATTTTAAATATTTACTTAATCTAATTTAACATGATAATTTATTGAATGATGTTATTAAATTTTATTAGAAATTTTAACAATTTTGACTTCCTAAACAAATATTGTAAAATAAAAATTTGATTAGCTAATAATTCACTTTTAAATTAATTTCTGTTTAATTTAGAATTAGTTAGCTATAATTATCTAGAAACTAAAAACCTCTTTAGTTTTAACTTTTTTTATTAATGAATATGATTCTTGACAAATATTTTATAATATATTTTTCTATGATTCTTACTGACGATATTAATACATTTGAAAATTTATTGTAGATATTAATATCAACTGATATAGAGATTCATATGCTTAAACTATTAGATTTTTATTTAATTTTTCAACATAAGCTTAACATAGACTATTGTATGGTTAAAAATTATTTTTTTATTTTGTAGAAACAAAATAAATATATTGAAAAATATAAAAACAATAAAAAATTATACTTCAGAAGTTAATTTAGTATCAAAAACGTAAAATATTTGAGTAGCCCANCAGAATGACTAAATTTCACCTGATGTAAAAATGTATTAATTTCAATTTTATGCATGTGTCACTCACTTTTGCAAAATTTCCTGTAGATATGGAATGTTTTAGAATTTTTTACAGATATAGAAAAGTTCCACTTGTATACAATTTAAAATATTTAAATATATCAATTTCTTTCCTAAAATATTTAGTTTTTATTTCATTTAGTATATGTATTTGAAGTAAAAAGTTGCATTTAGCATTACAGTAGAGTGTCGATTATCTGAATCAATTGGGGACTGGGGTTGTTTGGAAAATCTATATTTCGGATAACCGATTATGTACGAAAAAATATATTAACCTACCCCATGTTGAAATTTTTCTCCGTTGTGTGTCACTTCATGTTGAATTTTTGTCGATGTTAAGCTTAACATAGACTATTGTATGGTTAAAAATTATTTTTTTATTTTGTAGAAACAAAATAAATATATTGAAAAATATAAAAACAATACTTCAAAAGTTAATTTAGTATCAAAAGCGTAAAATATTTGAGTAGCCGAAGACATAGCCAAAGATTGCAGTGCCACAGCACTGGCAAAAATTTAAATTTGCCGACTGGAATTCTTTCAGATAATTGACGTTTCGGATAATTGACTTTCGGATAATTGACGCTCTACTGTATTATTTACAGTATTTAAATGTGGTTAAAGACTAAAGATTTACCTGAAGCATGTTTCATTATATCTCTTCCAGAATTAATTGTATCTTGAACTTCATCTTCATGATCATTTATATCATCTTTTAATTTCTAATATAAAATAAAGTTTTATTAATATTTTATAATTTTAAATAATTTAATTCTTTTAAAAAACTTTTAAGCAATAAACTTTCTTACCTTAAGTTCATTCAATTGTTCTTGTAATTTATCTACATAAACATTTAAAATTTCATAATGGGATAAACGAGTATTCATTTTCTCTATCCATGCTATAATTTTCTGGTATTTCACAGTAAATTTTCCAAGACCATCACACACATCAGTTAATATTTGTCCTATAATTTTATTATCTTTGATAACCATTTCAAATCTTTCAATCACTTCTTTAAGACGTTCCTCCACATTGTTAGCTTCATCAATTCCAACAAGATTTTTTAATTTTAATGAGAGATTTTTCAGTTCATCAAAAAATCTATCGTGTTCAATAATTTCTTTTTCAAGATTCTAAAAGCATAAAAACAAAAATTATATATACATTAAGTTAATAAAGAAATTAAACTTTCATACTATACAAAATTATGGAAAATTGAATGTCTACAAACTTATTTCAACATTTCTTGTTTATTAATTTAAATATTTAATAAATAGCTAGATATTTTTTTATATATTATATTTAGAAGTAACACTTATCATTCATTAGTTATTTTAAAGCAAAGAATTGTGTTGTAGTGCCGAATATTAAATTATTGTAAATTTTTTGAATTTTGAAAAAGATTTATGATTATAAATCATTAAAATAAAACCAGATAATTTCAAATCTAATAAAATATAATGCAAATAGGTTAGAATATAAATTCTGCTAATTTCAAGGTGGTCTTCTTTTATACATTTAGATTAACATAAAAATGTTATGTATTTTATCACTGAATAACAAACATTTACCTTATGTTCAACAATATTAATTTTAAGACGATCTTGATCAGTCGGTACAGTTGACAATGTCACAATTCTCTTTTCAACTATTTCTATCCATTCGGTAAGAACAGTTAATTTTTCTTGAAAGTCTCGAGCAACCGGTATGGTGTTATCGAGACAATCCATACGTTCTTGGGCTTTTGAAGTTAAGGTATTAAATTTCTGAAGTAATGTGGTTAGTTGTTGGTTAACATCAGTATCTTGAGACTGTCCCAAAATATCAGATCCCATCGTTTGTAAAGAACAAATGCTATTTTGTCTATCCAAAAGTAATTTTCTCAAAAACTATATTTAGAGTTTAAAAAAAATATATATATTTAGTTTAACATAAAAATTTCATATACTTTCTTTGGAAAAATTATTCAAAACATACCTTCTGTTCTTGGGCTTGAGCTTTAACAACTTTATAATCAGCTGAAGGTGCTTTCTGATTACAAACCATTTCTTCTGTATCATGGATCCACTTTTGAACTCCATCAAGTGCTTCTTGGAATTTTCCTGATTGTATCAAAGCAACATCTAATCGACGTTCTCTCTCATTCAACTGTAATAGAAATTTTATACATCATTTTTCATATTCCAGACATACAAGGCAAGATAAAAGTATTTTATTTCATAATGAATTTTTGCTATTAATAATGAATAATCTAAGACCCTAATCACTAAGAATTTAAACTTTTAATTTTACTGATGTAATTTAAAAATTTGCATGAAAAAAATGAGATAAGATATGAATTATCATTTAAATTTTGCTTGTAAATAAAAACATATAAAGAATCAATTAGACAGAATTAAATATTTTAAATATTTACTTAATCTAATTTAACATGATAATTTATTGAATGATGTTATTAAATTTTATTAGAAATTTTAACAATTTTGACTTCCTAAACAAATATTGTAAAATAAAAATTTGATTAGCTAATAATTCACTTTTAAATTAATTTCTGTTTAATTTAGAATTAGTTAGCTATAATTATCTAGAAACTAAAAACCTCTTTAGTTTTAACTTTTTTTATTAATGAATATGATTCTTGACAAATATTTTATAATATATTTTTCTATGATTCTTACTGACGATATTAATACATTTGAAAATTTATTGTAGATATTAATATCAACTGATATAGAGATTCATATGCTTAAACTATTAGATTTTTATTTAATTTTTCAACATTAATTAAAAACAAATGTATTATTATTACTATTATTCTTTTCAATAATGAATGTAATATCATTTCAATTATTTGTATATTTAATTTTTTAAATATACATTTAAAAAATTTAATAATTTCATTACTTTTTCATTTAGTGTGTTCCATTTCTCATTCAATTTCTCTAAATCTTGTTCAAGACCAGTCGTATTGATGCCAGAAGAGGCAGATTGGATCAAACCTTGGCCACTTTTATTAACTTCTTCAATGTTTTTCTTGAGTGGTTCTATTTTTTTCTGGCATAAAGTCTAACACAGAAAATATATTTTAAATTATTTTGACAATTAAATAATTTTATATGTATCAGAGTAATCACTACATTAAGTAGCATATAAATATAATATATCAATGATAACATTATATAAATTCTAACGCAAATATTGTAATAATTGAAAACTAATTTATTTATTAAGAAGTCAAATTCTCCTACCCCCTTGTAACAAGTTAAATCTTAAATACAATAAATTTGTTTTTAAAATTCTAACAGAAATATAATGTCAAACATTTACACTTTTATTATTTTGATTTTATTTTACTTTCTATCTTTAAATTTACATTAAATAAATTATATCTAACTTAAAATAAATTGAATTATTACTTTTCATTGAGCTATTCAAAGAAAAAATAATGCAGTTTATTATTATTAATAATGAAATTTATTTTATTTTGTTGTTGTTATCATCTTTTATTCTCTCACAAAGTATATACCTTGAACTGCTGTTGCTGAGAACGAACAGTTTCTACATCTCCACCGACCGATTTGAAATTTTTCTCTTCGGATATTAAATTTTCTAGATCCTTAAGAGTAGTAGAGTAATCCTTGTAAAATTGTTCCAGTCTTTTTAGTGTCTTTTCTAAATCGGTATGGTAAACTTTACTGCGGTCATCTAATCTATTAAGCTGCCTTTGAATGTTACTTATCTGAAAAATTTTTAAAATATACAATAAATTCATAACAACTAAACAGTTTATATTTATTGCATTTATTAGGTAAATTTTTTGAATTTTGAAAAAGATTTATGATTATAAATCATTAAAATAAAACCAGATAATTTCAAATCTAATAAAATATAATGCAAATAGGTTAGAATATAAATTCTGCTAATTTCAAGGTGGTCTTCTTTTATACATTTAGATTAACATAAAAATGTTATGTATTTTATCACTGAATAACAAACATTTACCTTATGTTCAACAATATTAATTTTAAGACGATCTTGATCAGTCGGTACAGTTGACAATGTCACAATTCTCTTTTCAACTATTTCTATCCATTCGGTAAGAACAGTTAATTTTTCTTGAAAGTCTCGAGCAACCGGTATGGTGTTATCGAGACAATCCATACGTTCTTGGGCTTTTGAAGTTAAGGTATTAAATTTCTGAAGTAATGTGGTTAGTTGTTGGTTAACATCAGTATCTTGAGACTGTCCCAAAATATCAGATCCCATCGTTTGTAAAGAACAAATGCTATTTTGTCTATCCAAAAGTAATTTTCTCAAAAACTATATTTAGAGTTAAAAAAAATATANAATATTTATAAATTAATTCTACCTTTATAGTTGTTTCTTGCATAGAAAGACTGGTTGTTTCCAAACCTTTCAAAAGTTTTTCAGCTTCTTCCATCCAGTTAGTAAGTTGATCATGTGAAAAATGGAACTTTTCAACTAATGGTAAGGCATTTTCTGCTTGCTTCAATTTATCATTTACACGATTCATCAAATCAGTAAATTTTATTTGAAGAGTGTCTAGTTTTTCTTTCATTTCGATAGCATCATCACCTAGAAAATTAATTTAATATTTTATTACTTCATGTATAAAGCTTTTATAATAAAATAAAAAATAAATTATTGTTCATACTTAAATAAATATTTACTAAATATTTTATTATAATTAATATTAGTTTTCTTGATCTCTGCTAGAGGCAGCACTATAAACTTCTATTACTTTGTGTTTTTCACAATAATATATTAAATATTAATATATTATAAATTTGAAATATTGCATACAGTAGTTTCTACTGTACAATTTAGTTTTAATGCCAATTTTGGTAGTGTTTTTATTAATTATTCATAGCTGTAACAAAAAAAAAAAAAAAATTTCATGTGTTGTAATCATTAACTATTGACACCCAATAAAAAATGAAATAAAATAAAGCAAGTGTATCAATAAAACCACCAAACACTAGGTTTGCAGGTTCATGTCTGACCAATGGGCTTGCTGTGTGAAAATTTTTGGGTTTTTATCACGCATCTAACATCTAAATAGGGGCCAGTTTCTCTAGAAAGCCTTCCCATTAGGCATTTCCCTTGGCAGATTGCTCAGGTGTTGCATTGCCTTATTTCAGTGTTTTCCAACCTTTTTCTCATCACAGGTAAAATTATGAATAATTTTACCTGGACCAGTAATTATATGTGACTATGAATTATGCTTATCTAGAGTTACTGTATGTAACGAAGGATGTACAATATACAGTAACAAAGTACTCTAGATTACTACTTAAATGTCACTCATAATCAGTCAGCTTCAGTATGGTTAACTTGTTTTACAGATGGCACCAGTCTATTTATTAACCGGCAGTTGAAAAACAATGCCTTATACCATAAATCTAATCTGAAAAAATAAAAACACATATAAATGGAGGAAAACCTCAAAATCCATTTATATTTGCAACTTAATTTGTTAACTTGCTCTTAATTGTTGTGATTCTAATTTTATTTTATCTTCGTTACTTTAATTGTTACTGTATATTTTAAACTATCTTATTTTTCATAAATTTTACTTGTATAAATATATATTACGCCTGTATAATATCCTTGTTGCCCTCCCATCATTGTACAATTTTACTCTTAATGTTTATTAATATGCTGTGTTCATTGTCATAATTAGTTAGTGTTTTTTAAATCCTGATAATGCTCAGCGAAATCAGGAAATGTAACTTATGTTATTTTAATAAAATGAAAATGAATGAATGAATGAAAATATTTGCAACTAACCAGGTTGCAAATAATTTCAGTCACACTAATTTCCTTCAAAAATAACAACTTATTTTTGCATTCAATATTTTTTTTTTATATATGTGCAAATAATTCACACAGGCACAACTAGTTTACTTAACGCACAAATAAATGCCAAGTTTGGTATTTCTAACAGAATTGGGTTGATGTATACATTATCATATAAAAATTTGTAATCCCTCGTATAACAGAGTACTCACATTAAAAAAAAAAATGCTGTGTTTGCAAATCTATGCTATACGAAACAAAGGACCAATGCAAAACATGGGGTTATGTTCCAGAAGTTAACGAAAATATACTATTCTTTTTATTACTAAGAGAAATATGTTTATTAAAGCAATCAATATTTTTTTCTAATCAATAATTAACAATCACAATTAAAAGTACTGTATTATGTGTTAATATTAATTTTAGTTAAACAAGGGCATTTTCTTTTTACAAAGTATCATCATCTCAGCTGTTTTGTTGATCTCAATCAGAAGTATCGGCAACATTTTCATATTTTTTATTTTTATCATAAAAATTTTTATGGATGACAAAATAAAAATATTTTATTAATCGAAAATTTGTTCTAGTGGGTCATATTTGTTTGATAGAGTACTGAGCAATTTTTTTTCCAGAATTTGTGTTTGGATACCATATTGTTCAAGTACCGAGATACTGCCGTATTTTGTTAATTTTTACAAATGAAGTAATCATTCATGGGTAAGTAATACCCTATGATTAAAAAAATTTAATAACATTTATCTAAAAATGTTTAAATAAACTTTACTAAATATGAAGATTAATCTATAAAGCAGAAAAAAAAAACATGATGACAGTCTTAAGGGCTAAAGTCTGAAAGCAACAACAACATTGAAACCTGGTTGATAAGAAAGTTAGGACAAGAAAGAAAAAAATTGCACTATCAGTTTTTGTCAAAGTAAACCTGATGAAAAGCACAAAATAATTTGATGGCAAATAATCTGTGGGCAAAATTGAGATGATAAGCATGCTTACTTGAATAAAAAAAAAAAAACATCGAATAATAAAGTTTACACTTAAAAATTGTGGATTTTTATATAAGGGATTTTTAAAACAGAATTACAGTGAAACGAAAGGTCATGTTGTATGAGGGATATCCCCATTTTCAAACTGTGTTAGAGCAAAACCATGTTTTAGAAGTACTGTGTTGTATGAGGGATAACTGTACTTAAATAAATAAAATAGTGAATGAAATCAATTTACCTTTTGTTCTTTTAATAAAGTGACTAATGTATCTAATTCAGGAACTAATGGTTCACATTCAATAAGCTGTTTTTCAACCTCTTCAAACCATTTTAGAAGTTCCTCTATATCTCCAACAACCTTAAAAAGATAAAATTCCTTAATTTTAATATTTGAAAATATTTTTAATAAATTCTAATTGTAAAAATACTTTAATCTTTTACTAATTTGGATCCAATAATCCAACAATTTTTTAATATAAAATATATATATTTTAAAACCTAAATATAAAACTTATGAAGTAAACAATTATTTGCGTGTGTATATATAATTATATATCTTAATTTTGAAATTATAATTCTAATATATAAACATAATTGCAAAAAATATTAGTTAAAATGAATAAATTTCATTTGTTTTTGAGTTTCATTATAACTAATTTCTATTAAATATATGATATATTGATTTAGAAAAATCTTAAATAAAACATACTTCCAAGTTTCTTTGTTTTGACAATGTAATTCTTTCTCCTTTTCGCTGTACTTGTTCACAGATGACATCAAATCGTCGGTTATTTTGTGAAACCAAATTTTCTATTGTAGCGGCTTCACTTCCAGGTGACAATTGACATAACTTGGAACCGATGTGATTAACTGTTTCCAAAACTGTGCGATACTCTTGTATTTCACTTTCGAGATTCTATACCAATAGAAATAAATTTAATTAGAGACTAATTACAACATAATTAATATTGAGTAATATTTATAAATTAATTCTACCTTTATAGTTGTTTCTTGCATAGAAAGACTGGTTGTTTCCAAACCTTTCAAAAGTTTTTCAGCTTCTTCCATCCAGTTAGTAAGTTGATCATGTGAAAAATGGAACTTTTCAACTAATGGTAAGGCATTTTCTGCTTGCTTCAATTTATCATTTACACGATTCATCAAATCAGTAAATTTTATTTGAAGAGTGTCTAGTTTTTCTTTCATTTCGATAGCATCATCACCTAGAAAATTAATTTAATATTTTATTACTTCATGTATAAAGCTTTTATAATAAAATAAAAAATAAATTATTGTTCATACTTAAATAAATATTTACTAAATATTTTATTATAATTAATATTAGATAATATTAACTACTTTATTTTATATTATCTAATGTTCATCAAATAAAATATATGACAATATACTTCCATTCTCTACTAAGAAATTATTAGTCTATAAATAAAACAACCCGATGTAATCCACTGGCTTTACGAATTTATCAGGTTTCGTCAGGTTTTTTTATGTCTATAAATTTTCCAGAGATTATTTTATGCAATATTTCAAAATATATCTAGATCAAAGTAAATAGTTTATTCCATAATTAATATTCAAAAATGATGAAAATGTTAAGTGTATAATTATTGATATTAAAGCAAACAAAACTTCAAAATTGATTTACTTCATTTATTAAAAATGAAATACATGATAAAAATGTAATAATAACAGAAATTCTGTTATTTTTTCTATCTTCTAATGGTTAAACAAACAGTAAAGATAACAATAAAATTATTTTAAGTGTCAATATTCTGTGTATTTTTGATAAAATTTGGCCAGAAATGAACATTGTAATTTCCAATCTTCTTTTTTTTTTTTAAATGGAAATGTATCATATGAATAAATTTGAATTAATAGTTCTAATGTGTTATAACTATCTGGTAGGCATCAGTCATAATTACTATGAATCAATAACATATTATAATTGAATATATATTGATTCAGAATGACTAAATTTCACCTGATGTAAAAATGTATTAATTTCAATTTTATGCATGTGTCACTCACTTTTGCAAAATTTCCTGTAGATATGGAATGTTTTAGAATTTTTTACAGATATAGAAAAGTTCCACTTGTATACAATTTAAAATATTTAAATATATCAATTTCTTTCCTAAAATATTTAGTTTTTATTTCATTTAGTATATGTATTTGAAGTAAAAAGTTGCATTTAGCATTACAGTAGAGTGTCGATTATCTGAATCAATTGGGGACTGGGGTTGTTTGGAAAATCTATATTTCGGATAACCGATTATGTACGAAAAAATATATTAACCTACCCCATGTTGAAATTTTTCTCCGTTGTGTGTCACTTCATGTTGAATTTTTGTCGATGTTAAGCTTAACATAGACTATTGTATGGTTAAAAATTATTTTTTTATTTTGTAGAAACAAAATAAATATATTGAAAAATATAAAAACAATACTTCAAAAGTTAATTTAGTATCAAAAGCGTAAAATATTTGAGTAGCCGAAGACATAGCCAAAGATTGCAGTGCCACAGCACTGGCAAAAATTTAAATTTGCCGACTGGAATTCTTTCAGATAATTGACGTTTCGGATAATTGACTTTCGGATAATTGACGCTCTACTGTATTATTTACAGTATTTAAATGTGGTTAAAGACTAAAGATTTACCTGAAGCATGTTTCATTATATCTCTTCCAGAATTAATTGTATCTTGAACTTCATCTTCATGATCATTTATATCATCTTTTAATTTCTAATATAAAATAAAGTTTTATTAATATTTTATAATTTTAAATAATTTAATTCTTTTAAAAAACTTTTAAGCAATAAACTTTCTTACCTTAAGTTCATTCAATTGTTCTTGTAATTTATCTACATAAACATTTAAAATTTCATAATGGGATAAACGAGTATTCATTTTCTCTATCCATGCTATAATTTTCTGGTATTTCACAGTAAATTTTCCAAGACCATCACACACATCAGTTAATATTTGTCCTATAATTTTATTATCTTTGATAACCATTTCAAATCTTTCAATCACTTCTTTAAGACGTTCCTCCACATTGTTAGCTTCATCAATTCCAACAAGATTTTTTAATTTTAATGAGAGATTTTTCAGTTCATCAAAAAATCTATCGTGTTCAATAATTTCTTTTTCAAGATTCTAAAAGCATAAAAACAAAAATTATATATACATTAAGTTAATAAAGAAATTAAACTTTCATACTATACAAAATTATGGAAAATTGAATGTCTACAAACTTATTTCAACATTTCTTGTTTATTAATTTAAATATTTAATAAATAGCTAGATATTTTTTTATATATTATATTTAGAAGTAACACTTATCATTCATTAGTTATTTTAAAGCAAAGAATTGTGTTGTAGTGCCGAATATTAAATTATTGTAAATTTTTTGAATTTTGAAAAAGATTTATGATTATAAATCATTAAAATAAAACCAGATAATTTCAAATCTAATAAAATATAATGCAAATAGGTTAGAATATAAATTCTGCTAATTTCAAGGTGGTCTTCTTTTATACATTTAGATTAACATAAAAATGTTATGTATTTTATCACTGAATAACAAACATTTACCTTATGTTCAACAATATTAATTTTAAGACGATCTTGATCAGTCGGTACAGTTGACAATGTCACAATTCTCTTTTCAACTATTTCTATCCATTCGGTAAGAACAGTTAATTTTTCTTGAAAGTCTCGAGCAACCGGTATGGTGTTATCGAGACAATCCATACGTTCTTGGGCTTTTGAAGTTAAGGTATTAAATTTCTGAAGTAATGTGGTTAGTTGTTGGTTAACATCAGTATCTTGAGACTGTCCCAAAATATCAGATCCCATCGTTTGTAAAGAACAAATGCTATTTTGTCTATCCAAAAGTAATTTTCTCAAAAACTATATTTAGAGTTAAAAAAAATATATATATTTAGTTTAACATAAAAATTTCATATACTTTCTTTGGAAAAATTATTCAAAACATACCTTCTGTTCTTGGGCTTGAGCTTTAACAACTTTATAATCAGCTGAAGGTGCTTTCTGATTACAAACCATTTCTTCTGTATCATGGATCCACTTTTGAACTCCATCAAGTGCTTCTTGGAATTTTCCTGATTGTATCAAAGCAACATCTAATCGACGTTCTCTCTCATTCAACTGTAATAGAAATTTTATACATCATTTTTCATATTCCAGACATACAAGGCAAGATAAAAGTATTTTATTTCATAATGAATTTTTGCTATTAATAATGAATAATCTAAGACCCTAATCACTAAGAATTTAAACTTTTAATTTTACTGATGTAATTTAAAAATTTGCATGAAAAAAATGAGATAAGATATGAATTATCATTTAAATTTTGCTTGTAAATAAAAACATATAAAGAATCAATTAGACAGAATTAAATATTTTAAATATTTACTTAATCTAATTTAACATGATAATTTATTGAATGATGTTATTAAATTTTATTAGAAATTTTAACAATTTTGACTTCCTAAACAAATATTGTAAAATAAAAATTTGATTAGCTAATAATTCACTTTTAAATTAATTTCTGTTTAATTTAGAATTAGTTAGCTATAATTATCTAGAAACTAAAAACCTCTTTAGTTTTAACTTTTTTTATTAATGAATATGATTCTTGACAAATATTTTATAATATATTTTTCTATGATTCTTACTGACGATATTAATACATTTGAAAATTTATTGTAGATATTAATATCAACTGATATAGAGATTCATATGCTTAAACTATTAGATTTTTATTTAATTTTTCAACATTAATTAAAAACAAATGTATTATTATTACTATTATTCTTTTCAATAATGAATGTAATATCATTTCAATTATTTGTATATTTAATTTTTTAAATATACATTTAAAAAATTTAATAATTTCATTACTTTTTCATTTAGTGTGTTCCATTTCTCATTCAATTTCTCTAAATCTTGTTCAAGACCAGTCGTATTGATGCCAGAAGAGGCAGATTGGATCAAACCTTGGCCACTTTTATTAACTTCTTCAATGTTTTTCTTGAGTGGTTCTATTTTTTTCTGGCATAAAGTCTAACACAGAAAATATATTTTAAATTATTTTGACAATTAAATAATTTTATATGTATCAGAGTAATCACTACATTAAGTAGCATATAAATATAATATATCAATGATAACATTATATAAATTCTAACGCAAATATTGTAATAATTGAAAACTAATTTATTTATTAAGAAGTCAAATTCTCCTACCCCCTTGTAACAAGTTAAATCTTAAATACAATAAATTTGTTTTTAAAATTCTAACAGAAATATAATGTCAAACATTTACACTTTTATTATTTTGATTTTATTTTACTTTCTATCTTTAAATTTACATTAAATAAATTATATCTAACTTAAAATAAATTGAATTATTACTTTTCATTGAGCTATTCAAAGAAAAAATAATGCAGTTTATTATTATTAATAATGAAATTTATTTTATTTTGTTGTTGTTATCATCTTTTATTCTCTCACAAAGTATATACCTTGAACTGCTGTTGCTGAGAACGAACAGTTTCTACATCTCCACCGACCGATTTGAAATTTTTCTCTTCGGATATTAAATTTTCTAGATCCTTAAGAGTAGTAGAGTAATCCTTGTAAAATTGTTCCAGTCTTTTTAGTGTCTTTTCTAAATCGGTATGGTAAACTTTACTGCGGTCATCTAATCTATTAAGCTGCCTTTGAATGTTACTTATCTGAAAAATTTTTAAAATATACAATAAATTCATAACAACTAAACAGTTTATATTTATTGCATTTATTAGGATTCAAATCAACTAACTTGATCTTTGTATACTTTTTCTTCTATATTATATTTTCCTTGAGTTATTACTTTCTGTGTATCATTAATTTCAATTCTAGTTTTACTTATTTGTTTTGCAAAATTCTGTAAATAAACAAATAAAACATTTTAAATATATTAAATTAATTAATTATTAATTTTATAGTAAATTTACTAATGTCATATAATAATTTAAAAATTCAACTTTTATATACACAAGAAACAAATAAATTCAAATACAATTAATTTATAAAAAAAAATACTGTATGTTAGATCTGAATCTGACTTTTCCTTTTATTTTTATTTTACATAAAAACTGATTCCACAAAATTGAGAACAAATGTAATATAAAATGTTTTAATACAATTATTTAATTAATTTAAATAAATTCTTATAAAATAAGCTTACACAAGTGTATTCATTAATAGAAAAATTACTCAAAAATACTTCAGTTTGTAATTTTTAATAATTCAAGTTTGAAAAAAAATCAATCTTTTTATTTTATTTTGCATTGTATGTTTAACATGCTTGAATAAATTCATAACATTTAAATGTATTTAAATGTAGATTGTAAACACAGAGTGCTAAAATATCAATAATTAAATTCAATAAAAATATTATAAATTCTCCCTTACCTTTATCTCATCAAACTGAGCCCGAACAGTATTTACATCTCTGCCAATAGAACCCATGGTATCCAAAGACTCTTCAAGAGTATTTAATTGTGTTTGTATTGTCTTCACTTTATTCTTGATAAATAAAATAAAATTTATTAAATTAGTTTCAGTAATCAACTAAAATATATTTAATTCTATTTTTTTATTTACAGAAAACTGAATACTTAAAAATAATAATAATAAAATTAATGTATTGTTATATATCAAAAACTTAAAATAAAAACTGTAATAATGAAAGCTGATTTAATCTTAGTGTTTTTAATTGCATTTCTTTTTAATTTAAAAATCATTTATAACATTCTAAATATATCTAATTATAATTACTATAATACTATCCAAATTTTAAACTGAAAGACAATTTTATCACATTCATAAACATTGTGTTCATTGTATCAATATAAAAAATATAATGCTGTTTCATAATTAAAGATATCTATATATATAAAATTATGTCCTGACTGACTGATTCATCATCATCCAGAGTAAACCACTGAGCCTAAGAAGAGAATTTGGTGCACAGTTAGGGTATGTCATAAAAATGCACACTAAGAAGGGAGAGGATTAAGGCTTAACCTGAAGAATAGCTTCTACTGTGCTATTTTAGATGTGATTTTTTGATTTTGATAGTAATAACTTAATTTCCAAACATATAATATTTACCAAATCATCCAAATCGGTTGCCCGAGCAATGCCGGGCTCATTTGCTAGTGGAATATAAAAATGTAGTGATATGAATGCAGAAATGCAGACAAACTACATATGTGTACGTATATATTCTATGTATAAAGGGCATAGCATATATATATGCCTTTATAGATAGAATATGGAATATGTAATTATATATCAGTAAAAATAGTTATTACTTATAATCTCTTCAAGAAGTTTTTCCACTTTTCCACATCTTGCAGATCCAGAATATCAACTTCTCTCATTTCAAATATAACTTTTGCTTATATTGTTATATTACAGCAATAATTATTATTATGGTACTATCTTATATTTCCATTTTTATGTTTACAAAAAATCATCTGTCAATAACATTAGTTAATTTATTTCAATGTTTTAATAATTAAAAATAAATTCTAAATTTCTTTCATTTTAAATCAGAATTTGCATGAACGTTCATTGTTGATTATATTTTTACTTAAAAAGATAAAGAAGAGTAAGCATTGGCTGGCATAAATAATGTATATTTCTCATTATTTAACAAAAACAGCTGAGTATTAGTTAATGGAGGATACAATAGCATGTTATTTTACAATGTTATATATCTAGTCTTAATACTCTAATTGTTCTTATATTGAACTTGGATTGAATAAATATGTTTTCAAAGCAAAAACAAAAATTTGCATTAGTAGAACTATAACCTGAGCTATTAGAACATGAATTTTAAATTATAATTACTTACTGTAAATTTTAATAATATTTCTGAAGCAGCTTCTAAATCGTTTAATCTTGTTTGAAGTTTTTTATTTGTACTCTGATAATGCTTTTCTACAGTTTCAACTTCTTTAGTTATATGAGTAATATTAGATGATGTTGTTCCTTCCACAAGAAGTTTTTTGACGTAATCTTTCAAGCTATTAATCTGTTTTTGAATGTCGTTAGCTTCCACAATGAATGACTACAAATACAATATTTTAATTAGTACATTAAAATACAGCTTGATGAATTAACAAATTGTAATTTTTACAAACCTTCATTCTTTCTAAATGACGGGGTTCTCTTGCTGCATCTCCAAGGGCATCGTGAGATGCGAGTTTATCATCTAATCTTTGTAGTGAGTGTTGAATATCACGTAACTTATCATAATATTCAGTTAACCGTTGTGACACAACATCTAATATTTGTGATCTGTTAGCAATTTCTACAAAAAAGAAACAATTCATTAAATAAAAACATAATTTACTATATAACAAAGTTTAGTAAAATCTTTTACAGATATTAAAAATAAATNTGTATATTTTAAACTATCTTATTTTTCATAAATTTTACTTGTATAAATATATATTACGCCTGTATAATATCCTTGTTGCCCTCCCATCATTGTACAATTTTACTCTTAATGTTTATTAATATGCTGTGTTCATTGTCATAATTAGTTAGTGTTTTTTAAATCCTGATAATGCTCAGCGAAATCAGGAAATGTAACTTATGTTATTTTAATAAAATGAAAATGAATGAATGAATGAAAATATTTGCAACTAACCAGGTTGCAAATAATTTCAGTCACACTAATTTCCTTCAAAAATAACAACTTATTTTTGCATTCAATATTTTTTTTTTATATATGTGCAAATAATTCACACAGGCACAACTAGTTTACTTAACGCACAAATAAATGCCAAGTTTGGTATTTCTAACAGAATTGGGTTGATGTATACATTATCATATAAAAATTTGTAATCCCTCGTATAACAGAGTACTCACATTAAAAAAAAAAATGCTGTGTTTGCAAATCTATGCTATACGAAACAAAGGACCAATGCAAAACATGGGGTTATGTTCCAGAAGTTAACGAAAATATACTATTCTTTTTATTACTAAGAGAAATATGTTTATTAAAGCAATCAATATTTTTTTCTAATCAATAATTAACAATCACAATTAAAAGTACTGTATTATGTGTTAATATTAATTTTAGTTAAACAAGGGCATTTTCTTTTTACAAAGTATCATCATCTCAGCTGTTTTGTTGATCTCAATCAGAAGTATCGGCAACATTTTCATATTTTTTATTTTTATCATAAAAATTTTTATGGATGACAAAATAAAAATATTTTATTAATCGAAAATTTGTTCTAGTGGGTCATATTTGTTTGATAGAGTACTGAGCAATTTTTTTTCCAGAATTTGTGTTTGGATACCATATTGTTCAAGTACCGAGATACTGCCGTATTTTGTTAATTTTTACAAATGAAGTAATCATTCATGGGTAAGTAATACCCTATGATTAAAAAAATTTAATAACATTTATCTAAAAATGTTTAAATAAACTTTACTAAATATGAAGATTAATCTATAAAGCAGAAAAAAAAAACATGATGACAGTCTTAAGGGCTAAAGTCTGAAAGCAACAACAACATTGAAACCTGGTTGATAAGAAAGTTAGGACAAGAAAGAAAAAAATTGCACTATCAGTTTTTGTCAAAGTAAACCTGATGAAAAGCACAAAATAATTTGATGGCAAATAATCTGTGGGCAAAATTGAGATGATAAGCATGCTTACTTGAATAAAAAAAAAAAAAACATCGAATAATAAAGTTTACACTTAAAAATTGTGGATTTTTATATAAGGGATTTTTAAAACAGAATTACAGTGAAACGAAAGGTCATGTTGTATGAGGGATATCCCCATTTTCAAACTGTGTTAGAGCAAAACCATGTTTTAGAAGTACTGTGTTGTATGAGGGATAACTGTACTTAAATAAATAAAATAGTGAATGAAATCAATTTACCTTTTGTTCTTTTAATAAAGTGACTAATGTATCTAATTCAGGAACTAATGGTTCACATTCAATAAGCTGTTTTTCAACCTCTTCAAACCATTTTAGAAGTTCCTCTATATCTCCAACAACCTTAAAAAGATAAAATTCCTTAATTTTAATATTTGAAAATATTTTTAATAAATTCTAATTGTAAAAATACTTTAATCTTTTACTAATTTGGATCCAATAATCCAACAATTTTTTAATATAAAATATATATATTTTAAAACCTAAATATAAAACTTATGAAGTAAACAATTATTTGCGTGTGTATATATAATTATATATCTTAATTTTGAAATTATAATTCTAATATATAAACATAATTGCAAAAAATATTAGTTAAAATGAATAAATTTCATTTGTTTTTGAGTTTCATTATAACTAATTTCTATTAAATATATGATATATTGATTTAGAAAAATCTTAAATAAAACATACTTCCAAGTTTCTTTGTTTTGACAATGTAATTCTTTCTCCTTTTCGCTGTACTTGTTCACAGATGACATCAAATCGTCGGTTATTTTGTGAAACCAAATTTTCTATTGTAGCGGCTTCACTTCCAGGTGACAATTGACATAACTTGGAACCGATGTGATTAACTGTTTCCAAAACTGTGCGATACTCTTGTATTTCACTTTCGAGATTCTATACCAATAGAAATAAATTTAATTAGAGACTAATTACAACATAATTAATATTGAGTAATATTTATAAATTAATTCTACCTTTATAGTTGTTTCTTGCATAGAAAGACTGGTTGTTTCCAAACCTTTCAAAAGTTTTTCAGCTTCTTCCATCCAGTTAGTAAGTTGATCATGTGAAAAATGGAACTTTTCAACTAATGGTAAGGCATTTTCTGCTTGCTTCAATTTATCATTTACACGATTCATCAAATCAGTAAATTTTATTTGAAGAGTGTCTAGTTTTTCTTTCATTTCGATAGCATCATCACCTAGAAAATTAATTTAATATTTTATTACTTCATGTATAAAGCTTTTATAATAAAATAAAAAATAAATTATTGTTCATACTTAAATAAATATTTACTAAATATTTTATTATAATTAATATTAGATAATATTAACTACTTTATTTTATATTATCTAATGTTCATCAAATAAAATATATGACAATATACTTCCATTCTCTACTAAGAAATTATTAGTCTATAAATAAAACAACCCGATGTAATCCACTGGCTTTACGAATTTATCAGGTTTCGTCAGGTTTTTTTATGTCTATAAATTTTCCAGAGATTATTTTATGCAATATTTCAAAATATATCTAGATCAAAGTAAATAGTTTATTCCATAATTAATATTCAAAAATGATGAAAATGTTAAGTGTATAATTATTGATATTAAAGCAAACAAAACTTCAAAATTGATTTACTTCATTTATTAAAAATGAAATACATGATAAAAATGTAATAATAACAGAAATTCTGTTATTTTTTCTATCTTCTAATGGTTAAACAAACAGTAAAGATAACAATAAAATTATTTTAAGTGTCAATATTCTGTGTATTTTTGATAAAATTTGGCCAGAAATGAACATTGTAATTTCCAATCTTCTTTTTTTTTTTTAAATGGAAATGTATCATATGAATAAATTTGAATTAATAGTTCTAATGTGTTATAACTATCTGGTAGGCATCAGTCATAATTACTATGAATCAATAACATATTATAATTGAATATATATTGATTCAGAATGACTAAATTTCACCTGATGTAAAAATGTATTAATTTCAATTTTATGCATGTGTCACTCACTTTTGCAAAATTTCCTGTAGATATGGAATGTTTTAGAATTTTTTACAGATATAGAAAAGTTCCACTTGTATACAATTTAAAATATTTAAATATATCAATTTCTTTCCTAAAATATTTAGTTTTTATTTCATTTAGTATATGTATTTGAAGTAAAAAGTTGCATTTAGCATTACAGTAGAGTGTCGATTATCTGAATCAATTGGGGACTGGGGTTGTTTGGAAAATCTATATTTCGGATAACCGATTATGTACGAAAAAATATATTAACCTACCCCATGTTGAAATTTTTCTCCGTTGTGTGTCACTTCATGTTGAATTTTTGTCGATGTTAAGCTTAACATAGACTATTGTATGGTTAAAAATTATTTTTTTATTTTGTAGAAACAAAATAAATATATTGAAAAATATAAAAACAATACTTCAAAAGTTAATTTAGTATCAAAAGCGTAAAATATTTGAGTAGCCGAAGACATAGCCAAAGATTGCAGTGCCACAGCACTGGCAAAAATTTAAATTTGCCGACTGGAATTCTTTCAGATAATTGACGTTTCGGATAATTGACTTTCGGATAATTGACGCTCTACTGTATTATTTACAGTATTTAAATGTGGTTAAAGACTAAAGATTTACCTGAAGCATGTTTCATTATATCTCTTCCAGAATTAATTGTATCTTGAACTTCATCTTCATGATCATTTATATCATCTTTTAATTTCTAATATAAAATAAAGTTTTATTAATATTTTATAATTTTAAATAATTTAATTCTTTTAAAAAACTTTTAAGCAATAAACTTTCTTACCTTAAGTTCATTCAATTGTTCTTGTAATTTATCTACATAAACATTTAAAATTTCATAATGGGATAAACGAGTATTCATTTTCTCTATCCATGCTATAATTTTCTGGTATTTCACAGTAAATTTTCCAAGACCATCACACACATCAGTTAATATTTGTCCTATAATTTTATTATCTTTGATAACCATTTCAAATCTTTCAATCACTTCTTTAAGACGTTCCTCCACATTGTTAGCTTCATCAATTCCAACAAGATTTTTTAATTTTAATGAGAGATTTTTCAGTTCATCAAAAAATCTATCGTGTTCAATAATTTCTTTTTCAAGATTCTAAAAGCATAAAAACAAAAATTATATATACATTAAGTTAATAAAGAAATTAAACTTTCATACTATACAAAATTATGGAAAATTGAATGTCTACAAACTTATTTCAACATTTCTTGTTTATTAATTTAAATATTTAATAAATAGCTAGATATTTTTTTATATATTATATTTAGAAGTAACACTTATCATTCATTAGTTATTTTAAAGCAAAGAATTGTGTTGTAGTGCCGAATATTAAATTATTGTAAATTTTTTGAATTTTGAAAAAGATTTATGATTATAAATCATTAAAATAAAACCAGATAATTTCAAATCTAATAAAATATAATGCAAATAGGTTAGAATATAAATTCTGCTAATTTCAAGGTGGTCTTCTTTTATACATTTAGATTAACATAAAAATGTTATGTATTTTATCACTGAATAACAAACATTTACCTTATGTTCAACAATATTAATTTTAAGACGATCTTGATCAGTCGGTACAGTTGACAATGTCACAATTCTCTTTTCAACTATTTCTATCCATTCGGTAAGAACAGTTAATTTTTCTTGAAAGTCTCGAGCAACCGGTATGGTGTTATCGAGACAATCCATACGTTCTTGGGCTTTTGAAGTTAAGGTATTAAATTTCTGAAGTAATGTGGTTAGTTGTTGGTTAACATCAGTATCTTGAGACTGTCCCAAAATATCAGATCCCATCGTTTGTAAAGAACAAATGCTATTTTGTCTATCCAAAAGTAATTTTCTCAAAAACTATATTTAGAGTTAAAAAAAATATATATATTTAGTTTAACATAAAAATTTCATATACTTTCTTTGGAAAAATTATTCAAAACATACCTTCTGTTCTTGGGCTTGAGCTTTAACAACTTTATAATCAGCTGAAGGTGCTTTCTGATTACAAACCATTTCTTCTGTATCATGGATCCACTTTTGAACTCCATCAAGTGCTTCTTGGAATTTTCCTGATTGTATCAAAGCAACATCTAATCGACGTTCTCTCTCATTCAACTGTAATAGAAATTTTATACATCATTTTTCATATTCCAGACATACAAGGCAAGATAAAAGTATTTTATTTCATAATGAATTTTTGCTATTAATAATGAATAATCTAAGACCCTAATCACTAAGAATTTAAACTTTTAATTTTACTGATGTAATTTAAAAATTTGCATGAAAAAAATGAGATAAGATATGAATTATCATTTAAATTTTGCTTGTAAATAAAAACATATAAAGAATCAATTAGACAGAATTAAATATTTTAAATATTTACTTAATCTAATTTAACATGATAATTTATTGAATGATGTTATTAAATTTTATTAGAAATTTTAACAATTTTGACTTCCTAAACAAATATTGTAAAATAAAAATTTGATTAGCTAATAATTCACTTTTAAATTAATTTCTGTTTAATTTAGAATTAGTTAGCTATAATTATCTAGAAACTAAAAACCTCTTTAGTTTTAACTTTTTTTATTAATGAATATGATTCTTGACAAATATTTTATAATATATTTTTCTATGATTCTTACTGACGATATTAATACATTTGAAAATTTATTGTAGATATTAATATCAACTGATATAGAGATTCATATGCTTAAACTATTAGATTTTTATTTAATTTTTCAACATTAATTAAAAACAAATGTATTATTATTACTATTATTCTTTTCAATAATGAATGTAATATCATTTCAATTATTTGTATATTTAATTTTTTAAATATACATTTAAAAAATTTAATAATTTCATTACTTTTTCATTTAGTGTGTTCCATTTCTCATTCAATTTCTCTAAATCTTGTTCAAGACCAGTCGTATTGATGCCAGAAGAGGCAGATTGGATCAAACCTTGGCCACTTTTATTAACTTCTTCAATGTTTTTCTTGAGTGGTTCTATTTTTTTCTGGCATAAAGTCTAACACAGAAAATATATTTTAAATTATTTTGACAATTAAATAATTTTATATGTATCAGAGTAATCACTACATTAAGTAGCATATAAATATAATATATCAATGATAACATTATATAAATTCTAACGCAAATATTGTAATAATTGAAAACTAATTTATTTATTAAGAAGTCAAATTCTCCTACCCCCTTGTAACAAGTTAAATCTTAAATACAATAAATTTGTTTTTAAAATTCTAACAGAAATATAATGTCAAACATTTACACTTTTATTATTTTGATTTTATTTTACTTTCTATCTTTAAATTTACATTAAATAAATTATATCTAACTTAAAATAAATTGAATTATTACTTTTCATTGAGCTATTCAAAGAAAAAATAATGCAGTTTATTATTATTAATAATGAAATTTATTTTATTTTGTTGTTGTTATCATCTTTTATTCTCTCACAAAGTATATACCTTGAACTGCTGTTGCTGAGAACGAACAGTTTCTACATCTCCACCGACCGATTTGAAATTTTTCTCTTCGGATATTAAATTTTCTAGATCCTTAAGAGTAGTAGAGTAATCCTTGTAAAATTGTTCCAGTCTTTTTAGTGTCTTTTCTAAATCGGTATGGTAAACTTTACTGCGGTCATCTAATCTATTAAGCTGCCTTTGAATGTTACTTATCTGAAAAATTTTTAAAATATACAATAAATTCATAACAACTAAACAGTTTATATTTATTGCATTTATTAGGATTCAAATCAACTAACTTGATCTTTGTATACTTTTTCTTCTATATTATATTTTCCTTGAGTTATTACTTTCTGTGTATCATTAATTTCAATTCTAGTTTTACTTATTTGTTTTGCAAAATTCTGTAAATAAACAAATAAAACATTTTAAATATATTAAATTAATTAATTATTAATTTTATAGTAAATTTACTAATGTCATATAATAATTTAAAAATTCAACTTTTATATACACAAGAAACAAATAAATTCAAATACAATTAATTTATAAAAAAAAATACTGTATGTTAGATCTGAATCTGACTTTTCCTTTTATTTTTATTTTACATAAAAACTGATTCCACAAAATTGAGAACAAATGTAATATAAAATGTTTTAATACAATTATTTAATTAATTTAAATAAATTCTTATAAAATAAGCTTACACAAGTGTATTCATTAATAGAAAAATTACTCAAAAATACTTCAGTTTGTAATTTTTAATAATTCAAGTTTGAAAAAAAATCAATCTTTTTATTTTATTTTGCATTGTATGTTTAACATGCTTGAATAAATTCATAACATTTAAATGTATTTAAATGTAGATTGTAAACACAGAGTGCTAAAATATCAATAATTAAATTCAATAAAAATATTATAAATTCTCCCTTACCTTTATCTCATCAAACTGAGCCCGAACAGTATTTACATCTCTGCCAATAGAACCCATGGTATCCAAAGACTCTTCAAGAGTATTTAATTGTGTTTGTATTGTCTTCACTTTATTCTTGATAAATAAAATAAAATTTATTAAATTAGTTTCAGTAATCAACTAAAATATATTTAATTCTATTTTTTTATTTACAGAAAACTGAATACTTAAAAATAATAATAATAAAATTAATGTATTGTTATATATCAAAAACTTAAAATAAAAACTGTAATAATGAAAGCTGATTTAATCTTAGTGTTTTTAATTGCATTTCTTTTTAATTTAAAAATCATTTATAACATTCTAAATATATCTAATTATAATTACTATAATACTATCCAAATTTTAAACTGAAAGACAATTTTATCACATTCATAAACATTGTGTTCATTGTATCAATATAAAAAATATAATGCTGTTTCATAATTAAAGATATCTATATATATAAAATTATGTCCTGACTGACTGATTCATCATCATCCAGAGTAAACCACTGAGCCTAAGAAGAGAATTTGGTGCACAGTTAGGGTATGTCATAAAAATGCACACTAAGAAGGGAGAGGATTAAGGCTTAACCTGAAGAATAGCTTCTACTGTGCTATTTTAGATGTGATTTTTTGATTTTGATAGTAATAACTTAATTTCCAAACATATAATATTTACCAAATCATCCAAATCGGTTGCCCGAGCAATGCCGGGCTCATTTGCTAGTGGAATATAAAAATGTAGTGATATGAATGCAGAAATGCAGACAAACTACATATGTGTACGTATATATTCTATGTATAAAGGGCATAGCATATATATATGCCTTTATAGATAGAATATGGAATATGTAATTATATATCAGTAAAAATAGTTATTACTTATAATCTCTTCAAGAAGTTTTTCCACTTTTCCACATCTTGCAGATCCAGAATATCAACTTCTCTCATTTCAAATATAACTTTTGCTTATATTGTTATATTACAGCAATAATTATTATTATGGTACTATCTTATATTTCCATTTTTATGTTTACAAAAAATCATCTGTCAATAACATTAGTTAATTTATTTCAATGTTTTAATAATTAAAAATAAATTCTAAATTTCTTTCATTTTAAATCAGAATTTGCATGAACGTTCATTGTTGATTATATTTTTACTTAAAAAGATAAAGAAGAGTAAGCATTGGCTGGCATAAATAATGTATATTTCTCATTATTTAACAAAAACAGCTGAGTATTAGTTAATGGAGGATACAATAGCATGTTATTTTACAATGTTATATATCTAGTCTTAATACTCTAATTGTTCTTATATTGAACTTGGATTGAATAAATATGTTTTCAAAGCAAAAACAAAAATTTGCATTAGTAGAACTATAACCTGAGCTATTAGAACATGAATTTTAAATTATAATTACTTACTGTAAATTTTAATAATATTTCTGAAGCAGCTTCTAAATCGTTTAATCTTGTTTGAAGTTTTTTATTTGTACTCTGATAATGCTTTTCTACAGTTTCAACTTCTTTAGTTATATGAGTAATATTAGATGATGTTGTTCCTTCCACAAGAAGTTTTTTGACGTAATCTTTCAAGCTATTAATCTGTTTTTGAATGTCGTTAGCTTCCACAATGAATGACTACAAATACAATATTTTAATTAGTACATTAAAATACAGCTTGATGAATTAACAAATTGTAATTTTTACAAACCTTCATTCTTTCTAAATGACGGGGTTCTCTTGCTGCATCTCCAAGGGCATCGTGAGATGCGAGTTTATCATCTAATCTTTGTAGTGAGTGTTGAATATCACGTAACTTATCATAATATTCAGTTAACCGTTGTGACACAACATCTAATATTTGTGATCTGTTAGCAATTTCTACAAAAAAGAAACAATTCATTAAATAAAAACATAATTTACTATATAACAAAGTTTAGTAAAATCTTTTACAGATATTAAAAATAAATGTAAATAGTTTAAGTAGTTTCCTTAAATTTATAATTAAAACAATTAGTAAAAATTTAAATTTAGAATAGAATTATTATTATTAATTATTTAAGAAAGAGAAGAATGAAAGAAATGATTTTAATTTTACAATATTAATATGTTCATTCAGTATTTTAAATGAATCATAAATTGATGAGGCTTATAGTAATCTTTAGCTTCAATTAAATAGCTTTTGTTTAATGAAAAAAATATATTATTTTTTTTATATTTAATGAAAAATTATATTGTTAAATTTTTGAGTAAATGTAACAATTTTGAATTATTTAAAATAAAGCAAAAAATTACATGAAAAATATACAGTAATGTAAGTAAAATATTTTAAATTATTTTGATTAAATATATTTTTTTTTAAATTGACTTAGAAATTTTTAACATTTTAAACATTAACTTTCAAAACTTACGTTGGTTGAGTTTATCCCATCTTTTTCGTAAAGATGCTATTTTATCTTTCATTGGTTCTTTATCTATGTCACAACTTGAAACTAAAGTATCACTTAAGTTACAAATGTTATCAAATTCTTGACTATGTTTTGAAATATCATTTTTGAAAGCCTGAAATAATAATAATAATAATAATTAAAACAAACCAATAAATTTCGTCTGAAGAAATAACTATGCTATAGTTAATTTATAAAAAGAATACAAATTTCAAGATATTCAAAAGGAATAATGATAAAAAAGAATATTTTTCCAAGAGAAATTGTATTTGAAATGAGAAGAAAGTCAATAAATTTAAATAATGTTAAAATGTTTGTATAATTGGATAAATATTTCCTTTTTCTTTTTTTGAATATAAAATGAAGTATTCTTTTTTTATATACTCAAATCTAAGCTTCATAAATTTTTTTAAAATGAAATAATCAACTTACTTGAATTTCTCTGATTTGTTTATCAAGTTCAGTTCGTTGGAAACTTATATTTTGTAATGTAGAAAGTTTCTTTTCACTTCCTTCCAACCAGGGAATGAATGATTCATAAGCAGAGATGAATTTCTTGCAATTATCAAAACATCTTTGCAGTCTAGTATGCCTAAGTTTTAAAATTACAAACATTTAAATTAAAAGTCTTCATATGTATATTAACTGTAATAGTAATTTTATTTTGTTAGAAAATAAGATAAATGCAAGAAGATTCGTTTTTCATACCTGTCAGTAGATATCTTACGAATCTTTTCCCATTGTCTCTTAATTCCGTCAAGTTTTGCACGTAACTGAAGTGCCTCGGGTTTTCGTGAAATTTTACTAATTACTTCAGTACCTTTGCTGACTAATAAATGCACCTCGTGTTCTTTATCTGAAACTTCTTTATAAATAGGCTAAAAAATAAAATACGAAAAATAATAAAGTAAAATTAATTTTAAAAATAAAAAAAAAATGAATTAAAAATGATTTTTTTAATTATTATTTTAAAATAAAATATAATATATTTACTGTTACTGATTACCTCAAATTCCTGAATTTGTTGTTTTAAAGTTTTTTGCTCTGCAGACACAGGAAATTCGCTTGATAAACTATCATCTTTTACATTTAACCATCTTTGAATATTATCACAAGATGTGTAAAATTTCTTATCTTCTTTTAGAGTAGCTTCCAACTCAGCTTTACGGTTATCTAAGATAGAAAATAATCTGTATAGTGAACTGTGGTATATATTAAATTCATCAATTTTAATTCTTAGAAATAAAATAAATTGCTGTTAAAGAAAATTTTATTTAAACAGGAAAATCAGATCATAAGACAATATTAAGAAAAATAATCAATAAAAATATAATTAAATGTTCTGTTACTGGTTTTGTTGTGGATTTTAAAGAATTAAAAGCTATTGGCTTTTTTCAGTAACATATCTTACAAGGAACGGTTGTTAATATAGGTTTTAATGATGAAGGAAATACATTTCGGGTCTTAATGACCCCTATTCAGTCGTTATGCTTTACAAAAGGAAGATAGCTAAGGATACTTAGTTTATTCTTTTGGTATTTTAAACATTATCCAACTCATATTTTCTATCCATCTACAGATAATAACAATCTATACTATTGGGTTGTTCGGAAAGTAATTTCGTTTTTTTCCATGGAAAAAACACAATATTTTTATAATAAATAAANAAAAAATATAACATCACGGATGCCATAGAAAATATCGACTTCGCTTGGCAAGAATTAACTCATAAATGCACAAAGGGTGGAAGAAGTTATGGCTGAAGGTATCCAAGAATTCTCAATGAGAAGAGACTATCACTGTATCATTAGGTTGACCAAACTCAACCTAATCAATATAGCAGGACTAGAAGATATAGACGAGTAGGATATTGAGGAGTTACAGCAGGTTTCTGGTGAGAGCCTTACCAACAACGACCTTCAAGAACTGGCAGAACATGGAATTCATCTGGAACTGGAAAGTAGAGATTCTGAAAACAAAGAACCCAAAAAATTTCTCTACAAATTTCCTTAGTAAAAAAGTTTGGTAAGATAACTGAAATTGTTGATCAAATTGTAGCAAATGATCCAGATTTTGAAAGGAGTGCAAAAGCAAAACGAGGCATTTTGGATGCAATCTTCTGTTACCGACGTTTGTTTAAGGAAATAAAAAAGCGACAAATGAAACTTCATGACTATTGCAAACGAACAAGAATTTCAGATAAGTCAGGACCTTCATTACAAAAAATTAACTTTACATTTCTGTGTGAATATGTGTGTGTGTTATTTAACATATTTTTATATTACTTTGTATAATAATATAACTTAAAATTAAAGTAAAATTTGTTTATTTTTGGTCGCATGTTCCCCTATCCCTATTTACTCTATGTTAAAATGACCTTGTTTAACGCTGTTTCGCATAGTGCTTTGTTGTCTAGGAATGCATCCACCACATTAAGCGTACTTACTGTATTTTACTTCCAGAATGGAAGTAACCAAACATGATATGTTATTGTGTTCCTGTGGAATATTGGTCTGTAGGAAGGAAACTCACAGGTTCATTTTAGCATTTCAAAGAAATTTGTGGGTTTTTGTAAGTTTTTGTAATGTAGCTGAACAAGTATATAGGAAAACATACAAATGGAAAGAATAATAAAAATTTTTAATAGAAGTAATTTTCCAAAACTTTGGTCAGTCATATGTGACATATGACTGACCAAATTTCCAAATTAAATTGATAAAATCTTATAATTAAGTTTAGTGCCTTTTAAAAAACTAAGTATTGGGTTGTTCAGAAAGCAATTTCGTATTTTTTTCCGTGGAAAAATAACACAATATTTTTATAATAAATAAATATTTTATTGAATTATATATTGACCATTTTGGTCAAATATCTGTTGTCATCGTTTCTGGTAGTAGCATGATTTCACATTCATAAAAGTTTTGATCGTTACTTACAAAAAACTGATCCAAGTGATTTTTGACATTGTCATTTCAAGTAAATGTCTTACAGTTAAAAAAAATTTGTATAGACCAGAACAAGTAATAATCTGAGTGTGCTCAATCTGGTAAATATGGTTGGTGCGATAGCACATCCCATCTAAGTCATAACAGTTTCTGACAAGTTACCAAACTTGGGTGAAATTTGACATTATCGTGGTAAAACACCACCTGTTTTGTTGATCAATTCTGGCCGCCTTTTCTATTTGGTGATATTACTCAATTTGTTTACTCGATGGCAGTACATTTTCGAATCAATCGTTAAATTGTCTGGTAAAAGCTCAAAAAAATTTCCTTAAAATCCGATCAAAGAGAGCATCTCTCTTTAAGAACATGTGGAACCCATATATCGAGCTTTGATACAAAATCAGTTTGTTTCAAGTAATCATAAACGGTTCAATTTGACAAATTTAATCTCTTAGTGATTTTACATGTTGTCATTCGGCAGTTTGCTTCAATCAGTACCTTTATTTTGTTTTCATTGGCTTCAACTGGCCATCCACAATGTGGTGCATCTTCAATATTGAAATTGCCAGAACGAAATTTTGTAAACCAGTTTGGCACTGTCGTTCTGTCAATACATCTTCTCCATACACGTCACACAATTTTTTTCTTGCTTGAACAGCATTCTTACCTTTTAGGTAATAAAAGAGCAAAATATGTCGAAAATGCTGCTTTCGATCTTCCATATTTGATGGGACACAAAAAATAAACAATTGCACAAAATCAAACAAAATTTTTTTACAAATAAGCCTTAAAATGCCAGCTGTCAAAATATATAATGATAATATGGTTTAGAATGAAAATGGCAGGAAAAATACGACTAATCCGTCCAGTGGTAAAAAAAACAAAATTACTTTCCGAACAACCCAATATTTTATAATGTAACCATCTTAAAGTTTATTTACTTTATAACTGTTTTACTTATCCTCCTTTATTTTATCTTATACAGCAACCCTTGTAAACAGATTCTACCCAGTCAATATTACCCAATATTTTCTTTAATGTCAATTTGTAACCAATAATCAACTATATAAGTTAAAAAATTTCTTTTGTATTATTATGCATGATGTAATCCTTATCTATCTTCCTTTTGTAAAGTATAAGTACTTAAGAGGGGTCATTAAGACCCAAATGCATTTCCTCCATCAATAAAGCCTATATCAACAACTGCTCCTTGTATGATATGTTACTGAAAAAAGCCAATAGCTTTTAATTCTTTAAAATCCACAAAATAAATATAATTTAACATGGCATAACTGTTGTTTAACTTATAAATTTATAAAAGCAATATATTAATCTGTCAAAAATGAATTTTACTCCACTTTTTGATAAAGATTTTTAAAAGGAATTAGTTTCAACTTCATTTAAATTGCTATTTTATTTTAGTGTTTACTAACAAAGCCTATCTTTTTCATTTACACTATATATTTATTGAATTAAAACTCTAAAATTATCATCATCAACAGAGAGCATCAAAGAAATGGTCAATTCTGCCAGTGTTAATTGTGTTCCTCTGGTTGAAAAAAATGTAAGATACCAAATTTTATTTATATTTAGTGTTCAATTTATGTTATTTTTAAAGAATTATATATTTATTATATAGTACTTCTTAAAATTAAACAATATTTAACTATAATAAAATATTTACTTACTTATTTTCTTTAATATTGTTGTGTATTGTTTTTCCATATTATTTAGTTTATTTTTTATTTCATTTCTTGAAGCCGAATCACATAGAATTTCACAAAGTTGTTCGCAAACCCTTTCCACATCAGCTAATGAATGTCGAATATTTTCTAACCTATCCTCAAGATTCTAAATGTAAATAAAATATTTTATTAAACACTTTCTCATAATTTTATTAATTAGACTGAATGTAAATTTGTCTTTAAAAAATTGTAAAATTTATATATAAGTTTAATATTACTTAATGAAATTTTTATAAATAAATGTGTTAAATTATTTATAAATATTTAAACATAGTTGACTCTCAATGAATAAGGAGTAGTTATCTAATTTTCAATAAATTTTACCTCAGATAAGCTTGAAAAATATTTTGTAACTAAATTATAATAGGAGCTGTATCAATATAAATAAACACATTATTTCTAGAAGATGGCAAGTTGTTCATAGATAACACAAGATTTAAATTCAAGCAATAGAACCCAAATAGGGTTCTATCAAATAGGGTTCTAAATTCAAGCGATAGAACCCAAATAGAGTTCTATCGCTTGAATTTAAATCTTGTGTTCTCTATGAACAATTTCCAAAAGATGTATAGAATCATATTATAATATTTTTAGATCAATATAATGAAGTATAAGTATCTCTAAATGTAAATTATTACAAATAAAAAAATATGATCCCATAAAAATACTAATATTTGGAAAAATTTTGCAAATGTGTTGATGATAAACATATTTTGATACAATAATGACACCGTTGCATGCTTTGAGTTAAATCTGTAATCATATTATTAAAATTTTAATTATAATTTTGAAGAAAAGCGAAAAATTTAATTAGTAAAACAAATGAATTAGTCAAATATGTTTCTAAATTCTACAGTTCAAAACTTTTAAAAATGTTAATTTGAAAATTTTCTTTCTTGTAGCAACTAAACATATTAACTATCAGAATCACATTCTGTTTACAGTCTTGGCCTATTTATTCTATTTATAGTGTAATGAATGCTCTTACTTAAAATAGTAAGAAAATTTATAATTACATTCAGTTTCTTTAATTGATCTTCTGTATCAGCTGAACCTTCAACTGTAATATCAAAATCATCACTGATTTTCTGCAAGCTTTCTTGTAGTTTAATAATTCTTGTATGAAAATCTTTAGTGATATCACCAGCAGCATCAAGATTCTTTTGCCTTTCTGTTAATTGTGTTTGTAAATTTTCCCAACGGGAACAAGTTGTAGTTATCTGTTCTTGAATTTTCTTAGAAATGGTAACATTATCACCAATTTTGCTTATTATTAATTCTCCGGTACACTTGAATTGTTCAAAAACAGATTGTTGAGAAATAAATTCATCTTGCAAAACCTATAATAGATGAAATAATTTATATAATTTATTTATAAACATACTTTTTAAAATTAATTATATTTTTTACAAAAAGAAATTATTAAAACTGTGAGTACACACTGGATTACTTATTATATAATGTGAGAAAATTTATATTTTTTAAAGTATTGTATATGATAAACGAATTTTTGGCAAAAAGAATGAAGATCAATTGAAGTTTTTTTATTTTAACAATATGATTTATTATGTATAAATCATCAAATTTAAAATATTTATATAAATTGAAGGGGAAAAAACTGACAATCTAAAAATGTTTTTAAATACAGATCACATTTAGAACAAATTAAATAAGATCTTGTATTCAGTATATAAATTAAATAATATTAATTTTTCTGTTTTAGTGATGATTATTTTTGTGAAATTTTTCCTTCATTTTTAATTAATTTATTTATTTTCCAGCAAAAATAGAAATATACTTTAGAAAACATTAAAAAATTATAATATTTATAGTTTAAACTCACCTGCACTTGTTGTGTTTGAGAGGTAACCATTCGAGGTTCAGTGGCTATTGGACCCAAAACCTGAAACATTTTATCTTTCTGAGATAACCAGTTAACCAAAGTGGTATATAAGTCCTGGAAATCTTTAACATGTTGGAGAAAATCTAGACGTTCTTTAATAATGCATTGCACCTCAGTCCATTTTGTCACTGAAAATATTTAAAATTTAAAAAATTTTGTATCTTTCTATAAGAAGCTAAATGTAGATACCAATACATACTTTGTAGTAAATATTTAAAATATTTTATCGTAAATGTAATAATTAACCTATACATCAGAATATTACTTTAAATAAATTCTCATATATTTATGGAAAACAAAATGTTTCATGTTTTCCATCTCTTAATATAAAAATCTGAAATTATATAAATAAAAAAAATTGATCTAGACAATATGTACTTAATTTAAACTTTTTTAGAGCAAAAATGTTTTAATTTTAGGCTTTATGTTTGTCATCAAGAGTCAACAAGAGAGAAAAAATTTCCTCTTTTTCTTTGTTCTTAATATTGAATATAAAACCTGAAATTCTTTCATTTTCCTAACATTTTTACTCTGACAAAAGCAGTTTGAATAGAATTGTGTAATGAAAACTTAATTTATTTGTAATACCAAATGAGTGCCATAATTAAGCAGGCTATTTTTTGTTACTATCCTGATTAATTATGGCAATTATTTGGTTTAGTATTAATACGTTGGGCTTTAGATATATATATATATAATTGAATAAAAATTCTAAATACCTATAGTCCAGCAATTTTTATAATATGTGCAAACATTTTCACCCGTGTTGAATGGACATCATCAGGAAAACTAATCCCTAAATGCTGAAACAACAGGAGATTGCCGTGCATGTATGCAGAAGGGAGGTGACATAAGATGAGAGAAAGGAGGAAAGATAGCAAGATTTATAGTTTGAAGAAAGGCTTCCACACTGTGTGGAAGGACTGAACATCATGTAAATTAATAGTCTGATGATGCCTGTTCAACATAGGCAAAAACATTTGCACCCATTTTAGGTATTTAGAATTTTAATTCAAGTATAACCAGTTTTGAGTTGCAGTATTTAATTGTAATATTTTACAAATTAACTTTGAATGTCATAAAAATAAAAAAATATCACTAACTGATATTTACAATTGAAATTTGAATCTTTAATTATTACCTATTTTTAATCATATCATATATCATTACAAATAATGGACATAATTATTTTAAAATAGATAATTTATTTAATTTTTAAATAAAATAAAATAGTAAAACAATAACTTAGAATCTATATCTTTGTAAAGTATAATTATTGAATGCATCTCATATTCTTTTAATTCATACAAATAATTTGATAAATACTTGAAACCTTCATAAATATTTCTACATACAAATTAATCATAAAATTACTTTATATTTTAGAGTAATCAATTAAAAAACTAAGTAATAAAATGTTATGTTTAAATAAAAGCATTAAACTCTTTAACAATTTATTGTAATTATAGTAATGATTATTTTTATCATTATCTTTTCATTAGAAATATTTGTTTAAAATTAAATTTTAGCACAAATAAAAGTACAAAAAAGAAAATTAAATAGATATAAATATATTTACCAANCTAGGCTAAAAAATTGTCTGTTGATATGAGAATTTGGAAAAAAGTAGTGGATGGTAGTATAAAAGTTTTTCACCATGTTGACCTGTACACCCTCTGGATATAAGCAGGAATTGATGATGATGATGATGACAATGATGATAAAAAAACAAGTCCAAATTATATGTTAATAATTAAATAATAAAGCCAGATTTCTAACAGCTATAATCTAATTAAATATACAGATATTGTATAATTTGGACTAAATGTAAGCAATTAATGCCATCTGCATAATAAGTAGAAATTGCAGGTTTGAGTCCTCCTGCAGATCACACTTTTTTCCAAAATATTCCAAATTAATTAATGTAATTCTAATTATTAAATTTAGTATAAGATGACAGCTTAATCGCCTACCTTTAATCCAAATTACATAATATATCTTTATAATTAATTAGCCATAATTCAATCTAATTAAAAATCTGGTGGTTAATTTGCTTATTACTATACATTGGGCTTTCTTTATATGTAATTATAAATATTCAATATTTATTAAGAAAATATAAAATAACAATGTTAATTCATTATAATAATTATCTATAGCAGGGATTCATAATTTTTGGTTCACAGTACCATAAGTGGTCGCTTAACCAAATGTAGGTTGTGAAAAATTTGACAACAGTAAAATTTTGGACTATGTATTTACGTGAAATGCCATTTTTAGCATTGATGATTATGAAATCAAAATGTTGGATCAATTCCGAAAAATGTTATGCCCTCCCTGTATTCTGCAATATCAAATATTCAGCCAAGTGCATGTTTATGTAAAAGTAAACAAGAACATCCATCTCATTAGTATGCAAATTTGTTTTTTGTCTTCAATAAATGGTATATGCATATCAAAGAATTGTTTGGGAATAAACTGTTTTATGATTTATTATCAGTAAGTGATTTTATTTGTATATCTATTTTATATACCTATATAATGTCTTCTTTAATTTGATTTATTTAACCTTTCATGTCTTCTTTAATTTGAATGTTGTCTACCTGTATTCGACTTATTTCCTGTTTAATCGCACTAATCTCCTGGTTTAGTAGTTCAAATTTACTCTGTATTAGCTCATAGACTGATTTTAACGAATATTCCGGTCCTTCTGGTGGAATTTTACTTTTGGTAAAAAAGTTTTTTGGATCAATCATTTACCTACACACTACGTTGAATTATATAGTGGCAATAATTAAATTAAACGAGAAAAAAAAAAAAAAAAATTAAATTCTGAGATTAACGAATATCACTTAGGAATTATAGTCACATATCTTGCACCTTCTAATGATAAAAAGATGACAGATGGACTTGTTTAACTCAGAATTGGATTGCTCAATTGTCTCACATATTTAATGACTATGGATTTTCCATCAATTTAGTTTTTGATTATTTCAGAAATAATAATCATTATATTAATCAATTAATGCTTAGAGTTGTAGAATGTTCCATTACTCAGGATATTGAAGTGATAAATATTAAGAGAAGTGATAAATAAGATCAAGAATCAAAGATCACTGAAGATCAAAATAAAAGCCAAAGTTTAGGTAATCATATGTACAATAAATTCAATCTAGCCACCACTAATGAAATTTACAATTGCTATAATGGTGTAAGAAGACTCTTAAATGTAAAATCTTAAAATACTACATGTTATTCTAAAGCGGAGATATGTTTAATTTTTGTTATTGAATGTTTATTTTCCATCTTTCTTCATCGTCATGTACCCCCTTGTAACAGGCGACTGCCTATTATGTTCAATAAACTAAACTAAACTAAACTATACCTATATACTGGTCATGTAAAATTTTTCTCTGGTAAAAGAGAGTTGTAAATGTAAAAAGGTTAAGAAGTTCTGATCTATATCAAACTTTTCATACAATATTATGTTTATTCCAGTTTACCATTAAAAAAAATTAATTTCTATGTCAGATTTATGACTAAAATATGGAAGTGAAGTAATTAAATAAGTTATTTTTTCCAATTTTTAAATAAATAAAATTTATTTTACTGTCAATTACTTACTTCAATAAATCTCTATAGTACATTTAAATTTACTGAATATTATCCAATATATTTAATATATTTAAAACAGTAAACTATATTTATTTCAATAAAAGTTTTTAAACTTGCCTACATTTTTTTTCAGTATTAATGGAAGTAAAAATTATAATAAATGATTAAATTAATGACACTTTAACTGTAATTTCACATATTATTATACTTTGAAGCAGTTAATAAATTAACACAATATTACATTTTTAATTATATTATAATAAGTCTAAGTATATAAATATTTGTAATTACTTGAAACTTCTGTAATTCTTCTAATGCTGTAGATAAACGTCTAATTATTTTGTCACATTCATTGCAGAGATTATTATATCGTTTTTTTAGAATATCTCCATCTTTCTGCAGTTGTTGTATTTCATCCTTGCTCAAAATATCCTTTCCTTGTTGCACTAACTGATTTATTTGGTCCAAGCAAGTTGTAACGTTAATTTGGTTATCATCCAAATTATTCTTTATTGTCTGTAAAATATTTTGAAATCTCTCAATTTTATAAGCAATATTTTAAAATAATTTGTTATCACTAGTAGCATGACAATTGGAAATACATCATATTTTAATTCAATTTAAACTTTTTGTGAATAAAGAATACTCTCCATACACTAAACATCTCAAATGTATGGAGAGTATTCTTTATTCACAAAAAGTTTAAATTGAATTAAAATATGTATTTCCAATTGTCGTGCTATGGCAAATCCCAGGAACTAATGCCGGCGGAAGAGGGGCTTGAGCCCGAAATGCGTCTCGACAAATAAAAAAATTCCCAAATAAAAGTTGATGACAGAATTGCCAAGTGTCTGTATAAGCACCTAGTAGTGATAACAAATTATTTGAATAAAGGAAGATACAGTTTCAGAATATATTACAAAAATATTTTTAAGTTTGATTTTTATTATAATTAATTATTAATGAATAAAAACTTTAATAAAGTTTTAATATGTTAATATCTAATTTATCTACAGTTTGAGAACTTTAGATAAATTAGATATTAACGTATCAAATACATATGGCCGCTCATTTGTCAAATCAATTAATTCCACAAAACATAGAGAAATTGATAATATACATTATTTTTTAAAATTCCTTTTAAAATTAAAATTTAAATAAACATTGTAGAATGTCATTGTCATTACATTCTACAATGTTTATTTAAATTATGTTATGTCATTACATTAATTGTAACATTAATATTAACGTAATGACACATATAAGCATTGCTTTAATTTAATGGCATATAGAACCAGTTATGAAAAACATGTAAAAATAATAACAATTATTCCAAAGATATAGGAGTTAATCGATTTGATCTATGGATGGCTGATATGTAAATCAATTGTGTTATTTAGGTACATATTTTCTATTTTAATGTAAGATTTCTGAAATGCTTTGAGATAAATTAATTAATATTAAATGGAATTATGTTAATCCTTCTCATATATTAAAAAGTATTATTTGAATCTAAATTTTTTATCTCAGAAAACTTTAATTGCAAACATTTTGATTAGAAACAACTGAATATGATAATTTGTTAATTATACTTAAGTGATAAAAATTTGCTTACAATAATAAGTATATATAATTCAGATATTTTACTGAATACTTTTTAAGTGATGAATTTATTATAATGAAAATAATATTAAAAGTGTGTGAAGATAATATTTTTTCTTCATTGCTTATTATTTTTCAATAGATAATCATTACAAAATGTAACGACACACCTTAAACTTCTAGGAACATACAGTTTTAATAGCACACAGTGTGTGCTATTAAAACTGTTGCTAGAAGTTTAAGGTGTGTGGACATTTAATAATTATTGTTGGAAACGTTTTATTAAATTAAAGAAGTCTTTCAATATATTTCAGATTACAAATCCTTTAGAATATGAGTCTGAGTGATATTAGTACAGGTATACCTATACACAAATATAAATGTATGCTTTACTTGCACATTATAAAAGTACGCAAGTAAAGCATGTTAATGTGCATATGCGATGATTCAGCTAAGTGGGAACAAACTTCTAGGAGGGGTACACAAAGACAAATCAGAATCATATAGCAATGCCAAGTTGGAAATGCCATCTTCATGTGGTAGATGGCATTATTCAACCACAAGACTGATCATATGTTCCTTCAGGATACCATCCCATTCATTGGCCTGCACAATCTCTGTAGTTAACATGCCTTGATTACTTCTGGAGTTACATCAAAGGACTAGTGTACAACACCCCATTGAAAGTGATGAGGTTCTTCTAACATACATCTCTATAGCTGCTTCAGAAGTCCGAGACACACCAGGAATCTTCCAAAATGTTTATGTGATTCCATGTGCCGACAATGTTAAGCATATGTTACAGTTTATGGTTGCAACTTTCAACACCTTCTCTAACCTCAATGCATTTCACAAATGTTTTGTGAATAACAAAAAGCATTTCGTTCTCTTACATGCTGCTCTTTCATTTCTCATACTCTCTGTACACTAACACATGAAGATGGCATTTTTGACCCAGCATTGCTATATGATTCTAATTTGTTTTTTTACAACCTACCCCTCCCATAAGTTTGTATACACTTAGCTGAATCAACCTGTATATGTGTATATTCATATATGTTTTTACTATTTAACTTAGTATTTTAGTTTTTCTTGATAAATTTGAAAAGAATTACCTTTGATATATTTATCTGTTGTTTCAAATGTCCAATGTCTTCTTTAAGAAGTCCCAAATCTGCTAAAAGCAGTTCAGTTTCTTCAACCCAGGTGATTAATTCAGATATATTTTCTTCAAGAGTTCTATATTTTTCTTCTATCACAGTCTGTATAAAAATGTGCATTTATAAAGAGTATTTAGAATATATTCACTAAGAATTACTTTTTAAACTATTTATTTAAAAAATAAAAAGAAAACAGTTACAGCAGAGTCATAGCAAACTGAAATTCATACAACATGCAAAGTGCATTATAAGAAGTTACAGTAATTTTTCTACACTTAAAGCATGACCAAAAAAAAGTAATTGATTGACGTTAGATAATTTCATTATTGTTACTTTAAACTTTTAGTAAAATTATTTAAACATGGAACAGATTTAATAATTAATTTATATTTTCCTTANTATATTCTTATATTATTTTTATATATAAATAATTTTTTATCTTAAAATATCAAAAATATACAATTATTACAGCTCAAAAAGTCAATATGAAAACTTATATCTATAATAATAACAATAACAATATTGGCCAGACAAGGTGTACAAAATTGCAAAATTTCTTTCAAAATAATATAATTATATATCAATAAAAGAAAAAATATTAATGTAAATAAATAATTTTAAAAGTTTAGAGTAACAAGAGAATCTTTTACTCATCCATTATAAAAGTTATAATTTAAAAAAGCATTTTCAAAAATAATAATAATAATAGTGAGAGTAAAATAAAAGTAAAGATAGGAATTAATTTATGGTGCTAAACAAATTTATAAAAATAAATATCAACAGAAAAAGTTCATAAATAAATAAACAACACACTAAATTCCACTTATTAATATTATCATTTCTATTTTTCTTAATGTTACATATAAATATAAAGAAAAATAATAAATTTTAATTGCTGTAAAATGTTAAAAAACGTGCTTAAGACATAATATATAATCTTTTTTAATATAAAATTCTACAGAAAATAGATTCATTTGAAAAATTATAATTTATAACACCTGAAATATTCTTTCAAATATATTATGTATAATAATTGGATACAAGAATTAAAAAGTAAGTGTATTTTTAATTTCCAAAAAGATGATAAAATTATTTTAAAATATATCTTTTGAAAAGAAGCATAAATACAAATTATAAATGCAAAAATTAGCATAATTAGCAATATTTATATTGTCTCAACAAATATTGTCTCTGACAATTTAATTTCTTTTATAATCCTGCAGTAGTCGTGTCAAGTCAACTGTCCCAGTTGAGTCATGTGGCGTTTTACAGATGCCACATGCTACTACAGGGTTAAGCTAAGTAGATAATTAATCAATTTAAATAAAAAATTATGAAGTCAATATAATATTCCAAATTAAAACTATAAAATCTATATTTTTAATTTATATATTTTCATAAATTCTATGAAAAACTTCTTTTGTAATGCATTACATATAAAGAAAAAGTTATATATCATAATTCTAAAATGGCTGTTAAAAAATTAATAAAACTAAGATGATCTTCAAAAGCAAGCATTTAATATTTATTTATATATTGTAATTAATTATCTTTTATTTAATGCCAATATTTTTCTAAATTTACTTCCTCATATTCTATCCTCTTGGGATTTATGGATGTATAGTATTAATTTTAGATTGCAACTAATGACTTGTTAAATAACACAATTTAGATAAAATACATTATTAAAAAAATAATTTATGTTAATATATTCTTCAAAAGCAATCACTGCAGTTAATTATGTTACGTATCAATATCAAACAAATATTTAAATTTCTTGAATTAATTCTTATTAATGCAGTAAAAAATATTTAATACAATTTAATGCAATGTGTTATTTCATTCTTTATATATATCTAAACTTTTAATTTTAATTAAGTGCACACTTAATTACTATTTAATTAAAATAACTTTTCCTGTATTTATTTTTAAATATTAAATACATTCCTATCTTTACTTTTAGCACATTGAGAATGAAATGCTTTTTACAGTGTATTTAATTCTGGACAAAAAATAATTGTTAATTAAAAATCATGTTTAAATGACTATTATATAATAAATAATAAATGTTTAATTAAAGAAAATGTACATTTTTATATATTTATAAAATATTTACTATGAAATAACTGAAAAAGCTTTAGCTTCTTTCAATTTAAATACTAAAATACAACATTTAAAATAACATTTTCGTTTTGTGCATTCTGCTGTCAACCTACTGCATTAAACTTATTATATAATTGTTATAAACAGGTTTTTCTCAATGAATAATGACAAAAATAATTCAAAAGCATAGAGATAATGAGTCTATATAATATTATTCTATGAACTGAAAACACTTTAATTTAAAAATGTAAACATTTCTTGTATACTAATGAGTCAATCATCCTTACAGCTTTTCTATTTAAATTAGGTATATCTCTAAGATAATACTTAATTAGTGTTATATCCATAGAATGGATGATCACCTTGATTAATATGTACATATTCCAAAATTTATTAAATATATAGATTATACATTATGAGAACATGTTTTCAAACATGGCCACAGTCAGCGCATGGTTAAGAATGAAACACAGGACAAAGGGGCATGGGGTTGCCTAATTGGGCCGAGGGGCAAGCTGACCCAGACTGCCACTGTGGTGGTCTACATATATAACAATTTACATCAATTTAATCAAAGGAATATCAAATGCTTAGATATAAAATGAAAATAATTGAATAAGCAACATAAAACATTAAAATATTTCTTCAAAATTTTAAATATAATGTATTTCTGAATTGGAAATAGAATATTTAAACAATTAAGAGAACATAGTTCCAATTTTGTCATTTTAAAACTAAAATTAATTGTATATTTATGATAATATCGATTTCTGATTTATTCATTTTAATAATAATCACTCCTAATCTTAGATACGAGACTAAAAATTATTATTGCTAAATTTGACGTATAAAAGAATAAAATAAATCTAATGCAGTAGTTGATATGACATTTTAATGTTTAATTATAGTAACTGATTTTTTACTTTAGAATAATAAACATTTATTATTTCTTATAACTTTTTATCATAGATTTACAATTTTATGGTATTCTACACCTCACTCTACTGATTTTACATATGTAGATATCTAATCAGCTATAGCACTATCCATCTTATTTCCATTAGAAGCACAAAATGTTTTAAAAATTTGGATGTTTCAAATGGAGATAAAAAAAAATATAAAGCTAAACTTACAACTCATTAGTATTAATATGCATAATGTATGTTGCAAGGAACCAGTTTACATAATTCTCAATGTGCACAGTTCAATAAACATAAGTAATTGTTTTTGCAAACATAGACATTGAAAATAAGCATTAAAAGCAAAAACTAACAACTAAAGGAAGTAAAGTCTTACAGATTAACAAATTTATTTATTAATAAAATAATATTCATTGTATTTTTTCTAAAGGAAAAACAAATAGCCATTCAGTTCAACAAGCCACTTGGCAGGAGCAATGAAAGAAATATAATTGCACATAATTCAGTATATTCTTTTCTATAAATTTGCAGGATACATGCTATGCAACAAACAAAAAAGACTGCAGAAACTAACATCAATGACCAGACATTCCAGAAGCAGCAAAAAGCAAAAAGCCTAATAAAGAATGTCTGATCAATAATCTTTACACATCTTACCCTTGCTTCTGCAGTAATAAGTTGACCATTCTTGAGAAGATCTGTGAGAGTAATTTGAGTACCGCTTTCAGGATCGTGTAAAAAGCCGGTTTCTTCGTCGATGATTCCAAGTTCCAAAGACTTTTCTACACTCAGAATTTCTCCAGTTTTTGAATTCTTGATCACTGTTGTACTAATATCAATTAGGTCATTTTTCAAAGATTCTTTTAAACTTTGCATTTGGCAGGTAAAAGGATTCTTGAATTTTCCTGTGTCGGCATTATACAAACCATAATCTAACGCTTCTAATAATGACAGAGGTTTACCAGCATAAATAATTATATCTTCTTGAATAGCTCCAATTAACGTAAGCATTTGATTTTTACTTGTATCTAGTACAATTCCTTTCTCGCCATCTATCAGATTATTTTGTAAAGCATCCGATAATCCAACAATTATTTTATCTTTAGTATCTTTAACAGCCATACTATACGAATCAACATGACCTCTTCTCACAGTTTCATCCAAATTAATAGTTTCATTTGACAAGGGATCTGTCATTTCTCCACTTATAAGATTCAGTAATTTATTTTCTAGAGCTATGTTAAAGGTCATCGGTTTCTTTGGGTAAATAACTTTATCATTATCAAGAACTATTCCATAAACATTATTTAAACTAGGATAAATACACACTTTGTCATTTAATTTAAGCAAATTGTGTTCAATTGCTTCATTAACAGGCATATAGCTATTACTTCTGGGATTTTTTAAAACTGCAGTTTGTAGATTAAACTGGCTCAAATTAAGTGCTTCATCAAGGGTATATTCCTTCTCGTCATACGGTGTATTGATAGGTCTTTTCAGATCTCTTGTAACAATAGTTAAAGACGATTGAATAAAATGATATTCGAGCGCAGTTTGAAACGATACTTCTTTTTCTGATGGAAATTTAACAGTACCTTTATTTATATTTATAATATTTTGTTGTATAGCTTCAATTAATGATAATTGAATATTTGTTCCAGGTTTAGCAATTATTGAATTGTTGCCATCAATCAGATTAGCTTCTATAGCTTCTTGAATGTTATAATTTTGTTTACTGAATGGATCCACAATTTTTCCAGTATCAGGATTAAAAAATCCCATCTCTATTATAGTATCTAAAGTAATAGGTTTTTTGAATGAAACTATAAGACCTTTATCGACAGCGTGCTTAAGTGATAAATTTATACCTTCGGATAATATTTTGTATAATCCAAGTTTATCATCAATTATATTAATCTGAATTGCTTCCAGAAGAGTTATAAACTTTTGATTATCAATATCCTTTACAAAAGCTGATTCACTGTCAATAAAGTTGTTCTCTAAAGCCTTTCCTAGAGTAATTGGTTTATTGCTTCTTGGTTCAATAAAATTTCCAGACTTTGTTATGTAAAATCCAAAATTAATTGCATCAATTAAATTAAGAGGCAAATCAATATCAATTATATAACCATTTTTTAGTGCTACATCTAAAGGTAATTCGTCCTTTGTAACTGGATCTCTAAAAATTCCTCTGGTTTCATCAATTATTTGAAACTGAATAGATTCTTCTAAATTAATTAATATTTGTTCACTTGGATGCCAACTACATGTAAACTTATCATTGATAATGGATAATTTAATAGCTTCTTGCAATGTAATGGCTTCTTTATTTAACGGATTAATTATTTTTCCTGTATCCTTAACATAAAATCCCAGTTTAATTATTTTCTGTAAAGACATATTCTCTCTTTGTTTTAAATTATTGAAATCATCTGGAAGTGTTTTCTCTTCAGATTTTGTTTTATCTGATTCATCCTTAACAGAAAGAACTTCATTATTGTAAGTACCTTTCAGATCTGGAGCTTGCAAGGATTGCACTTGTTCTTTCATTGTTTCATTTAGAAGAGTTTTTGTCAATTTTGCCTGTTTAGCATTTAATTCAGTGATGCTTTCATCTGAAATAGTGCCTTTTAATTTTTCATCTATCAAAGTATTTTCTGCATCTTGTTCGGGACTTTTTTCTTTACTTCTTTTATCAACAATGGATGCATTCTTTATATCTTTTATTATTTTTGTTGTTTCTGTTGTCGTTTGATCTGTAATATATTTTGATTCAGGAAATAGCTTTTCTGTAGATTCTTTCTGTGTAATATCATCTATTATATCTGCTTCTTCATCTTCAGATTTTCGAGCATTCCCAAGAATCTTATCATCTGTAATACTTTGTTCATCTGAAATTTTTTCTTCTGGTACTTTTGCACTCGTCATTTCTTTGTCATAATCAGAAAGATGATATTTGATGCTATTTTTTAATTTTTCATCATCCTGTAACTTCATTATCATATCCGATTCTTTTATGTCGCCAAAAATTTTTTGCTGAATGATTTGATCAATTGGCAGATTCGATTGAAACATTTCTTGTTTTGATATCTCTTCGCAAATTATTTTTGTCTCTGATAATTTCTTGAATGGAATTTTTTCAGTAGTAGATAAGCTTTCTGTTATAGTTAACTCTTTTGTGATTTCAACTATGTTATCAGTACAAAATTTTTGTGAATATAATGTATCTTTTGTCTTATATTCTATTTTTTCACTAGCTGGAATGCCATCTTTTATGACTATTTCTTTTAAAAAGTCTTCTTTAGGGAAATCACAAACTGGTTTTTGTTCAAATACTTTAGTTCTATCCTCAGCAATTTCTCCTTTAAGAAATGATTCCTTTAAACCTTCATTGGGAGAAATTTCTTTAATAATTAACTGATCTTTTCTGTCAGTTTCCTCATCATTTTTCAATTTTTCCTCATTAGATTTTAATTTAATATTTTCATCAATATATGAATTTTCTTCAATGGGTATTACTTTTGAAGATTCTTGTTCAGAAATCTGATCACTGGGAGATATTGTAGTTGACTCTAGTAATTGATTAGTCTCTTTCACTTTTACTTCCTTTGAAATATCCTTAGTAGGTAATATTTTTGTAGTGTCAGATATTTGATCATCTGTTGTTTTAGCTTCAAAATATGTTTTGGATTTTTCTTCATAAATAGGTTCAAAAGGCTTTTGTATTGTTTCATCAATTTGAACAGTATTTACAGTAACTTTTTCTGTTACTTCTATTTCTTTTGAGATCTCTTTAACAGGTATTATTTCTGCATAATCTTTAGTAATCTGTTCAATTTGCTTACCGTCTTTAGAAGTAGGCTTTTTGATGAGTTCCTTTTTATCAATTTGATTATTTCTTGTTTCATCAAAGTGATCAATGGATGAAATATCGCCTGTTTCATCTATTGGCTCAATTGGCTTAGTGTCTTTAATATCATCTTTTTGTTTTTCTTCAATAACCTGATCAGTCTGAATTTCAATTTGCTTACTTTCAACATGTTCTTTTGGCATTATTTCTTTATTAATTTTCTCACTTTCTCCAATTGGTAATTTCTCTATAGGCTGTTTTTGAGTTATTTGATTAGTAGAAATTCCATCTTTGGGAATCATTTCTTTTCTAGGCTCTTCTTTGCCACTATATTCAGAAGTATATGGCACTTTTATTGGTTTGGTTATTTGATCAGTTGATTTTTTATCTGGGATAGCATTTATCATCTGTTTCTTTGAAATCTGTTCTGAGGGAATTTCTAATTCGACTTTCTGATCAATTAATATACTGTCTTTGAATACTTTTTCTGTCGTGGGTTCTTGTTTACAGATGGTATCGTGAGACGGAAACATTTCTGTTGGTTTAATCATTTGATCTTTTGGCATGCTACATTCTTCATCTGTTATTTCTTCCATCTTATTACTTTGGATTGCATCTTTGGAGACTTTTATAAATTCTGATTTGTCTGTTGTCGGTGATTGTATTTCCATTATTTCGGTTGTCTGTACAGGCATTTCATGTGTGACTACATCATCTGTTATTGCACTTTCTTTTAATATTTCCTTACTGAGTAATATATCCGTTTGATCTTTCTTATCAACTTGATCAGGTTTTTTCTTATCTTCAGGAAAAATCTGCTTAATAGAGTCAGTGAGAGGAATTTGATCTGTTATTACTTCTTTTGGTGCTGTTTTTTCTATAGGCTTTTGCATTTTACTATCACCAAGAGGTGATATTTTCTCCAAATTTACCATTTGTTCTATTGGCCTACTGTCTTTAATATCTGCTGGTGTTATTTTTTCCACTGAAATGTCTTCAGTATGTAATTCTCTTTTGGGTTCAGTTATTTGACCAGTTTGAATTTCATCTTTAGACACTCCGACTTCAGTTTTATGAACTTTAGCAACTGGAGATATTATTTCTGTTATTTTAACTGTTTGATCAAGAAGTTCATCATATTTAATAGGCTCACCTGTAATTTCAATCTTTGAAATCTCTTTTTTGGGAATTTTTTCTGTATGTTCCTTCTCTGCTATTTGATCACTTTTCATCTCAATTTTGCATGCAATTTCTTCTATTGACTTTTCTTTAGAAATTTGATCAGTAGGTGTCACAGTTTCCAGTGGTTCAATTAGTTGATCAACTGATTTATCTTTGATGATGACTGTTTTGTCCTTTGGCATCACTTTGGGAGAAATCAGTAATTCTTTACCTTCTAATTCTTCATTAGTTATTGATTCATCTTTAAATGTTAATTTTTTTTTAGGTTCCTGCTTAGAAGCATCTTCAGAAAGAGGCATAATCATTTCCACTGATTTATCTTTTTCATTAATTGGTGTTTTATCTTTGGTAATTTCCTCTGTTTTTCCTTCTGTTTCAACACACAATGTTTCTAAAGATTCTATCTTTTCATGGATATCTCGTATTTTACTTTCAGGAATTATTTCTTTTGTGGATTCTTCTTTAATTATCTGGACTGGTTTAATTTTCTTATCTTTAATATCACCTTCATTCAATCTTTTAGTTATTTTATCCTTTTGCTCAGTAATATCCATGTTGGAAGGTAATTCTTCTGTAAGCATTTTTTTGGCTGTTTGATTGACCGATTCTATATTTTCACCTAATACTTCTTTTAAATTTGTTTTGTCAGAAATATCACTATTAGGAATGCTGTCCATCAAGCTTGGTTCAATTATTTCAGTTATCTGTGTGACTGATCCAATTTCTTGAAAGGGTAAATCCTTTGTTAATTTTTCTTTAGGAATCTGATTGGTCTGCATCTCTTCAACTTTTTCAAATTCTTGTTTCGATACTTGAACAGCTGGCTCTTTGTCATTTATTTCTGTTAATTTTTGTTTGGAGAGAGTAATTTTTTCTGATTCAACTTCTTGACAAGGTTTGGTACTACTTTCAGGAAATAGATCAATTGTAAGGTCTTTCTGAGAGATTTGATAATTGGGAATTTTTTTAAAACTCTCTGTAGGTTCAATCTTAACTGTGATTTCTTTAGAATCTTCATCCGAAGGTTGTTTCACTGGTTTGTCATCTTTCACATGTATATCTTTTATTGGTTTCTCTTCAAAAGTCTTATCAGTTGGAATCTGTTTTGAAGGTGATATTTTAATTGAATCTTTTGTTTTATTAAACTCAATATCTAGAATATTTTCAGGAATATCTGTAACTGTTTGAGCAGAAGTCACCAGTCCTACCTTATCTTTACTTTCTGCATGATGTTCTTTGGTTGTCTCGGAAATTATTTTACATTCATTGGCAACATCTTTTTTAACTTTGTTAAGATGAATGGGAATTTTTTCTGTATCTTTAACCATCTGATCTTCAGAAATTATTTCATCGACAGGAGTTTTTTTAAGTTCATCAGCACATATAATTTCATCTTTTATTACAGTTTCATCTTTTATCGGAGTTTCTTCATCATCAGCAGCAGTTAAATTCTTCACATGTTCCTTCTCAGAAATATCTTGTTTTGAAATTGCAGATTTAATTTCTGTTGGCTCCTCTGTTTTAATCAGATCTGAAGAAAGTTCATTTGCATAAAATACATCTGTAGGTTTCTGTTCAGTTATCTTATCAGACAACTGTATATCTTTATCCTTTATAGATTCTTCCACTTTTTTACTAGGAAATTTTTCTTTCAGTTTTGCTTCAATTGGTTGAGCAGTTTGTAATTTTTCCTTAGACTTTTTAGTGAACAATTCATTCATCATTACATCTGATAAGCTTTCTTCAGTTGCCTGCACACCATAGCTATCCTGTTCTGGGAGAATCTGTTTTGATAAATCTCCCTGCAAAAATTCTTGACCAATGGGAATAGTTTTAATTATAGTTTCTTCTGTAGGTTTGGTTATTTTATCAGAGTCTATGGTTTTTGAAACCATTTTATCAGAAATTTCACTTGTTTTTAATGTATCTAACTGTTCTAATGGTATTTTTACTTCTTCATAATCTACTTGAGGCAGAATTACATCACTGTAAATGTACTTTTTACTCACAGCTAATGTTAAAGGAATCGAATATGGTTTCATTATTTCTGCTGAGTCAGCAGAAATGATATTCTTATCTAATGCTTCGTTTATAGATAAAATTTTATCATTTTCAACATCTTTCACTTTTATGTTTTCAATATCAAGTAAACCTTCATGAATTGCCCTATCAAAAGAAATATATTCCCTATTGTAAGAATCATAAAAGTTTTTTATTTGTGGATTATAAAGCCCATTTTCAATGGCAGTAATTAAAGGTATTTTCTCTCTTGTTGAAAATACTATTCCTTCTTTTATTGCATCTTCCAGATTTAGAAAACTATTATTTAATGTATCATTTACACGATTACTTTCGACTAGCGATAAATCATTTATTGCTTCATTTAAGGCAATGCTGGACTTCATTTTTGTATTTTGAATTTTAGTTATGAAGCCATCAATAATATTCTTATTAACAGATTCAGAAATTGTTATTTTTTCTTTAGTTATAGGATCAAATAGGACATTTGACGAAGCATCAAAAAGTTCTGTAGAAGTGATAACATCAAGAGCAAGAGGCTGATAAGAAATGAAGATAAAACCATTCTGAAAGGCTTCATTTAATGATAACTCTTCATTTGTTGAAGAATTATTGTATTTTTTATTCTGCAAATCCACTAAACCCAAATCTAATGCTTCTGTGATTGGGATAAAAATATTTTCTTTAGGGTGATATACAGATATAGAGTCTTCAAAAACAAGTTTGCCTTTTAAATTCAACACATTATTAAGAATTTTCTGCAGATCTGTTGAAATGTATTCTTCTCTTTCATATTCATCCTGAGTGATGGTTACAATGTAATTATTTTTAATTGCATCTGGGAGTGATAATGATTGTCCGGTCACATTATCAATTAATTCTCCAGTCTCTTTATTTAATAATTGCTTTGGCAGAGCATCTTCCAAGGGTAAAAACCTGTCATACTGAAAATCTTTAACTCTAACATTATCCACCTTAACGAGCCCCAAATTTATAAAATCTATAAACGATACTAATTCATAAGTGTTTGGATTTAAAAAACATTTTTTATTTGTATCATAAAATTTATCAATTGCATAAGAAAAAGTGAATTTATCATCAATAGAAAAATATTCACTTACCTCTGCAAGTGAAATTTCTTTATCACTAATTACTTTAACAATTGTGTCTGAAGACACAATATTTCTGGATAATGCTTCTTGAAGTTTATATTTTTTATTTGTTCTTGGAATTATAAATTCACATGTCTCAGGATTTATAACATTATGTTCAATGAGTTTATTTAAAGGAACGCATTTTCCTAAAACCTGAGAAATGTCGTATTCTTTTCTGTATTCAGTATATGTTTCAGTGACGATTACCTCTCTCCTCGTCACATTAAACTCTTTCTTGGTCAAAGCTGGACCAGGAACTGTAGTAGTGCTTGTAGTAACAGTCTGTTGTTGTGGTATTACTTGCCATTTATCACGATCGCCATCTGTGTAAGGTATTTTATCTTCTTTTCCTGGAATGCCTACCACTTCTTTAAGACCAGACCTTTCGACAGTGGCTGATTTTTTTGTGGATGTTGTAGATGTAAATACTGTCGGACCTTGGGAAACAGTCACCGATTGTATTATAGTCGATTCTCCATTCATAGATGGTTTTTGTCTTGAAATAAGATCTATTTCTTTACTAGCAGATTTTTCTGGTGATTTTCTTGTTGGTGACACTGTTTTTCCTTTTGATGTAGGACTAGTCTTCTCAGGATATTCTTTCACTGGAGATTTAGGACCAGTCTTCTCAGGGTATTCTCGTACTGGAGATTTAGAACTAGGCTTCTCGGGATATTCTTTCACCGGAGATTTAGATACAGTCTTCTCTGGATAGTCTCGTACTGGAGATTTAGAACTAGGTTTCTCAGGATATTCTTTCACTGGAGATTTAGGACCAGTCTTCTCGGGATAGTCTCGTACTGGAGATTTAGAACTAGGTTTCTCAGGATATTCTTTCACTGGAGATTTAGGACCAGTCTTCTCAGGGTATTCTCGTACTGGAGATTTAGAACTAGGCTTCTCGGGATATTCTTTCACCGGAGATTTAGATACAGTCTTCTCTGGATAGTCTCGTACTGGAGATTTAGAACTAGGTTTCTCAGGATATTCTTTCACTGGAGATTTAGGACCAGTCTTCTCGGGATAGTCTCGTACTGGAGATTTAGAACTAGGTTTCTCAGGATATTCTTTCACTGGAGATTTTGGAATTTCTTGAAGTGATTTTTTTTTAGGCAAATCTGGTGATGCCCCTTTTTTATCTGTTGGAGTTTTTACCCCCTTTTCTATTACTTGTTTTGTTTCAATTTTTGATGTCTCTTTAGTTACACTTCTTATTTCATGATCTTTTGTAGTAATTTCTTTTTTTGATGTCTGAGTGAAATCTTCAGGTTTTGTAAACCCTTTTGTTAAAGAAACTGGACGTTCAGGAGATTTTTCAGTTTTTGTAACCTCTTTTGTTAAAGAAACTGGTCGTTCAGGAGATTTTTCAGTTTTTGTTGGTTTAGGTTTACCTTTGTAAGTTTCTTTCTCTACTGTCTTACTAACTTCATCTATCTTCTTCGGTTCTTTTATTCTAGTAGGTGAAGTCTCAGGAGATGGTTTTGTGGGACTTTTTGGCTTTTCTTCTTGTGATCCTTTTTCAAAAATGTACTCAGCTTTTTCTTTTTTCACTGTGAAAGGTTCACTTTTATCAGATGTTTCTATTGTCACAGTTTTTCTTATTTCTCGTTTAGGAGATGTATCACTTCTTTCCTTTGTCTTTTTATCAATTATAGTTACGTGCTCTTCAACCACAACTTTTCTCTGATCAGTTTCATGTTTAACTTTTGGCTTTTCAGTTTCTTTTATTGGACTTGTTGATCTTCTGCTTTCAATCTCTTTGGTTGGACTTGTTCTTTTTCCTGAAATTTCAACTTTTTCCACAGTAGATTTGATCACAGTTTCACTTGGTAATGTGTATTCTCTGGTTGGTGATTTTTCAGTTGTTATATGTTTCTGTGTTCTCACAACAGTTTCTTTTCTGTCTATTACATTTACATCAGTAGATTCAAATTTACTAACTTCTGGTTTAGTTTGCATAGGAGAGTCCTTCTTGGGAAATCCTATTTCTTTAGTTTCAACAGATTTGCCTTTTATTGATTTATCAGTTGTAATTATCCTGGAAAAATCTTTATCAGTTTCTGTAAAAAGTGTATCAGGTCTCACTGGACTTTGTGATTTTCTCTGATCAAGATCGGAGCTAGTTCTTTCTGTTATTACTGTCGTATGAACTTCCCTTGTAGTTTTCCTGGTTGGAGATGATATTTTATTTGATTCATAATCAAAAGAAATATCATCATCTTTAGGTTTAGATATTTCTTTAGACGGACTGCTTGGTTTCTTTCTTGGTATCTCTCTTTCTGGAGAATGTCTTTGAGGAGTTCTTTCAGGTGACTTCTTCACTTGTTTATCTTCATCTTCTATCTTATCATGGATTATCTTTCTCTCCACAACAACTTCTTTCTTTCTTATCTTAACAGAGTCAGGTTGTTTTCTGTCTTCTTGTTCTTTTGTTGGAGAAGGTAGTCTTTTTTCATCTGGGCTTGGTTTTTTCTCCTTAGGAAGATTATCTGGTCTTTTCTTCTTATCTTGTATTGGCTTTTCTTTATGGGTCTCTCTTCTTTCGGGTGATAATTCTTTTTCAGGAGATTTACTTCTGTCTTCTGAACTAATCTTTCTTGTTACCTGAACTTCAGAACTAGTTTTTCTTGTTGTTTGAACTTCACCTTTCTGTTGAACAGTTTGAGTTGATATTATCTTTCTAGTTTCTTGTGATGATGTCGAATGCTTTGAAGTAGAAAATGGTATTTTATGAGATAAATCTGGTTTAGAATTTTTATTTTGGATTATATTCTTTAAAGAACCTGCAACAACAGCTCCAGCTAATAAAGGAGCTCCTATTACAGCTATTATTCCCAATTTAAAAGCATTTTTTAAAGGAATTTTATTACCCGAATCGGATTCTAATACATTCCCGTGCTTTATATCTAATTTTCCGCTATCGATAGCTTGTTTTGTTGTTAAAGATTTTCCACTCTGAACATCATAAATTACACTATCTAAATCAATTAAATCTTTCTTTAACAGCTCTTCTAAAGTTAATAACTTATTTGTTTTCGGTTCCCTAAATTTACCTGAATTTTCATCATACAATAAGTCAATGAGTTGAGAAATGGTGTATTTTTCTATATCTTCTGTTTGCACTTCTTTTTTAGGAACTATTAATTCTTCAGATATAGCTTGTGAAATTGGAATGATTCGACCATTTATTACATCAGTGTAAGTGCAGTCGTCTAAATCAATGAACCCTCTTTCCAAAGCTTCCGAAAATGAAAGTGGAGAAGTCACTCTTCGAGTTTCTGTTTCAATTTTAATAATTCCTTTTTTATTTGCTTCTTCTACTGTCATAACTTCTCCAGTTTCAGTATTAACGACTTGATTGGGTCCACACATTGTAAAGCCAGGACTAGTTTTAATAGTCTGTGATTCTATAACTGTGTGGCATGTAGTAGTGGTTAAATTAGTTACTAATTCTGGTGTTTCTGGAACATTAAAATCTGTCATTTGTAAAATTCCAGATTCAACAGCTTCAAAAATTGGAATTTCTTTTTCAAAGTTTGGATGTTTCATGACACATTTTTCTGAATCAATGAGTTTTTTATCCATTGCTTCCGTAACATTAATGCTGTCAGAACTTGGAGAAAATGGCAATGTCATAATAAGTCCTTTATCTATTGAATTGTCCACTGGAGTTCTAGTACCAGTAACAGGATGAATAAATTCTTTTTTCTCGACATCAATTAAATTATGACGCAACGCTACTGGGAAGGTTATTGCTAACATTGGAAGAGAACATTTATCGGCATTAGATGACTTATCGAAAAGTTTAAGATTTTGTGCTGCTTCAACAATATTTATCTTTTTATTCTCAAACTGAACATCACCTGTTATGTCATCTACTATTTTTCTTTTAATTGCTTCTTCTAAAGTCAGTGGCTTTTTCATTGTAGGCGAGCGTACTGTTGAAACAGGATTGACTATATCACAAGTAATAGCATCTTGAAGAGTGAGCAAATCACCAGTTTCGGGATGTATAATCCTCTTTTCTGATGGTATAACTAAACCTTGTGAGACTACTTCAGAAAGACTCAAGGATCGACCAATTGGAATTAGTAACTTCGATGATTCGGGATCAAGTAATCCACTGTTCACCGCTTCCTTAATTGTTAGTTTTTCTCCTTTTCTTGGATCTATCAACACACCTTCATTACCATTAATAAATTGTTTTTTAAGGGCCTCATCTAATGTAATTGGCTCATTATTTTCATTTCTCATAGATTCAATACTGTTTATTATTTCAACCGTCGGTTGATCGATCAAACCTTCATTAACTGCAGTTTTTGGTGATATCGCCCTTCTTCTGACTTTTTGCAACACAACTTGTTCTTTATCCGGAGACTGCAAAGTGGTAGCCTTTCCAAATGTTACTTCAAAGCGTGGTTCTGAAATAACTTTCCTTTGACTTTTGGGTGATTTGCTTGATTTTTCTATTTCAATTGTTGAAACACCATTAACTACATCCTCCTCTTTCAAAGTTGTAGGTAAATCCTGCGATTCTTGCAATTTTTTAGCCATTTCAGCCTTAATTATTCCTTTTTTAACAGCATCGTCAAGAGTGAGTTTCTCACCGGTTCTAGGATCGTTAATATAAATTACTGTTGTTTCTCTTATTTCGGTTTGAACAATTGGGGTTTGAACGGTTGATTGTTTTGTGATTGATTGGAATACTTGAGGAGTTTCATAATCTTGACTTATTGTTGTTATCAGTCCTTCACAAATTAAATAATCTATTTTTGCAGCATCTTCCAGCGACATCTGTTTTTTTGTTTTAGTATTGGTAAATGTTCCTTTCTGAATATTAACAAAACCTCTCTTAACTCCATCATTTAGACTAATCATATCATCTTTTGTTACATCTTTCACTTTAAAAAGTTTTATATCTATAATATTATTTTTAATAGCTGTCGAAAGTTTTATTTTTTCATTTGTATCTTTTTTAAGAATTATTATTTTTTAATTTTTTAATTATTTTTTTACTTACTAATGCAGAATCTAATTCTTTTTCAGCATCTTTTCCAGAAACTGAATTTACACTTCTGAGACTATTAATTTTCTGTCTTGTATCTATAATCCAAGAATTTTCATTTTCTAATTTATTCTTATAAGTTCTTAATAATTCTGATGATGCTTCACAACTTCTCATCCTATAAAAAAATTGAGTTAACATTAATATCATATTTAATCCACATTAAGAATAAAATGTAAACTGAAACAAAAATAAATCAAATAAATTTAAAAAGAAATAGCTATAAATTACCAAAATAGCTTTCTTCAAAATAATTTATAAATATATTCTTTAAATATATTTGCTTCCTAATAATTTTTAAACTACTAATTTATCATTTAAAATTTTTCATATTTTTAATCAAAGAAATTGTATCCCTAATGATAAAAAATGTGTTTATTTACATTATTATAATTTACTTTTTACTGAAAATAATAAAAATATAGAAACCCATAAACTTTATTGAATAATATTAAATTTATACTGTATTTTATAGAGCTTATTAATTATATTTTAAACACATATATTTATAAAATGCAAACCTTTCCACCACTTGTGAACTGGCATTATTCCACCTTTCTGTAATTTTATGGATATCATTAATTAGTTTGTTAATATCTGTGTTGCTCGTCTGTTTGATTCGAGTTTTCTGAACTAGTTGTTTAAGGGTGTTGATATCTTCATTAAGTCGATCAACTGTATATTGACTATTCTGCATGTCAGATTGCATGGACTGAAAATTAAAAAAAAGTAAAAAATTAGTTACGAAACAAAATATTTAATTTTAAAATATTAAATATCCCATGTCTTGTAAGAACATCTTTTAATCCATTGATATAATCTAGTATTGCATTTACTAAATCCTTATATTGTTGATTTAAATTGTCCAATTCTTGACTGACATTATTAGCACCAGATGTAAGTTTTGCTTTCTTGGATAAACTAGCATCAAGACTTGGATGTACTTCTTCTAAACTATCTTTATAGTGCTTCAGACGTAAATCATATATCTGCATGAAATAAATATTCTCAATTGAACATAACTATTCAGTTTTAAATAGCAACAAACATCAGGCAAACATGAAATAGCAGTAGCTTGCAATATCCATTCCAGGCAATTTTGCAGGCACAAAAAGAAAAAAAATTGCTTTGGGAAATGCATTCATAAAAACAACATACCGAAAGCAAGCAAAATAAATAGGCATGCTACAAACCATCACCTTGACAGTTTCTCACAAAACATAAATTCTTCCAATACAAATGATACATTCACACTTGTAGGACTTTAAAACTAATTCCATGCTTGTAGTACTTTAAAAAAGTAACAAAATGCAATTCCAGATAAAAATCAGGCAAAAATAGGGAATGCAAGCAAATTGCATGCTTTAGAAAATCTTCATCTAAGCAAGAAAAGACAAGAATTCAAACACAAAAAGCTATTTAAAGTTTATTTTTTAAACACATGCATTTTTTTAAAACTATAATTTACAAAAATTTGTCTTACACCAAATTAAAAAAGAAAAATACATGCAAAATATATTATTTAATACATTAAACTTACCTTAGCCTCTCTAATAAATCTACCACCCACGATATTTGTATTTTCCAGAGATGGTTTTTTATTTGCGAGAGATGTATAAATATTCTGAAAAAGAAGCAAATATAATAATATAAAATTTCTGCTACAAGTTGAAAATTACATCTGCAATTTTTAAAAATGAAATGTTTTGCCATAAATTTAGTTATAAAATTTTTAAATTTTCATTTAAGAAAAATATACTAAGCTAATTTTGCTTTTATATGGTGAAAACAGTTTGGAATACAAGACTTTACGAAAGAATAAGAAACAACTTGTTCTCCTAAATAAATCACTTTGCAAACATTGCCACAATGTTTGGTTTTGTTAAAATTATGAGATTATCATGAAATCACATAACTAGAAGACAAAAATCTATACCAATGCATATTAGGACTGTTAATAAGTGATAAAAGATTTATATTATATAGTGGTTTTTTGCATATCTTTGAAAAAGATCTTTCATACAGGATGTATCATCAAAATGGATATATTTGATTTAAAATACTAATATCTCATGACTGAAAGAGCAAGCCCATCTCTAATATCCATAAACTTTTTCACACTCATTTACATTTGTTATGAAAACATTTATAAAGTGCATATTTCATTTCTTTTAACTCTTTCTGCATTGTGGGCACTAAGAGGGCTTCTTTTTTATCAAGCCTATTATGGGTTCAGCCAGATGGCGAGTGATGGGGCCAACATATCAGGTCAGACCAGATTCGATCCCGGGTCCTCTAGAGCAGTAGCCTCCACCTCAACCATTCAGCCATCTGGCCATCTTTGTTTTCATTAAAGTAACAAAACTAATTTTTCTCATTTATTTTAATAATTTATAAGAGTTTATCATTGTTATTTGTAATAATCCTTTGAATGCTGTTTCTCTCTTTGCATCAACAGTTTTGAACAAAGGTATACAAGCTTTGCTATTAGATATGATATTTTTTATTGTTAAAATATGTATTAACAACTGCATATTAAAAATCAATTACTATATAATGAGTAAATTTGAAAATGTTATTTTAATAACAGAAACAATCCCTTAAAGCATTAGAATAAAGCTTTTTACAAGTTAATTTATTGAAAATGGAATATTTTTGGCTATTATATCTATGCATATTTTAATATTTTTTTATTTTCACCTCTAAAGTTAATTTAATTCTTGTTTGCTTGTAATAAATATCTATTTGATAAAGTTGTAATTTTTCAGTTTTAATCCAATATTTCATTACATTCAAAAACTTTGAAATTTTATAAAGTGATAGCTGCAAGTACAGTATCTGTTATATGGGTTTAAAAGATTATTTTTCAACAAAACTAATTTTTTCCTTTTTATTTGTGGAAATTGTATTAAATCAATTCTGCTTCTAATTAAGCTACAATTCTCATTTTTGCATGGTTTTAAATTTATAAATAGTATTTTTTAAAAAGCTTCCTAAATGTTATAAATGATTATTAAGTTACATTCTTAAACATAAAATTCTCTAAATATAATAAAATAGAGACACTTTATTATACAAATATTAGAAAAACTATAAAAAAATTTTTAATAATTTTTAGATAGTATCACTTTTAATCTACTTAAAAATTATTTAATGGCATAAAAATGAAATCAGTTATATTTCAATTCATTTTAAAAATACCTTATGCTGAATAACAAGATTCTCCAAATTATCTAGATTGCATGGAATTGGGGCTTGCAGTTTAGATTTTAAGAGTTTTTCTTTTTCAGTAATTTTTGAAAGCAATGTAGCTTGCATCTCTGGTAGTTTTTGACTTCCTTTCTTTGATGGCTTGTCATCTAAAAATTTTCAAAATAAGAATTCAATTAATGCTTTTTTTTTTTTTTTTTAGTGATAATCTATTATTGTTGCTTTTGATAAACTTATATATTTTCCTAGAGATAACATCAATNCATCTTTCACTTTAAAAAGTTTTATATCTATAATATTATTTTTAATAGCTGTCGAAAGTTTTATTTTTTCATTTGTATCTTTTTTAAGAATTATTCCATGTTTTTTATCAAAATAAATGTTCGGACTAATTTCAACAAATTCATAAGTTTCATTAATAATTATTTCACTTTTTTTAAATTCTGGAGTAGAAGTTGTGATAATTGTCTGTCTCGGTTGAATTTCTTTCATCTGTAAATTATCGATATTAGATTCAATTTTAATTATTTTAGTACCTTTTTTATAAGGTTCACTTTGAATTTCTTCATCTTCAAATTTAATAAGTTTTTCTTTAATTGCATCATTAAGAGTAACTGTTCTTGATCTCTTATTATCATGGTAATGTCCCGTAGAATCTAAGATTCCTTTTTCTAATGATCTTAATAATGTAATGGTTCTCTTAGAACCTGGTTCTACTACAGATGCCGATTTTGGATTGATGATACCCATTTTAATTGTTTCTTCAAATGAAACGAGTCTGTCAGTACCTGGAATGGTGAATAATCCAGAGGTACTGTCAAATAAATTTTGAGCAATAGCTTCTTTTAATGACCAGCCATCTGCAGGAAGTTCTAACACATTAGTTTGTTGAGTAATGACAGAATCAACATCTCCAATATCAATCTGTTTTATAGTTTTTTTATCTGTTACTTTTTCAAAATATTCCTGCTCACTTGTTATAATTTGTTCCTTTTTAGGTGAACCTGGTCTTGCCGAGGGCTTCTGTATTGATTTTGGCTGTTTCAAAGGTTCTTTTTCCTCGGCATTTGATTTTATTTTAGAAGGTTGTAGCATTTCTCGCACCGGTGAAGTGCTTTTCTGAGATTTTGGTATATTAGATTTCGATGGTTGAATCGGTTTATCAACTTCTTGTGGCTTTCCTTCTTTTGGAATAGTCTCGGGTAATTTTTTTATTTGGGTTGGCGATTCTGATAGTTTTATTTCCTCTTCAGACTGTACAATACTATCACTTATGGTTTGTGGTATTTCTCGAATAAACTTTTCTGATAAAACTTCTTTAGTGCTTTCTAAAGTTTCTTTTTTAGTTACTTCATTAATTACATCATTGGTTATTACTCCAGCTGTTTGTTTTGGTTGAAAATTATCAACAGTTGAAGGTTCAGATGTTTTACTTACTGGAACCTTTGAAGGCTTCTTCTCAGTTACAGTTTCTGGAATCTTCTCTGCATTAGTTGAAGTATCTGGCAATTTTCTAGAACTTGGAGATTTTGCAGCAGGTTTCTCTTTGCCTGGAATTTTACTAGGAATACCAGAAACAGGGCTTTTTAATTCTTTAGGTTGACTGCTTATTGTAGTTTCTTTTGTTTGTATTAAAAGGTTTTTATTATTTTCAACCTCGGTTATGAATTGTGTTTCAGTAGATATAGTAGAAGTAAAATCTTTTTCATCAATGCATGGTTTTGGTTGAATGTTAGTAACGAATGTGTCTTTTGATGAATGGACTACTGTGGTTTCTGGAACTTTTTTATCAATGGATTTTGGTAACTTAGACTTTTCTGAAGGTATATCTTTCTGAGTTGGTTTTTTCTTAAGTACAGGGGATTTTTCAGTTTCTTTCTTTGTTTGTGATTCAGAAACAACTGTTGTTGTTGATTGTGTGAAAGAAACTGTATCTTCTGAGGTTACTGGCCATTGAGAAGTCAGTCCTAATAAACCTGTATTGATTGCTTCTTCCAAAGGTAATATTTCACCAGTTATTGGATTTTTAAATGTGCCTTCTGTTTCATTAATCAAACCTTCTTTCATTGCATCTTGAAAAGTTATTTTTACTTCTGAATCTATTTCTTGATCAGAAGGTATAACTTTAGTTACTGTTTTTGTAACAACAGCTGTCGTTACCACAATGTTTAAGAGAGCTTTTAAATGAGCTGCACCTTGAGGAGTTATCACTCCTTTTTCAATTGCATCTTTCAGTGTAAGTGGTTTCTTTGTGCGAGGTTCTCGTAATTTACCTGTTTTATGATCCAGAATTCCTTTTGTAACTGCTCTAATGACATTCAATTTATTTCCTTTTTCGTCTTTTATTTCAACATCTTTAGTTAACATGTTATAAATTTGAGGTTGTATCAACTTTTCTTTCAAAGCTTCTTCTAATGTAATATATTTGTGAGGACTTTTTTTGAATTTTCCCGTGTTGGTATTTATTATTCCTTTAGAAACTGCTGTATTAAAACTTACTTGTTCACCAGATGAAGGAATCAAAATTCCTTCAATGTCAAATATTGACTGATATTTAACTGAAGCAACTAAACCTTTATTTGCACACTCATGGAGTGTCATTGTTTCTCCAGTATTTGTATCTGTAAAAATTCCTTCTGGAGTTAAAATTCCTTTTGAAAATGCCTCTGGTAATGTAACTAATTCACCCGTTTTAGATAAGATGATGCATTTCATTTCTGAATTAAGTAATCCTCTTGTTACTGCTTCTAAAACTGTTAATTTTCTACCTGTAAATGGATCAATAATTTTTCCATTTGTATCTAAAAGATTCTGCTCATAAGCAGTCTTTAAATTTAAAGGAGAAAATATAAGGTTTTTCTTTCTGGCTTCAATTAATGTCATTTTTGTCATGGTTTTCTTATCTATAAACCGTCCTGTTTGAATGTTTATTATTCCTAAAGAAATTGCTTCAGGTATGGTTACAAGTTCTCCTGTTTCGGTATTCATTACCTCTCTTACATCAGCTCGAATAAGGTTTTGGGAAAGAGCTTCATCAATTGTGATCTTTTCTCCAGAATCTTCATCTATTATTTGTCCTGAATATTCGTCAATCATACCATTATCTATGAATTCCGAAATTAAATATCCAGTTTTTCTTTCATCAGATGATGGTACTCTTAGCAAACCTTTATTAAATGCTTCTGGCAAAGTCATTACTTTTTGTGAGATTGGATCTTTGAAAAGTCCTGTTTTCTCATCTAAAAGACCTTCATCTACTGCTTCTATAATTGTTAAATCAGTTATTTTGATTACTCTCAATTCACTTAAATAATTTATTTTATCTTTTTGGACTATTCCAAGAGAAATAGCTTCATCTAAAGTAATTATATTGCCATTATCTGGATTTAAAAATACGCCTTTATCTACATCATATATATTATAATAAATGGCTTCAATTAATGTAATTTCAGTTTTGGTTTTGGGATTTATTATTCCACATAATGATAATAACTGTGATGAAAACTTTTTATCAATGTAATTCTTATTAGCTGCTTCTTTGAAATCCATTTCTTTACCAGTTCTTGGATCGATGTATTGCCTTTTTTCCAAATTTATAATTCCTTCATCAATTGCATCACTTAAAGGTAACATTTCTCCTGTTTTTGTATTCAAAATGCCTTTTGTATTTATAAAACTATCATCTGATTTTCTAGTACTTTTAACTGCTTTAAATTCTTTTACTACAACTGAAGAAGTAGTGTATTTTTCAACTAGCGATGATTCTTGAGAAGGCATTTGTTCATATTTAGAGTCAGTTACTGATTGCTGTTCTGCCATTACAATATCCGATATTGGAATATTTACATTATCTACTTCCATTGGTTCTGGGGAAATTGTTTGTTCTAGAACATGATGGAATGTCTTCAAAGTAAGAGGAACTGTTTTGGTAATTGTAACTGAAACCTGTAAAAGACAAGAAGGAAATATAATATTATCATCAGTTATTCAATATCTAAAATTAAAAATTATAATAGTTTTCCTTCATTTATTTTTAAGGACTTTATGTAAATTTTTCTATGCCAGATATTTAAATAGAAAATAACACAATATTTTTTGAAGATACATTCTACTGATTCAAAAAAAAATCTTAATCTAGCACATATCTTAATTTTCCAGTTAATTAAATTAAAATATTCATATTTTATTCAATAATCATAAAGTAAGTTACACATTTTATGATCATTGAATTTAAAAACAACTTGATTTAACATTAAAAATATCATATTTGCTTTCTTTTTTTTAATTTTATATTTTATATTAAATATAGAAAAAAAACACAAATATGCCCAAAACTAATTAAAGGAATAAAATTATTTAGTAATACAAATGTTTTCATCCAATTATAACAAATGTTATCAGGTATATCTGTATATTTTACTGATTTTTGGGCATATTTGTGTAGGCTTTCATTTCATACAACTAGTTTTTGATTAAGTAAATGTATTAAATATATAATTTAATAACTGAAGATATAATTTTAAAATATTTTATTTGCTAAATAAAATACTTTTTAAGTTTTTTTTATTTTTATACATTAGTTTTAAAATATTAATGGATTAAAAATTTCATGAAATAATCACTTTATTTACCTTGCTCCCATGTCTTGTAAGAACATCTTTTAATCCATTGATATAATCTAGTATTGCATTTACTAAATCCTTATATTGTTGATTTAAATTGTCCAATTCTTGACTGACATTATTAGCACCAGATGTAAGTTTTGCTTTCTTGGATAAACTAGCATCAAGACTTGGATGTACTTCTTCTAAACTATCTTTATAGTGCTTCAGACGTAAATCATATATCTGCATGAAATAAATATTCTCAATTGAACATAACTATTCAGTTTTAAATAGCAACAAACATCAGGCAAACATGAAATAGCAGTAGCTTGCAATATCCATTCCAGGCAATTTTGCAGGCACAAAAAGAAAAAAAATTGCTTTGGGAAATGCATTCATAAAAACAACATACCGAAAGCAAGCAAAATAAATAGGCATGCTACAAACCATCACCTTGACAGTTTCTCACAAAACATAAATTCTTCCAATACAAATGATACATTCACACTTGTAGGACTTTAAAACTAATTCCATGCTTGTAGTACTTTAAAAAAGTAACAAAATGCAATTCCAGATAAAAATCAGGCAAAAATAGGGAATGCAAGCAAATTGCATGCTTTAGAAAATCTTCATCTAAGCAAGAAAAGACAAGAATTCAAACACAAAAAGCTATTTAAAGTTTATTTTTTAAACACATGCATTTTTTTAAAACTATAATTTACAAAAATTTGTCTTACACCAAATTAAAAAAGAAAAATACATGCAAAATATATTATTTAATACATTAAACTTACCTTAGCCTCTCTAATAAATCTACCACCCACGATATTTGTATTTTCCAGAGATGGTTTTTTATTTGCGAGAGATGTATAAATATTCTGAAAAAGAAGCAAATATAATAATATAAAATTTCTGCTACAAGTTGAAAATTACATCTGCAATTTTTAAAAATGAAATGTTTTGCCATAAATTTAGTTATAAAATTTTTAAATTTTCATTTAAGAAAAATATACTAAGCTAATTTTGCTTTTATATGGTGAAAACAGTTTGGAATACAAGACTTTACGAAAGAATAAGAAACAACTTGTTCTCCTAAATAAATCACTTTGCAAACATTGCCACAATGTTTGGTTTTGTTAAAATTATGAGATTATCATGAAATCACATAACTAGAAGACAAAAATCTATACCAATGCATATTAGGACTGTTAATAAGTGATAAAAGATTTATATTATATAGTGGTTTTTTGCATATCTTTGAAAAAGATCTTTCATACAGGATGTATCATCAAAATGGATATATTTGATTTAAAATACTAATATCTCATGACTGAAAGAGCAAGCCCATCTCTAATATCCATAAACTTTTTCACACTCATTTACATTTGTTATGAAAACATTTATAAAGTGCATATTTCATTTCTTTTAACTCTTTCTGCATTGTGGGCACTAAGAGGGCTTCTTTTTTATCAAGCCTATTATGGGTTCAGCCAGATGGCGAGTGATGGGGCCAACATATCAGGTCAGACCAGATTCGATCCCGGGTCCTCTAGAGCAGTAGCCTCCACCTCAACCATTCAGCCATCTGGCCATCTTTGTTTTCATTAAAGTAACAAAACTAATTTTTCTCATTTATTTTAATAATTTATAAGAGTTTATCATTGTTATTTGTAATAATCCTTTGAATGCTGTTTCTCTCTTTGCATCAACAGTTTTGAACAAAGGTATACAAGCTTTGCTATTAGATATGATATTTTTTATTGTTAAAATATGTATTCTGTTCTAATAGCTTTTAATATAAAAATTTGATTCTATTGCTAATTTTAATAAATATTCTGAATAATGGAAATAAATCAAATGTTTAGTATGTGTGCATATATATATATATATATATATTTTGTTTTGTTTTTAGAATAGTTTTTAAGAATTATTATTTTTTAATTTTTTAATTATTTTTTTACTTACTAATGCAGAATCTAATTCTTTTTCAGCATCTTTTCCAGAAACTGAATTTACACTTCTGAGACTATTAATTTTCTGTCTTGTATCTATAATCCAAGAATTTTCATTTTCTAATTTATTCTTATAAGTTCTTAATAATTCTGATGATGCTTCACAACTTCTCATCCTATAAAAAAATTGAGTTAACATTAATATCATATTTAATCCACATTAAGAATAAAATGTAAACTGAAACAAAAATAAATCAAATAAATTTAAAAAGAAATAGCTATAAATTACCAAAATAGCTTTCTTCAAAATAATTTATAAATATATTCTTTAAATATATTTGCTTCCTAATAATTTTTAAACTACTAATTTATCATTTAAAATTTTTCATATTTTTAATCAAAGAAATTGTATCCCTAATGATAAAAAATGTGTTTATTTACATTATTATAATTTACTTTTTACTGAAAATAATAAAAATATAGAAACCCATAAACTTTATTGAATAATATTAAATTTATACTGTATTTTATAGAGCTTATTAATTATATTTTAAACACATATATTTATAAAATGCAAACCTTTCCACCACTTGTGAACTGGCATTATTCCACCTTTCTGTAATTTTATGGATATCATTAATTAGTTTGTTAATATCTGTGTTGCTCGTCTGTTTGATTCGAGTTTTCTGAACTAGTTGTTTAAGGGTGTTGATATCTTCATTAAGTCGATCAACTGTATATTGACTATTCTGCATGTCAGATTGCATGGACTGAAAATTAAAAAAAAGTAAAAAATTAGTTACGAAACAAAATATTTAATTTTAAAATATTAAATATCATCTTACTACGATTATATCATAAAAATGATACGTATATTTAATATTTAGGAAAAATTAACTCTTCATATAACATAAATTTTATTTAGTCTATTCATATTTAAAATAGTCTAATCACAATTACAACTTTTATTACAATTTAAATTTATCCACTTAGTTTCACTTTATGTAAAAAAATTATTACAATCTTTTATTAATTTCTAATATCAGTGCAGAATTTTGGATAATTTTTATTTGTATTTAGTCAAAATTCAAATATGGAATTAAATATCTTTATTACTTTTAAAATTACAAAAATAAAAATTTTTCAATTAATGACACACAAAATTCATTTTGTTATTTATTCATATTAAGAATCTCACTTACCAAAATCTGAGAATGAATTTTCTGCAAAGAATCAATTTCCGAAGGCAAATTATCGTGGGAAGCTAACTGAATTTCAAAACTCGATATTATTTGTGTCGTCTCTTCAAAACCATGTAAAACTATTTCCACAAGTTTTAATCTGTAATAAATTAATTTTTAAAAGTAAAATAAAAATAAAATTTATTTTAAATTATTTAAGTAAATCAAAGTTTATTAATATTATCATAAGAAGGTTATTAAAATTAAAAAATAGTAGTTAATTAGGTCACAAAATTTTTCTTATATTTCTATTTTTGAAAAATGCAATTCTAACCATTTTAATTCATATTGTTTTATTGGAATTTTATGAAATATTTTGCAAAGAAAACTTTTTACAATAAGAAAAGAAAACATTTTACAATAAAAATTTTAAAATAAATATAATACCTTTCAACATATTGATTAGACATGGACCATATATTCTCCCATATTTGAATAATATTGTCATGTTTTGTTTGTAATGTTGGAGTCTTCCTATTAAGAGAAGCATAAATATGCTTCATTTCTGATATTTCTTGTTCTAAATTTCTTAATGATGTTTCAAATTCCTGAAATATATTATTGTAATAATATAACAATTTTAATAACTTTATTATAACAATATTATTAATTTTAATATAACATAATTGTGAACAGAAAAATATTAAAATCATTATTATAACAATAATCTTCTAATTAAGAAATGTAAATACTGATAATCTAATTTATATATATTTTTAAAGTATAATCCAATTTATAGTAAATTTGAAAATGTTATTTTAATAACAGAAACAATCCCTTAAAGCATTAGAATAAAGCTTTTTACAAGTTAATTTATTGAAAATGGAATATTTTTGGCTATTATATCTATGCATATTTTAATATTTTTTTATTTTCACCTCTAAAGTTAATTTAATTCTTGTTTGCTTGTAATAAATATCTATTTGATAAAGTTGTAATTTTTCAGTTTTAATCCAATATTTCATTACATTCAAAAACTTTGAAATTTTATAAAGTGATAGCTGCAAGTACAGTATCTGTTATATGGGTTTAAAAGATTATTTTTCAACAAAACTAATTTTTTCCTTTTTATTTGTGGAAATTGTATTAAATCAATTCTGCTTCTAATTAAGCTACAATTCTCATTTTTGCATGGTTTTAAATTTATAAATAGTATTTTTTAAAAAGCTTCCTAAATGTTATAAATGATTATTAAGTTACATTCTTAAACATAAAATTCTCTAAATATAATAAAATAGAGACACTTTATTATACAAATATTAGAAAAACTATAAAAAAATTTTTAATAATTTTTAGATAGTATCACTTTTAATCTACTTAAAAATTATTTAATGGCATAAAAATGAAATCAGTTATATTTCAATTCATTTTAAAAATACCTTATGCTGAATAACAAGATTCTCCAAATTATCTAGATTGCATGGAATTGGGGCTTGCAGTTTAGATTTTAAGAGTTTTTCTTTTTCAGTAATTTTTGAAAGCAATGTAGCTTGCATCTCTGGTAGTTTTTGACTTCCTTTCTTTGATGGCTTGTCATCTAAAAATTTTCAAAATAAGAATTCAATTAATGCTTTTTTTTTTTTTTTTTAGTGATAATCTATTATTGTTGCTTTTGATAAACTTATATATTTTCCTAGAGATAACATCAATATAAAAATTGTAGAATTCTTTAAAAATAAAAAAATAATCCATAAAATTTGGCTTAAATTATAACTATTCCAGTATTTTTCATCTCAGAACTTCATTTAAAATTTCTACTCACAAGCTTCAATAATTGCAATACTGATCAACCAGGCTAATCGAGATTCTATGTAATATAATAGCTTTTTCATTCGTTTATTTTAACGTACTAAAATAAGTTTGTTGAAATATAGATAATTTTCATCAAATGAATATAAAATAATAAAATACTAAAGAAATATTGATAAACTGAAAGCTTAACATAATAATATTAATAAAATTAAATTCTAGAATCATAGTCTTTGTTAAGATTACACTTGCTCAATTTTATATTTGATCTTTTTCCAAAAATTCAATTTTTAAATTTATACAAATATTAAAAAGTTACAAAATAAATAATTACATTCTTCTGAAGTGACCTTCTGTTGTAAATCTTCAATTATTTTATTGCAGCTCTTCATTTCTTCTTGAAGACGTTTCAAATTGGGATCATCTTGTGAACCTTCAGAAAGTAATATTTGTGCATCTTCGTTAAGGGCTTTAAGAATGGATTCTCTTTGACTGATTTCCATGTTACGAAACTGAAATTAATTTGGTAAAAATCTATTTCAATATAAAATTTATAGAAATATCACCAGAAATAAAAAAAATTTAGAGTTGAAGGAAGAGCAAGTCATTTAATTTTAAATGCTTAATTTCCAATTTAAAAAATTTTAATTTTAATTTTAAATTGACAGTTCACTAAATAAAGTTTCAAGTTGAGTTACAGGTTTTTACTTAAATTTTGTAATAATTAATCTTATAATTGAATACTAGAATTTATATTCTACAATTCTAGCTTATACAGTATAATAATAATACAGTACAGCATTGATTACATGAAACAATTCAGGACTGGTGTTGTTCAGATAATTGATTTTTCAGATAACCGATTATGTACTAAAAAATATATTAACCTATCCCATGTTGAAATTCGTTCAAATTCTGGCACATCCTTAAGTAACAGTGCTGCCGGCTAAAACACACACACCAACAAAAATAATATTGGAGTAGCCCAAGACATAGCCAAATATTGCAGTGCCACAGCACTAGCACAAATTTAAATTTGCCGACTGGAACGCTTTTGGTTAACCGATGTTTTGGTTGATTGATATTCGGATAATCGATACTCTACTGTATTATAATATGCAGATATTTATTTAACAACAAAAAGTTGTTCTAACATATAACAGTTTTAGCTAATCAATGATTAAGTTAAATATGATATGGACATAAAAGCATAAATAGAAAACTTCTTTGCCTTTTATTTGATTTACATATCTTCACATAAAAGTATGCAAATCAAATTTAACTTGATGTTCTTGATTAATATTTAAGATTTGGGCCTTCTAATTGACTGATCAATAGCATATTGTACAAAAAGCAAAACATGCATTTACTTCTCATTATTTCACTAGAAAATAATTGATAATCATATTTTATTTTTAAAAAACTGCAAAGAATATCAATTAAGTTATAACAATAAAGCATATCAATAAAATTTGATATTTTTTTGAAATTACTGAATTTCACAGAATTTTGTATTTTTCTGGAATTTACAATTTTATGAAATGTTCCTCTCCAAGAGCTATATTTAAACTCAGAGTTAAATATACAGTTTAGACAATAGCACTTACTTGAGTAACAGTCCACGACTTGACGACTTTGATGGTAGCAAATATTAAATGCTGACGAAGTTTTTGTTGCTTGATGGTTCCCAAATTAACTATTGATATATATTGTTTCTGCAAACTAAAAATAAATAATTTTATGAATTACAGTAAATTATGATTTTAATGTCTCTTTCATAGCATTATTATTGTTATTTAAATTCTTCATTTTTTTTTTATCCAGTCATTACAAACACTTGTACAGATCCAATTGATGGTTTAGAATGATATTCATGTAATTAAAAAAAAGAGAAATTCATATTGTTTTTGTAAGGCACTGAAATTTTAAACAATTCAATTTTATTTGTAAAACAACATAATTGTCTATTTTCGAGTCCTAATAATAAAAAAAGAGACCTAACTAAGTCTTACTTAATTAAAAAAAATCAATGTTTTTAAGATCTGTCTAAATATTTACTTGTTACAAAATTTGGGAGGATATTTATAATGATTCTTAAAGTAAATGTCAAACAAATAAAAGAAACAAAATAGTAAAATAAACTTGTAACTTTATCCTGAAAAATAATAGTACAAACATAATTTTATCAGACATAATTGCATTACGCCAAAGCAAAATTTGTCATAGTAAAAAGTATGTGTAGAATTTGAATCATAGGAAATTGAGTCTATGATGCAAATTTAATAGTAAAATAGAATAGAAAAAGCCTGATACCAATGTAGAGAGTTTCTTAGAGCATTTCAACAGCAGACTTGATTTTGATGGTGTCACTGTCACTAAAAATAACAGCATTGTTATTATAAATCAGAATAAAAGATAGAAAGTGACATTGAGTGGAACAAAATATAGTTTCCCAAACCAAAGAAAATTCAGCTTGAAAAAATTCAGATAACGTTATTTTGTCAATGGCAAAATTATGATGGCATAATGAATGATTACCGAAGCAGATTACATGTAGAAACTCACAATATGCAGAATATGGTATATGGTGAATTTCTGCAAGACAATTATTCCTCACGTAAAGTGCTCTTTGTTCTTCTATTCTAAAGTTCTCATTGTCATTACTTAAATTTAAAAATATCTGGTTAAAAGTTTTCTGCCAAAAACAAAAGTTATTCTCAAACACTCTAAATTTGATTGACTCCAGCAAACTTTATATTGTTTGCAAAGATTACATTGATAAAGATAAATACAAATTAAAATAAATTCAATTATTATTTATAGTTTTTTTTTACAATAAATCTCTAATTATACTTTAATTTATAACAGAAAAAAATAATTACCAATTTGCTGTTCATTACATCAACAGTATCTTGAAGAATTTGAAGAGATTTCGTTGTTTCAACCACTCTTTGTTCTGAAACAACATGTCTTTGTTTGGTAATTTTACGTTCTTCTACTTTAAAGGAACGTGTGGATAAAGGCTGGAGTAGCTGCGTTTGGAAAATAAGACGAATACTAACCCACTGTTCATGTAATTCTTGTGTTCTAATAAATTTTTAAAATATCATAAATTTAGTTTTATTCTTTAAAACATTAAAAAAACTTTTATTTTATTTGAGATTTAGAATTAAATTTAATATTAATATTAGAAAGATAAAAATAGAACTATAATATTAAAATAAGAAATAAATTTTAACAAATTCATGCACAATTTAATCAGCACAAAAGATTTAAAAATTATATGGAGTATGTNTACAAAATATTCTGTAATTTGTGGCTCAGCATATTTATTATTCTGTAACAAAATTTTTAATATTTTAAAATTTATATCATATTAATTAAACTATTCCTAAACATAAAACTTACTTTTCTGCTAAATTTATGGCTTCAATATTTGGTGGTGGTATAACAAAACAAACAGATGGAACCAATCCTTCGACACCAGAAGAATTTCTAACCTAAAAAAATATAAAATGATTTTAATTATTAGAAAAAAAAAATGATTAATTTTATTACTCCTTAAACAGTTAAATAAAACTTTAGTACTTACCTTCCATTTTGTTTTTCGACTATTATCTAATAATTGGAACCTTTCATCTTGTGTAATATTTATCTATAAGTATAATCATCAATTAATAAGCTTTCATTTTAAAAATTCATTATTAGAAATGTTTTCATTTCAATTACATTTTGTTGTTTATAACTGCAAACTGCAATCACTGTTGTAGGTGATGTTATCGACTGATTTCGTTGCTTTAATGGCACAATTGTACTACTTCTGTTAATGAGTGAAGTAATAATATCTCCGTAATGTTGTAGGTCAGTTCTTAATTGTTGCATTTCTTTAAGCAGACGTTCACCTTCATCTATTGAAAAATTTTGTTTGCTATATGTGCTATTCAGCTTATTTTCTGTTCTTTTTAACCACTGATCACATTCTTGTGCTTCTTTCATAAACTGAAAATAAAAAAAAATTATATAATTAATAAATATATTTTTAGTAAAGTGTAGTAAAATATAAATATATTGTAGTATATATTTTAAAATATAAATATATTATAATGTTAAATAATATATTTTAAATTTTACTTTAACTATACATATGTTAACATTTTAACTAAAAACATTTATAGTTTTTGTAAAATATATACAGTATTTAATTTTTTATTTGATTTCAGTTCTAAGACTTTTCAGATTTTCTATCATTTTATGTAATTTTATTTTAAATTTTCAAATTACTGATATAAAACTAACTATAATTACTATTGTTTTAAATTTCATTACTTCTTTTTCCTTTTCTTTATTTGAATTTTTCAAATTTATTTATTAGTCAAAATAAAATTACAAGATTTCATCAAAAACTTCAAATAAAAATTTATATTTCATTAATTTTGATGCTATACTTCACTTTAGTCTTGTTTTATGCAAGGGTTGCATGTCAATGAATACAATATAAAATAAAATTCTGTGTAAATTTGTGCTCCACCCCAAATAGTCCCAGACGATTGCCTAGGCATTTATATAACCATTTACAATTAACAGAAAAACGTTAGAATGTGTTTAAAACGTTATAATTATGTTTTTACTATATTAAGTGAATTTCATAATAAAAACAGCCAGCATATGCATTAAGAGCTAGAATTACTCCTATACATCTAAAAGTAAATCTAACCATTTGGCATCTGCAAAACACAATTCTGTATATCAATCACATATTAAACAAGAGCCTATTGTTTATATCAAAGCACATGTATTACTAATATTTTCATTTGACTCCAATACAATAAAATATTTATTTTTTATATTAAACATTGTTAATTTGTCAATCACAGACTAACACTTAAGTGATTTTGATTAGATAAACATCAAATATTTTAATATATTTTTATGTTTATTATATGTCAAATACAGATTATAATAAATCGTTTTGAAATTATAGAACACTAGAATTAGTTATATATTAAATAATGTTAAATACCTGATGATATGCCGAAGTATATTTCAAATGGCTTTCTAAGCAAACTAACAACTGTAACAACCATGACCATTGAGTTTGTAGAGTTGTTAGGAATGTCTGTAAATAGAAAAGCATAAAAATTTATAGATAAAAATTAAAAAATATCTCAAATTTTCAGTTTAATAAAAAAAATCAATAAGAATATATTATTTATATTATTATTAACATTTTTTTTACAGATAATGTCCAGCAGAACAAGAAAGAACGTCCTCTTTAATAGGGTAACCATAGTTTTTTCAGCAAATCCAGGACACGTCAATCTTCACTTTTTAGGGTACACAGTAGCAGCCTACATGTATAAGTATTGTCAAATAGGTACTATACTGTACATACACATGCCATGGTCTGTATCATGACTAAGACCTAAACATTTTAATTTTGATTAAACTCATTCGCTTCAATCAAATAGCTCTCCTCCAATAGGTTTATAGCTATTTACTTTTGGTGCTTTTTCAGCTATATATTTTGTCCACATTTTAAAATTCGGCTCCTTTGGCATTCCTCAATTGGTTACTTCATAAAAAATTACCTAGAAGTGTGAAGACATTGGACACGTCCCCTGGTGGAAAACTGTGACAACAACAATATTACAGTAACCACAAGGAAACAAAAAAACAGACACAAATGAGGACAAGAATCTTTTCTGGGAAAGCTTCATTGCTGGGGACAGAGGGTCAAAAATGAGGCTGTTCTAAGAAATCAGGGACTGATGGTTACCCTACCTATAACAATCTCTTAAATAAAAGCATGAAACAATAACAACAATGAACATACCACACATAAACAAACAAATTTTACATAACTATGTGCAGTTTAACATATTTATTTATCAAAATATAGAATAGTAACTATCTAACATACTTTTTTACACTTTTATACTTTTATCATTATAGTTATAATATCAATCCTTGGACCAGTTTATGATACTTAAATTACTGAGTTTCCTATAAGAACTAATTAGGCCAAAACAACAGTTTCAATACAGTTATTACATGTTGAATTCTTCTACAGATAAATATAATTTGTTATTTTTTTTTGTAATTATATAAAATCTACCTTCAAATATTATTATACAGCAAGAGAAAATAACATATACCAACATATACCATATTTACACTTTATTCTGCATTAATATTTAAATCAAAGAAAAAGATTTAATGACGACCTGAGAAATAAATTGCTTATAATTAAGCTAAGATATTCTAGGAATTGAGATATCTATCTTGGAAAGGACTTTATATTTCTACACATTTATATTGAAGATATCTTTAAATATACACTAATATGAATTTTATGAAGTTGGTATTTGATTATTCATAATGATAACTAAAACATAAAATGTCTAAAATTAAGATTTGATAATAAAAGAAAAATTGATGTTTAAACATAATTTTAAAAAACTATTATTCCAACTTACTGTATTTCATATTATAAAATTAATCAGAGTTCTTAAACTGTTTAATACAGAATAGAAGTAATATACAGCAATATTTTTTATTGATGTAAATAATTTTGAAGATAAATATTACACTTAACTTAATTTTATTTGGTGAAAGAATTTGTTTAACAATTCAATGTAAATGTCAATAATTTATAAATAAACTAAATGATAATTGTAAAAATTTTTAATGCCTATCAATTGAAATTATTTATTAATTTTAGTGTGATTTTTGATATAATGAATTTAGTAATATCCAAATTATTTTTTATCAGGGATGTTGTTTTTCATGGCATTTGCATTATGTGCTGCCACATAAAATTAATATATGACAAATCTTAAAAATCTCAAATACTGTGTTATATATATATATGAAATTTCATTCATAATATAATTTCACAAACATGTTTTCAATAACTAAATACATTAATCAAATATTTAACTTAAAATTATTTTTATCTTATTCAGTTATACCTTAATAGTTTTGGAAGCTTGATGATCTTGTGCAAGTAATGTTTCTCCTTTCCTCTGTATATCATTAAATTGTAATTCCCGTTTTTCAAGTTCAGTTGTTAAAACCTAGTAAAAATAATTCCATAAATGTATTTAAATTAAATCATAAAATTGGTATTATCTAATATTATATGAAAATATATTTAATTGGTTAATAAATTCTTTTGGCTACTTTCATAGTTTATATTATTTTCTCTTCTTTATCTCCAAAGTTAACTAATCATATTTTAAATTTATATTAGTTGAATTATAGTTTCTCCATACATAACACTATAAAATAATAATAATAAATATATACTTCTGACATAATGAGAAAATGAATATCCAAAAGATTTGTAAATTAAATATATATTAGAATGAGCAATTATTTATTGTGACATCGTGACAATGCTGTGTTGCAATTTTTAATCATATTTTTTAAATTTATTTAATTTAAATTATATGCTCTCCACTTCAAATTAGTAATGTCTTGCCCCTGTACATCAAACTTTTCCTGTTAACAACAGTCATGCCATCATCTATCTAACTCCTTATAAAGGAAAATTTTTGAATTGAAATAACATGACTTCCAGTTTGCACCGGAAGTTCATATACAGTTAATCGGGTCCTCCTGCCCCTAAGCTTTTCACATCTGGTCTTGGATTTCATCTATCTAACTTCTTTCTCAAGATTAAGGAAAGAAAGTGAGAATTTATAGATCTACAAATTTTGAAATTGCAACCCAAATATATTTTCCACACATAAATTGCTAGAATGTTTTTGAAAATGAGAATATATATTACAATAACATAGAGAATTGTTTTCCTATAAAGTTAGTGTCATACAGACAGGATTGGAAAGACTGTCCAGACTATAGTTTTAGAGTCATTAATTTAAAGTATTAATAACATTTATTTATTAATTTAACAAATATAAACTCAATTGCAGTTATGTTTCCAAAAGAAATGATAACTATGCAGCACTTGAAAATGGGTTTAACTAAGTACAAATAGTGAAACAACACAGGTAATATTCAGCAAATAATATACTTTACTAAGTAAAAAAAAAACAAAAACAAATATTTTGACGATTTTAAATCATCATCATTAGGGTGAAAAGCAATCGAATATACGCCGGTATACGAAAATTCGAAAAATGAAATGAATGTTCAAATTTTCATATATATGTTTCACTGCTTTTCAACCTGATGATGATGATTTAAAATCGTTGAAAATGTTTTGTTATGTTTGCTATTTAGTAAAGTATATTTATTATTTGCTGCCTATTACTGGTGTTATTTTATTTGTACAAAGCACAAAATTTTTATATATAAGTTTTATTAGTAATTTTACTTGTATTACATGGCTATTATATCATAATTTTTCCCGCTTAATAGATAAAAAGAAAATAGCTTTAAAAATTAAATATATATTTTAAACTTACCTCTAAATGCTGTTCTGTTTGTACAATATTTAGATTTTTAGCAGACCAATCTCTATTAATTTCAGTTTTTTCCTTTTCGCTAATCCATTTCAGTTCATTGTTTACTAATTGTGCAAATTCCAAAAGTGATGTCATTTCAACTAATCTTCTCTCATATACAATCTACAATTAAAAATAAAATAAATATAGTAAAATTTTATTAATTAAATTATCAACAACTGTGAGGCAGATAATAGTGAGGGCTCATCAGACCAATGATGGGCACAACTTCTCAGGAATCAAAGTGAAAATGTTTAATAAACACAGAAATGAGTACATAAGTATTAAGAAACGAAAAAACCCAAAATGCATTTCGGACTATTTTCTGTCAGAAAATAGTCCGTCATCAGTTGGTATTAACTTTTTAATAAACAAAAAAATGACTACATAAGTATGGAAATGAAAATTATCTGCCTAATGGTTGTTGATAATTTAATTAATATAATTACACCAAGGGCTAGAAGCAAACTTTTGTAATAATTTTGATAATAAATTTTCTTTAATTATTCCGTTTAGTATTTGAGAAAAAATTGTAGCTTTGTTCTTTTAATATTATTTCTTCAACAGTTTCAATACAGTTATTACATGTTGAATTCTTCTACAGATAAATATAATTTGTTATTTTTTTTTGTAATTATATAAAATCTACCTTCAAATATTATTATACAGCAAGAGAAAATAACATATACCAACATATACCATATTTACACTTTATTCTGCATTAATATTTAAATCAAAGAAAAAGATTTAATGACGACCTGAGAAATAAATTGCTTATAATTAAGCTAAGATATTCTAGGAATTGAGATATCTATCTTGGAAAGGACTTTATATTTCTACACATTTATATTGAAGATATCTTTAAATATACACTAATATGAATTTTATGAAGTTGGTATTTGATTATTCATAATGATAACTAAAACATAAAATGTCTAAAATTAAGATTTGATAATAAAAGAAAAATTGATGTTTAAACATAATTTTAAAAAACTATTATTCCAACTTACTGTATTTCATATTATAAAATTAATCAGAGTTCTTAAACTGTTTAATACAGAATAGAAGTAATATACAGCAATATTTTTTATTGATGTAAATAATTTTGAAGATAAATATTACACTTAACTTAATTTTATTTGGTGAAAGAATTTGTTTAACAATTCAATGTAAATGTCAATAATTTATAAATAAACTAAATGATAATTGTAAAAATTTTTAATGCCTATCAATTGAAATTATTTATTAATTTTAGTGTGATTTTTGATATAATGAATTTAGTAATATCCAAATTATTTTTTATCAGGGATGTTGTTTTTCATGGCATTTGCATTATGTGCTGCCACATAAAATTAATATATGACAAATCTTAAAAATCTCAAATACTGTGTTATATATATATATGAAATTTCATTCATAATATAATTTCACAAACATGTTTTCAATAACTAAATACATTAATCAAATATTTAACTTAAAATTATTTTTATCTTATTCAGTTATACCTTAATAGTTTTGGAAGCTTGATGATCTTGTGCAAGTAATGTTTCTCCTTTCCTCTGTATATCATTAAATTGTAATTCCCGTTTTTCAAGTTCAGTTGTTAAAACCTAGTAAAAATAATTCCATAAATGTATTTAAATTAAATCATAAAATTGGTATTATCTAATATTATATGAAAATATATTTAATTGGTTAATAAATTCTTTTGGCTACTTTCATAGTTTATATTATTTTCTCTTCTTTATCTCCAAAGTTAACTAATCATATTTTAAATTTATATTAGTTGAATTATAGTTTCTCCATACATAACACTATAAAATAATANTGTATATAATGATTTAAACATAAAATTTTAACAGTTAATTTTAGAAATAAATTTTGAGTGTTTTCAATTAATTTCTTTTTCCTTAATATTCATCTGATGCAATTTAGAAGCTTAGATCAATTGTATATAAGGATTGCCCAAATGAAAAGTGCATGTGTCATATTTCATCGTGCAAAGTAGCAATTTGTGGGGCACTTTACAGCTGGGTAAGCTCAGCATAAGCAAAGCATGGGTTGCATTAAGTATCAGCAAGAATAGATTTTATCTCCAGTAATTTGCAGATTAATGTGAAGTTAGATATGATGGAAGTGTTCCGCTATTAGTGGCCAAAAGGAATAGGAGTGCTGACATCTATAGACAAATGAAGCACGCTTATGATGAACTTTGTTTAGGATGAACAGCAGTGAATAATTGGTGCAAGAGTTACAGATCTGCATATTTATTTAATTTTTTAATCATTAAATTTTCAATGAAACACTTTTATGTATTATCATAAATCTATCAATAATAAAAAAATTAAAATTAAAATTAATACTACATATTTAAGCAGTCAATAAAAAAATTTACTATATTTGACTTATCAATTGTTTAGTTAATGTTAAAATAACTGTCAATTTATAACAGAAAAAAATAATTACCAATTTGCTGTTCATTACATCAACAGTATCTTGAAGAATTTGAAGAGATTTCGTTGTTTCAACCACTCTTTGTTCTGAAACAACATGTCTTTGTTTGGTAATTTTACGTTCTTCTACTTTAAAGGAACGTGTGGATAAAGGCTGGAGTAGCTGCGTTTGGAAAATAAGACGAATACTAACCCACTGTTCATGTAATTCTTGTGTTCTAATAAATTTTTAAAATATCATAAATTTAGTTTTATTCTTTAAAACATTAAAAAAACTTTTATTTTATTTGAGATTTAGAATTAAATTTAATATTAATATTAGAAAGATAAAAATAGAACTATAATATTAAAATAAGAAATAAATTTTAACAAATTCATGCACAATTTAATCAGCACAAAAGATTTAAAAAATATATGGAGTATGTATTTAATAGCATAATATCAAACATATAATGATCTAGGGTTGTTTTTCATGGTTTTGATCTTGAATCATTGCTTGATTACAACGAAACTACAAATATCAAGGTCTGCCTGAATATCCAGCGCAATCATGTATTATCTATATATTGTGGCACTACTTTATGAATAGCCCATATCTTGTTTAATAGGACAATAACCTGTGTTATGCTTGTGGTGTAATAATCTAATTTTAAAATATAAACATCAAAAAGTTTATTAACTAGTTTAGAGCACAGAATTTAATTCCATTGAAAACCTGTAAGATAAACTGTATTTTCAAGTATATAGAAGAACATATCATATAAATGATAAAACTGAATAGTCATTATTTTGAAAGACCAATAAAAGAAAACATACAAAGTGTTACAGGAAAATATTTCATTAGGATTAGAGAATACAGATTAAAGATTTCATATTTCATTACTAATTTCTAGCAAATAATTGTTTGTAAATCAGTGGCTGTCCAGATATTCATAGTAAGTAATATATGATACATATAATATAGGCTTAATTTGATTATGACATTTAACAAAACAATACTAAATTTAAAAAATAAATGCATAAATTAATTTTATCATTGAGAAGGATAGTTGTATGATTCAATATCTATTTTTGTTTTATAGATTAAATATTTTTATTCTAAAACAGAAATATCAACAATAATTATACCTCTGTTGAAGTTCAGGAGCTTGAGGATGGTCATTCTCAAAAAGAGTTTTTACATCTTTTAATATGGATTTCATATTTTCTTCTAATATTTTTAGTTCAGCTTCAATGTGATCACATAAGTTTTTAGCATCCATAGGATGTAAACGATTAAGTTTTTTCTCTTCCTGAAAGCAAGAAATTATAAAATCAGAATAACAATTTATTTATTTTATTACTTTAAATAATATTTCAAGTACCTCAGGAATCCTTTTCTCAACTTCATTTAATTTAGTTTGACATTTTTTAATATCACGTTGAATTTTTTCTGAAAGACGTTGTAATTTTTCTAACCTGCAAAATTGTTTTATTTGATAAATTTTATATTATAATAATAGAAAATAAAACTAAAAAATTATATATATTACACAAAAATTTTTAATTTATTTATTTGCAGTCTTAATTACTAGTTAATGATATTAACCAGGAAGTGTTATACTTTAAAAAGATTAAATTCATTTTAAAATTTTGTATTCATATTGTGTGAAACTATAAATTTATTTAAAGCCAATAATTTTAAACTGTACAAAAGTCATTTTATGAGTAAAGCTCATCTGTCATTTTTCTAGTTAGCAATTTTCCCAATAAATATTAAAAGATAAATTATATTGTAATATTATTTTCACAGATAAAGCATAATTTTTTAATTCATTCTTTATAATGAAATTATATTTATTCTTAAAAACTTTCTATGAATATATTTGGCTCTATAAATTACTGTTTTTAGACCAATAAGTTAATTATTTATACATATTTTCTATGCATTTATGTCATCATTTTTGTTTTGAATATTAATTCAATACTAAATTGTAGGAATGCAGAATAATTAAATTATCATATATATATATATATGATAATTTAATTAAATTATCATATATATATATGATANGTACTTTTATTTATAAATAAAAATGGCTATATGATATTAATAAATATAGCCATATATATATATATATATATATATATATATATGGCTATATTTATTAATATCATATAGCCATTTTTATTTATAAATAAAAGTACTGTATATATTACCTAGTAATTTCTGCACGAATTGCTTGATCTCGCTCTTGATGTGCAATAATCATTTTATTCCATAAATGTTCAATATTATCAAATTTTAATGAATCTTCAATTTGTATTGAATGAATTTCTTTAAATATTTTCTGAAATTAAATAGCTTCAATATTATTATATAATAGGATTAGTTTCTTAAAAATAAGATATTATATAAATGAAAAAATTAGCATTATATAATAATTATAAATTAGGATATAATAACACAAAAAATGACATACATAATTTAATATACAATTTAATTAAGCATAAGGAATTTTAATTAATGATAAATGTTCAACACAAACATGATAAATTATAAAGTCATATTATATTTTAAAATGATATTAACCTGTATTTCACGATGCAAGTGTCCAATGCGTTGCTTATCACGTAATTTCGGAGGAACATCTTCTGACCGAAACCTACTACATTCTGAAAGTAATGCCTGCAAAAATTTATTTTTTAATTAGACTTTAAAATCATTTAAAATCAATATGTTATATTAATTAAAAATAGAATACCAATATAAAATCATAACTGTAATTAAAAATAAATAAGTTCAACATCACCTTAACATCAGGAATGAAATCAACACTATAACTGGAACCTGTTACTGATGTTCCTTGTGAAAAACACAGTTTATCACAAACGTTTTTGAACTTTCGAATAGTTCTTCCTCGGGTAAAATCTGATGAAACACTTCAAAATAGAACGTAAATATTTGAAATAAAATCAAATGCCCATGTGATTAAATCCGTTGCGCCGGGCATGCGTGCTCGTGCAGGGGTGGTGGTAATCAAAGCTTGTCATATATGAGAGCCTGCCAGGCTACCAATAAATTAAGCTCCTCTTTTCATATATGGCAGACCCTCATATACGATGAACTTTGATTACCACCCACTCACACACAAGTACGCATGCCCAGAGCAACAGATTTAATCACATGGGCATTCGATTTAATTTCAAATATTTATGTTCTATTTTGAAGCATTCCATTGGATTTTACCCAAGGAAGAACTATTCAAAACTTCAAAAACATTTGTGATAGACTATGTTTTTCACAAGGAACACCAGTAACAGGTTTCAATTATAGTGTTAATTAAAAATAACAAATGTAATATTATTTTCTTGTTAGATATTAAATGCAGAGGAATCATGTGAAAGTTTTAATAAGTAAAATTGTGACAGTAATGACATTTCTTAGTTTAAAAAATTATAAACTAACTCCTTCAAATATAAAATAAAAACTGTTACAATAGAATACAAATGATCGTACAGATATAAGATAATTAGTTGGAAATAATCTAATATTTGAATTATCTCAGAAAGTAAAATAATATTGAATTATAGCTATCCTATAAAACAGCGTTTCTTAACCTTCTTCTCATCATGGACCAGGAATCATATGTAACTATAAATTATGATTATTTATTTTGCTTATATGTGCTTATGTAAAGTTTTCTAAACCCCAATGTCAGTAATTATCTTTCTATAATTAAACCTTATGTAGAGTTATTACTGTATATAACAAAGTATGTACAATAACTCTATATTACAATTTAAATGTCACCCATAAACAATTGTGTCAGTGTCAGTATGGTCAAATATTTTTCTGTGGACTGGTGAAATTGTTTTGTAGACTGGCATCAGTCCATGGACTAGCCACAGAAAAATACTTCTGTAAAACAACTAATCAAGCTTTTAAACTTTTTTTTCTTAAAAGAATTTCAGAAAAATCATTGTTTCTTTTTTGCTTTATGAGATCTATATAGATTTTATTTCTTTCTATTAAGGTTGATTTATCAAACAATAATTAAACAGCACTTCTTAAATATTTACTTTTTGAGATTTATATACCATTTTTATAATATGCAAATAAATCCCAAATAAATTAATGACTCATATTCCCAAAATAACTTCTACTAATCCAGAATTTGAAACTTAAATGTAATTAATTTTGCTATGTCATTTTTATATTGCATGTAAAGATTTTATTTCTATTAAAGATAATCCATAAAAATGTTCAGCACTTTGAAAAGATTAAGACTAGAGCTTATTTGAGAAATAACAATCAATTACATATTTTCTTTCGTGGACTTAATAATTACTGAAATAAATAAGAATGTGCTATTGGTAAAATCTCAGACAAATATATGATTAAAAAGTTCTCTAGGATAGAAGAAACATTCCAACAAATTAAAAGAGAATCTTCATAATTTGTTTTTTTCACATAACTCAGGAAGAGAACAAATCAAATGTCAAAGTTAGTTTTTATTTGGATGCTCTTCTCCGTCTCATTATGTAAAACTTCTTAAAACCATCCCTCTAGTGGTGGCACACAAGTAAATTTTTACATCCTGCTACCACCAGAGGTATGATTTTAATAAGTTCTACATAAGTAGGCAAAGAAGAATCTGCAAATTAAGGTCAACGCCACCACTTGACTTAGTTGTGTACCTGAGGTGTGTGAAGAGGACAAATCATGAAGACACTCTTTTAATTTTTTTTGGTGTTTCTTTTACCCTATAAAAATCAAAATGTGTTTATATTGAAAAATTTTATACAATAATATGTAATGAGTGTAAATAAAAACATTTACACTCGACACTAAAAGAATTTTGTAATTAATATTTAAAATGGAATTTTAAAACTGTTAAAATGTTAAATTTCTTATCTTACCTTCATATCCATGAGTGAATTTGGAAAATTGCGATTCTGGAGCATTATTGTAGATTCTTGTATCCAAATGTACAAAACATTTGCCATTTCTTTATATTCTGTTATCTTATGAAATTTTTCCTAAAAATTAAATATTTATTATTATTCGTACATTTAGTGAAGTTTTAAAAATCTGGATTCAAAAAATGGATATTAATTAATTAAGTTGTATTTTCTTCCTTAGTTTAAAATTTAATTTTTACAAATATATATTCACTTTTTAAAGTTTAATAAGTTATTCAAATAAATTAACTGAATTGTCCCTAATTATATTTTTTGAAACTTTTTTTAAACCTCTTTTTATTACACAGAAATAAATTTTTAGAATAAGAAATGTCATCTAACAATTAATTTAGCTGACATTTTGGGGAAAAAAACATTTAAATTAATAATTTATTACTTTTTGGGCTCTGCATTGATCAAGTTTCTTCTTATATTGGTCCAGTATTCTTTGTTCATTTTTAAGTTGGTCTAAACAGGTTTGGATACTGTTAAGATCATTTCCACAGGAAATTTCATTTAGATGATTCTATAAAATATAAAAACAAAATTATATTTACATGTATATAAACACACATATTTAAATTTATATATTAAATAATGTATTTAAGGAAACATGAAATTGTATTAAGACTGTTATTTCAATTTTTTAAATCTATTCTGTGTTACTTATATTTATAATAATGTTAAAATAAATTTAAAGTTTCAAACAATTAATCTATAATTTTTTTAAAATTTTTTTAGAAATTATTAATAAATTGATGAATAAAAATAAAATTTTGATTCCTATTGAATACTTAAAAAAATAAATCTGAAATAGAATTATTAAAAAGTTTTGAATTTTTATTATACTGTATTAAATTAGTTATTTCCATAATTTTTCAATAATGCTTTTGCATTTCAAAAAATATATATGTTTAAAAAATATGATAAGATCAATACATAATTTTATATTCCATTTAGATAAATGAAATGTAATGTAATGTATATAATGATTTAAACATAAAATTTTAACANTATTCAATTTTTTTGACTGTTGAAATAAATTGTAATTTCAATCAGATATATTACTACTGATATTTAAATTCTGCATTCAAAAATTAATGAGAATAAATGATAAAAAATTTAAGCATTAACAAATTCTGACTATATGAAATTAAAAGAGTATATTATTAACTTTGGATTTAGATAAAATATATCAGATGAAATGGATTCAGATACACAATGTTTCTAAGATATGAATTAGTAAATCCTCTTTCTTAATATATAAAATTATATATTTTATAGTGATATAAGATAAAAATATTTACTAAACAACCAAAACTAATTTTCAGGAATAATAATTGATATTTAAATTAAATTATAGTATGTAAAATTTTACATATTATAATTTTACATTCTATAAAAATAATAAAAAAAAAGCAAACAGAAAAAAATGTATTTGACTTCATATTATTTCCTGTTATGATACAAATATTAATCAATTATGTTATCTCATACTTATCCCAACTTGTATCCTGACTGTTAATTTATTTTTGTGATTATTTTTAATGATTATAGTTAATTTAAAAATTAACAATAATCATGTCCACCTGTTTGTGTTTATATTCTGTATACATAAGTTTAATCTATTTATTGATTATTATTTATAATTGAAGAAATTAAGACTCAAGTTTTTCATAAATATGATGTAGAATTAATGTTATGGAAATAATTATTATTCTGTACATAAAATTAAATTAATCTTACATGAGATTAAGAAAGTGTATTTTAATTACAAGTAATGTAGCCTATATATGACTTAGTAAAAGGAAGAATACCTATAAAAAACATGTTTGTTCCTTAAAAATGGCATTTTCTACATAGCAGATACTTATAAATATATTAAGCAACTCAAAGCCAGATATATATATATATATATATATATAGATACATAGTCAAATGATACCTTAAATTCTTGAGCTATAAATCTGTTTTTATTAAAAACAGATTTTATATATTTTATTAAAAATGGCAAATTTATATCCCAAGTATTTAAAGCAATCATTGGCTATGGAGCAGATACTTTTTGTCCAAAACTATTACTAATATTTTTTAGCTGTCTCTTTTTGTCTGCTCAATGAATTATATTTGTTAATTATTGTACATTTATATTGTTAATTATTGTACAGCTATATCTGGCAACACTGGCAAAAGTGTTCTGTCGTCAGAGGTTCGTCAATTTGAAATGTTGTAAAATAAGTTCCGCTAGTCAGTAAAGTTAAGTAATAAAAGAACAAAAGAAAACGAAAGGTAATGCTTCATTTTTTGTCTTAACATGGTAGCAGAGAGTGGTTAAAAGAAAAAAGAACGAAAAAAAAAAAAGNCCCAAATAAATTAATGACTCATATTCCCAAAATAACTTCTACTAATCCAGAATTTGAAACTTAAATGTAATTAATTTTGCTATGTCATTTTTATATTGCATGTAAAGATTTTATTTCTATTAAAGATAATCCATAAAAATGTTCAGCACTTTGAAAAGATTAAGACTAGAGCTTATTTGAGAAATAACAATCAATTACATATTTTCTTTCGTGGACTTAATAATTACTGAAATAAATAAGAATGTGCTATTGGTAAAATCTCAGACAAATATATGATTAAAAAGTTCTCTAGGATAGAAGAAACATTCCAACAAATTAAAAGAGAATCTTCATAATTTGTTTTTTTCACATAACTCAGGAAGAGAACAAATCAAATGTCAAAGTTAGTTTTTATTTGGATGCTCTTCTCCGTCTCATTATGTAAAACTTCTTAAAACCATCCCTCTAGTGGTGGCACACAAGTAAATTTTTACATCCTGCTACCACCAGAGGTATGATTTTAATAAGTTCTACATAAGTAGGCAAAGAAGAATCTGCAAATTAAGGTCAACGCCACCACTTGACTTAGTTGTGTACCTGAGGTGTGTGAAGAGGACAAATCATGAAGACACTCTTTTAATTTTTTTTGGTGTTTCTTTTACCCTATAAAAATCAAAATGTGTTTATATTGAAAAATTTTATACAATAATATGTAATGAGTGTAAATAAAAACATTTACACTCGACACTAAAAGAATTTTGTAATTAATATTTAAAATGGAATTTTAAAACTGTTAAAATGTTAAATTTCTTATCTTACCTTCATATCCATGAGTGAATTTGGAAAATTGCGATTCTGGAGCATTATTGTAGATTCTTGTATCCAAATGTACAAAACATTTGCCATTTCTTTATATTCTGTTATCTTATGAAATTTTTCCTAAAAATTAAATATTTATATTAATCTCACATAATTATTATATTGATAATTAATATACAATAATTCATTAAATGTTCACAAAATTTGCTTTTTCATAATTGAATATAATTATCGTTAATTAATTATTTTTAAATCTTATTATCTTTGTAATATTATTATCTTTGTATTTATATTGTAATACTATAAAAAATACAGGAAATCCTTGTTAGTTCAAAATTCAAGGGATGAAATAATCACGACTTCAAATTATCAGAGATTTACTTCTGTACAATATGCCAAGTGCCACGTAACTGATGTAATTAAGCAAACAGAGTATGGCTACTTATACAGAACATTATTTTCATTAATTAATAATAATAATATAAAAGGTAAGCAGCAAGTGTCCAGTGAGAATTTCACAGGTCACCAGATGGGTTTTATAAAAAAAAATAAAGCAGATTTCTCAAAATGTAGCCCAAATTATTTTTGAAGTGGCCCAAATAGTAGTAAGTAGCCCAAATGTAGCAGCCTAGAGCCCTACAAATATCTCAATCTGTTACTTGTAGCCAAATCTTGAAATCCCGAAAACCAGACATATTTCATGAAATAAGAGAAAAAAAGGTAGATCCATGGGTGGCAACCGAAAATGTGTTACTGTAAAAACAAAGCTATACTGACCAGGTTAGAGTTGTTTTTGGTCTATTGTTCTCTTACAGTACAGAGTCACTTCAATCTAAATAAATGAGTTAATGTAGGAATACCACAATTCAGACAGAATTTTCACTTCAAATTTTGAAGTAGCCATATTTTGAACTAACTGAATTCCTTAATGTGTAAATCTCTATATACCCAGGTAAGACAAAAGTACAGTTATGAACTAACATGATTTCAAACTATCCAAGTTTGAATTAACAGGAATTTCCTGTAACTAATAAAAATATAAATATAAATTATAATAACTCTTACTTCATCCGCATATGGATTAAGAGGTGGTGGTTCTGAAAAAATATCATATAGGGAAGATATATATGTGATGAGAGATTTTTCATCTGGTTCTGGAGTGTCAACATCTGCAATTTTCAAATATAAATATATTAAAAAGTAAGAGAGAATAGGATAAATGTCATAAATAAATATTACAATTAATCTGAACATTATAAAATTAAAATTTATACAAATTATTATTTCATAATTACCTTCAGGATCAAGAAGCCTCGTAACACCAAATTCTTTTTCAGCAATAGAAAAAGCTAATTCAAGATTCTCTCTGGGAGATTTGCCTTGAAGTGATCTGAATTCTATTAACTCTGGCCTTAAAATAAAATTTGGATAATTATAATAGACATAAGTATATATAACTTACTAATAGTAATTATAACTTTATTTAAATATTTTAAATAGTTGAACCAAACTTCTTTGTATATTATTTGTCAAACAATATACAAAGATATGTATTAAAATTGTAATGATAAACTAAAGCATGTATTATAATTTTAAAAATTTACAACAATAACAAAATTTGTTGTTTCTCATTTACAGGAAGTTAATAAATTTATTTCTAATCAATATATCTTATTATATAACAAATTTTGCATATTACATAAGTTCTAATCAATGTATTGTATGAAATTTAAATAATACTTAAGGTACCCTACATTGATTATGATAAGTAATAAAATAAAAACAAGTGATTCCACTTACTATAAACCAGCAACAAGTTGCCCAACAAGTTTTATAAAAAATTGTAAATGCTAATAATGAGTAAAATCGTCATTAAGCTTGACCCTACTGGAGATACACACAACACCTATTATCTCCCACCCCCTCAACTTTTAACCACCAATCAATCACCTTAATAGTGATAGTTAGTGAAAGAAATGGCATACCCAGGAGTGTTGCCACTAAGAAAGGGGGTAATAGAGAGGATGAGAGAAGGATAGGGGGAAGGGAATGGGGTGGGGGTGGGAGGGAGAGAAAAACTGGGAGGGAAAGGAGAGCAATCATCTTAATAAACAAAGCTCCCTTAAAAGTTTCTGAAATTTTTGACAAAAAACACAGGAGTTATTAAGCTTCAAACAGGGTAAACAAAACTGTGCTCCCCATACACACAAACATCCATACATACAGAAATTACTCCCAAATTTTTTTGCATTTCTCGATGTTTCAAAGTGTCTAAGTGCAAAAATTGAAAATCTCGGGGGTCATTTTTTGACTGATTGCCATACTTTCCCTCTATTATAACAGCTGAGAAAGTAATAAAAACTGTCTATTGGCATTACCAGTAACACCAATAGAGTGTTTTTATTTTTGTTTATTGATTATGATAAGTATATATAAACTTTTTATTGAAACTTATTATTGAAAAAATTTAAATAAATTCAACTAAAGTGATCCAAATAGTGTATTAAAGAATTGTTAATCCAAACAGAAATTAAACAAATTTTTGATTTTTCAATCTACTAATAAAACTTTTTGATTGTGAAATGTTTTATGATAGTTTGAAATAAAAAAGTTGGTTAAAATATGCAATTCAATCTTTCTTAAAAACTATCTTGTCTTAAAATTGGAATAAAAAAAATAACAGTCAAATCATTTAATCTATGCTTGTAAGGAAAATTGATTGATTAAATGTTAATTTGTGTAAAAGCTTTTAACATCATATTTGTGTTACAAATACATAGTATACAATGTAAAGTTTTCTATTATCATGTTAATGTGTAATTTTAAAACAGTATTTAATTTCTTATAAATAATACTTTGAGAAATTACTCACCTGTTTCTATGAATAATTGCATTAAATGCTAAACCATCTTTCCAACTGGTTGTAAAATCTGTGACTTTAACACTAGGATAACAATCAGTTGTTCGTTGTGCCCATCTTAACAATACCTCACGAGCAGATAGATTTTCATTGGACTGTCCAGTAATGATATCGGATATCTGAAAACAAAAATATTAACTGATTTAATCATTATTAAAAAACAAAATTAACATTAATGCAAAAACCAAAATAAAAAGTCTAATGCAGTTAAAAATTCAACCATAGCAACTAATAACTACCAACTATTCTATATTGATTTAACAATTATCCAAGATAAACTCAAAATATCTGTATATAAATATATACATTGTATTGTATTAAAATATTGTATATATTGTATTAAAATATATATATATATATTGTATTAAAATATATATATATATATATATTTTAATACAATATAGAAATCTTTTAAATCTTTCTATATGTTATGTTTCAAGCTCTCACAACAGACAATATTGCAACATCTTTTCCTCAATCTAGATATACAAGAAAAACAAAGGGTGACAGACAAACAAAATTTGATTCTGAGATGATATCAAGTCTAAAAATGACAACAGACAATAGATACAAATTCAAATTGAAAAGATTAAAAAAAAATAGTACATACATTTAAAAATAGTTGCTTAATAATCGCTAGAACATAGTAAAAATATATAAAACCAGCAATATTTTAAGAACTTCAAATGGAAATAAACAGTTTTGCTATCAGCACAGCAATATATTTGATATCTATAAATTAATTTCTCATTGACAAATGGATAATGAATGTAATATCCTGAAGAAGGATAAAAAACAAACCAAAAACATTCAAAAATTAAAAATATTACTGCAATTTAAGGTTTCTATCATGGTATGGTTATTGAATGTAACAACATTTTGAGCACCTAGCATTAAATATACTAAATAATAAGAAATCATATGAGCTAGAACTAAAAAATAATGGTTTAAGATGATGTTTTTAATTCAATAAATAAAATAAAGATATTTTTGAGAATCTTGTATATTTTAGCATATCATACCTTATGTTATTTTATGCATATTTAGTATTTATATAAAAAGATATTCTAAATGCATCAAATAAATGTATTGATTGTTTTATCTATTTTAAAATTCAATAACATAATATGCCACACTACTACTTAATAAACTTTTATTCATCATTTCATTTAGCATTGCCACGTTTTCAAAATTGCTGACCCAGACAGGGTCAGAAATTTATAAAAATTGACAACACCGTCTATAACAGGTCATAACCATTTTTGAAATTCATTTTGTGTCAGCCAATCTTTCTTAAATTTAAAAGTTCGCTTCCTCTTTTTTAGGGCTTTCAATTTCTTGAGTTGTCATATTAATTAAATAATTAAAATAGAAATTATAAACATGTAAACTGAAACTGTATTATTTTTTATCAAGAGATGCTAAATAAATTCAGTTCTTTATGAGTTACACAGAAATTGAGAATCAATAGAAATTGTTTATGAAGTTTGGAATTATAAATGGAAGCATATATTTATATTTAAAATTCCAAATGTATTTTTTACAGAAGCAGAAAATGTTTTTTAAATCATTTGGACATCTCAGAAAAACCGGCCTGGTGGCAACACTAATTTCATTATATAAAAATCATTAGGCACAGTTCATTTTCTGTCCGAACATAAACTAAGAATTGAGTCAAAGTGCTAGGAAGTCAATAAACATTGTTTCAGGAGTCACCAAAACATTATTATTGACTTGAATATAAAATAATTTTTAAAAAATTGCATGCACTCATGCTAACAACCTTGGACATTCTCACTTTGACCCCCTGTATCTTGAAAATGAAATCATGAACTCCCAATTTTTATTACATTTTTAATTTCCTCATCTCATATTATGTAAAATGAAAGTTTAATCAAAATTAACTAATAAAATTTTGAGAGCTAACTTAATTCTTTAAGTTATAAAGAAGAGGTATTGCTAATGCTCCATCTCAATAAAATTATATTTGGTAATAAGTTTATAAATTTTATGTAAAAAAAAAACTCAAAATATATTTATAGCAGATTAATAAATGTAATAAAATAAAATTTATATAAGAGACTAATAATAATTTTGTCATAACCTTTTCTTGATACCAGTAAAAAATTCACAGCTGTTATATCTAAATACCATAGTACTGTATTAAAACCAAGAAGAAAGTTGTGATCTTTAATATTAATTCTCTCAATAATGAAAACAAATTGAAATTTGAAATTAATATAATGTGAGTATCTTTGATACTTTATCATTTCATTTCCCAAATTCAATCTAACATCTTGTTTTGAAGATATCTCACACTGAAAAAATACTATTTGAATTGCTACTAGAATAAACAAATTTGTTGAGATAAATCAAAAGTTTTAGAACACAAAAATTATTTCTGGATTATGAAATAAGAACTAGAGAAAAATCCAATCATCTATCCAGTTCTCACATCTCTCTGAATGTATTAGATGCAATGCCCACAATAAAAAACATTATTAAAATGTACATGAGATACCCAAATGATATAAAAAAACATATAATATGTTTGGAATTTTAAATATAAACATATGCTTCCATTTATAATTTCAAACTTCACAAACAATTTTTACTGATTCTCAAATTTCTGTGTAACTCATAAAGAATTGAATTTATTTAGCATCTCTTGATCAAAAATAATAAAGAACCCCAATTATTCAAGTTCTGAATAACTAAAGTTCTGCAACATCCAAGGTGAACCTGCAAGTGAATATGCTTTTTCTTATACTGTAATTCATAAAAGAAAGTTTAAAATGATACGTGTTACAAAATGATTTACAACTCAAATCTATTATCCCATAAACCAAATGACAGCTTTAATTGATTGGGCTATTTTATGTTACTTAATTTCTAATTATTAATTATAACTAGAGTACTAGAGGTAGATGTTAGATGTCATCTCCTGTCAAAATTAATAATTATAGTAATTTAATATAATTTAGAACAGTCTGGAAGAAAAGAATCAGCCTGGAATGGGAATCAAAACTGTGTGGTGCACTGTCTAGTTACACCACCCGGACCTCCAAGTGACTCTTTGCTTCTGGACACATTTCAACCTTTGATAAAACCATCCATGGTTATTCACAGCACCGATTGGGAACAACTATGTCCACAGCCTATGCATTAACTCAAAACTGTAACTCAATGTCAGAATTTTTTTTAACCTCTTAAAATTTCCATTTAATGAGGTTTAACTGTATTTATTAATAATATTTATATGAATAGATCAATAAAAAATTCAAATAATTCCTTTATGCTAAGTCTTCAACTGACTTAGTGTTCAGGATAATCTTCTTTTGATGAAAACAGACCTGTATTGTAAATAAATGAATGATTCATGTTAAGATTTTTTTTCAGACAAAATTATATTGGTTAGGCAAATATCTTTTTCACATATATTTAAGCTTGTACAGATGATGTAATGATAAAAAATTGCTAAAATTACCTATTAAAACTGATGGAAAAAAAAATTCTGATACAATGTAACAACATATTTGAACCTATTAAAAGTAATCTCCTTTAACATTATTTTACAGTCTATGTTGTTATTAAAATTCTATTATATGATCTTAAATATTCTTGAATTCTTCAAATTTTAATAAATCATCATAGAAATTTTATATTATTCATTTATTTGTTCTAATTTAAAAATATTTGAAGTAATAAAAGAAAGAAAAAAAACTGCTAAATAAATTTAATTTTTGTTTACTTGGTACTGGTATTATAATATATTTTCCTTCAATTTTGGGGGCCTGGCACCACTTAAATTATTATTAGGGGCTGAACAGATTCTGGTTCCTTAAAGTTGGCACCCTTGCATCAAAGCATAACTATATAATAATTCATGTACAAAACATTGAAATACACATCTAACTAAAGCAAGCTTTTAATTAATTGATAAAAAAAGAATATAATAGAATTTTAATAATAAAACTAATCAGAATAATATAAAATAATATTAAAATGAGATTATTTTTAGCATATATCAATAGGCTATATGCCAACTTTTAATATATCAGGAAATCTTGAAACTTTGATTTGTACAATACAAATGACCTTCTATAAGAAAAATCAAAAAGTTGTACTGCAATCTTCTCTAAAAGCAATGCCAATTATTTTTGAATACCTTTGCTACTGTGACTTTTTATAGCATGTTAACATTATTTGATAGTTACAATTATTAAATTATATCTTTAAATAATTTTTGCGAGAAATAAATAACGAATTTGTTTTTCTGAAACACGTCGTCACTGTTTCGGAATTTTATTAAATACATTATAACATAAACTGTTAACAAATAAATGTATACAATTAGTGAAATTTTAATATAAACATGTAATTATATATAAATAGTATGACAGATAACATATTGAAACTTTCAGCAGTTATGCAAATAAGGTTTCGGATCCAAATAAAAACTTATTGTTAACTCATAGTTAAAGTAAGACTCATTTTTATTTGTTGTTGATGTATCACCAGTAATTTTCATTTAGAATAAAAAGTAAATTTATTAAAATATGTTTAAAAGTTTTAAAACAGAAATGAAAGTAATTAGGAAATAAAAAGAATGATATTTTTATCTCAATAGAGTTGTTTGCAGACAATTGGATAGTTACATATCTAATCAGGATTTAGATGTCAAGGAAATCATCTAACAGTTCCTGTTCACTGTGTTGTAATGTGCAAGTAACAATCCAAACTGTTTCAATTATCTCAACATTTTGGAAATTGTTTTTGTAGTTTAAATATAAATATATAATTCCTAGCAGATTAATCATTCTGATTCAGTATTTTATCATTTTTGCTTTAAAAAAATAATCATTGGATACATCCAAAAACACACATATTTGTATATCTGGCTATATACAAATATGTCAATTATGTGCTAATAAAATATTAATTTCTGTTGTATTTGCTACAAATAATTAAACAGATAAATTATTTTAATCCAAATTCTGTAGTTAATTTTGTAGTTTCTAATTAAGTTCATTCTAAGCTTAACACAATGTTTAAAATTCTTCAGAATGTGCTTATATTAATCTTACTTTATCTTTATACAGATATATTGCAAAATGCT